ACTAGAAGATTGGCTCTCTTCCTCACGTGTCCTCAACACCTGGCGCTCCCGAGAGCAGTCATCACAGCTTTCATCTCACTTTCTCAATCTCCTTTCTCAAGCTCCCTCTGCCTATCCCCTCCTCTCTCTTTCTGACACCCTCTCATCTCAGCTGCTAGCATCGGAGTGACCCAACATCCTGGCGCTCCTAGCGGGCATTACCGGCATCAAGGCGGCCATCATCACCACTTTCACCTTGTTTTCTCACACCCTTTCTCTCCTTCTATCTCCCCACCCCACTACTCCCCCCCCTCTGCAGCTGCTAGCATCGGAGTGGCCCAACATCCTGGCGCTCCTAGCAGGTCTCATAGGCATCAAGGCAGCGATCATCACGGCTCTAGGGCCACGCGTTGGGCTCACTCTCTCCGAGTCCGTGCGCACGGGGCTGCTGCTGTCCCAGGGGGGCGAGTTCGCCTTTGTCGTCTTCGCCCTCGCCAACCAGTGAGTCATAGTTTTATAAGTAAGCCCCACGTTTGGCTCTCTCCTGACCGCCTCATGGGCATAAAGGCAGGCATTGGGACCGCCCTCAGCCCATGTGTGGGGCTCAGCTCACCCTCTCCAAGTCGTGCGCACAGGGATGTGTGTGATAAGTCGATTTTTGACTCGACTCAAAAATCGACTTATCACACCCGGCCCATGTGTGGGGCTCAGCTCACTCTCTCCGAGTCCGTGCGCACGGGGCTGCTGCTGTCCCAAAAAGGCGAGTTCGCCTTTGTTGTCTTCGCCCTCGCCAACCAGTGAGTCATGCATCCATAGCATCACCCACCCTCCTGCCTTGCTCGTCTTTCAATCCATGGCGCTCAATACTCTCTCTTCCTCTTTATCTGAGTCCCTCCCTCCTTTCCTCCCTCCTTCCCCTTTCTCCATCTCCCTCCCACCTTTCTTCCCTTTCTCCCTCCCCCCTCGCTCCTTCCTATCCCTCTTCCACGAGTCAAGCTGGTCGTGCTGCCCTTACCGCTCAACTGCCTGCTAAGAGAGGGTGCTCTCCACGTGTAATGAGGTTATTTTTGAGACGTCTCAAAAATAACCTCATTACAAGAGGGTGCTCTCCATGGCTCAACACCCTCTCTTCTTCCACCTGTCAACCTTCCTGCCCCCCTCCCGTTTCCCCCACGAGTCAGGCAAAGCGTGCTGCCACAAAGCTGAACCGGCTGCTCATCATCGTGGTGGTGCTCTCCATGGCGCGCACGCCCTTCCCTCCTCCTTCTCCCCTCCCTCATCGCTCTCTCGTTCCTCCCTCCCCCCACACCTCTCTCGCATGGTTCAGGCTAGGCGTTTTCTCCTTGGAGCTCAACCGGCTGCTCATCATCGTGGTGGTGCTCACCATGCTCTCCATGGCGCTCAATACCCTCTCTTCCGCTTCCTCCCTCGCTCTCTTCTTCTATCCCCACTCCCATCTCTCCTACGAGTCAGGCTAGGGGTGCTGCCATTGGAGCTCAACCGGCTGCTCATCATTGTGGTGGTGCTATCCATGGCGCTCACGCCCTTCCTTGACGCCCTGGGGCGCAGAGCAGCAGAGTACATCGAAGACAACATTGAAGCCAGGGACTCAGCTGCTACTGCTGTGGCGGGCGTGGGTGGTGGGGCGGCAGTTGCCGGTAGACTGGGAGCGGGTGGGAATGGAGCGATGAGCGAAGCTGGTGGCGGGATGGAAGGCGAAGCGGTAAGTTCATGTTTCTGTGCTGCTGCTTTCATAACTCTCATAAAAAGGTTGGCATGGCCCTCAAAAACTCTCTGCTTATTTTAATGCCTTCCTTGTACGAATCACAAGTGATGGCGTGGTTCAGTTCAAACAACTTGTGCCAAAGCTCACAAACCTGCCCTGCCGTCTCTATTCCTCTGCGCACCCCCCATTACTCCTACCATCATCACAAGCAGGTGCATCCCACTCTACACATTTCGCCGGCGCAGAGCCCATAGTCATTCTGGAGTTCAACCAGGTGGGACAGGTGCTCACCAGTGTACGCTACCCTCTCTTTTTCCCCACCAAACCCCTGTTGCTCCTGTCACCATCACAGACAGGCGCATCCCACTCTACGCATTTCGCCGACGCGGAGCCGATAGTCATTCTGGAGTTCAACCAGATGGGGCAGGTGCTCACCAGTGTACGCTCCCCTCCCTATCCCCCCACTCGGCCCGAATTGCGCTTACCACCATCACAGGCAGGCGCATCCCACTCTACACACTTCGCTGGGGCCGAACCGATTGTCATCCTGGGGTTCAATCAGATGGGGCAGGTGCTGGCCAACTTCCTCTCCACACCACTTGCAGCGGGGTCAGGGGGGGATGCGGCCGGTTGGCCCTTCATCTCCTTCGATCTCAACCCCAAGCGCGTGCGGGTAAGCCCTCTTTTTGCACTCCCTCTCACTTCTTTTGATGGGTCTCAAAAGTCAGTGGGATGCGGTTGGCTGACCCCCAAATCCTTTGTTCTCCATCCCAAGCTTGTGCGGGCAAGCCAAGCCCCCTTGCACTTCCTCTCATTCTGTCACCTTCGTCATTCCCTCCTGTGTTAATTTCTAACAAGTTATAAGCTCCTTAGTGACGAACCTCACTTTAACCTCACCCTCACCCTCACCTCCCGTGATCCCCTAACAGCTTGGAGCATCGCTTGGTTTCCCCGTCCTGTATGGCGACGGAAGCCGCCCGGCAGTGCTGGAATCGGCCGGCATTCACCGCCCAAAGGCCTTCATGGTTGTCTACTCCAGCCGCACCCGATCTGTGGCTTCGATCGAGCGGCTCAAAGAGGCCTTCCCTGGGGTGGGTGTCAGTGATGTAATTTGTGAATGTTTGTAACGTTGCTTGTGAGCATTTGTGATGTCACCTGTGAGGGTTCGTAAAGGAGTGTTTGTGAGATCAATGTCACTTCTAAGTCAACTCAAAATCATCTTTTTCTCTTCTGATCACCTCGCCTCCCCCCCCTCCACAGGTGCCTCTGTATGCGCGAGCAGTGGACGCAGTGCATCTGTCGGAACTGAAGCGAGCAGGGGCCACTGACGTGGTGCTGGAGAGCGCTGAGGTGAGTCTCTCAAGGCGCATGGGATTGTCCGTTGTGTGGTCCTGTTCGCTGAGGGGAAAGTCGTGCTGGAGAGCGCTGTGGTGAGTCTCTCAAGGCGCATAAGAATGCATCTGTTGAATCGTCCTGTTGGTTGACAACACGGTAGGTAGAGCATTCAGAGCAGCACATGGGGGTGATGGGAGACGACCTGGTGTGTGTGCTGCTCCTCCCTGTTGCTGCCGCTGAACCACCCCTGCCCCTCTTCTCCCCTCTGTTCCTTCACTGCAGACGGGTGTCCGCCTAGGCTCCATACTTCTGCAGGACATGGGGGTGATGAGAAATAATGTGGTGTTCGCGCCTCTCCTCCGTGTTGCTGTCTCTAAGCCAGTCCCTGTCCTTCTTCCCTCCCCATCCCTTGACTGCAGACGGGTCTCCGCCTGGGCTCCATGCTACTGCAGGACATGGGGGTGATGAGAGACGATGTGGTGTTCGTGCGGCGCCTCATGCGGGACGCCATGGATCAGAGGGCTCTCTCAGCTTCCTCCTCCGCCCAATCCTCCGAACTCCTCTCCTCCCGCCCTCTTCTTGAAACTCTCAAGGTAAGCTTCTCCTTCATCCCTCATTTTTTCTCCCATATTAATAAAGGTATTAATATTGCAAGGTTATGCTTGCTCTTCGTGCAAACCTTCAAGCAGTTTGTTATCGTTCTCAAAAGCTGCCTTGAGTCGTTCAAGATTTAACTGGTGCGTACAACTGTTTGAACCGCCGTCAACCATCTTACCTGTTTTGTTTTGTGTGTGTGTGTGTGTGTGTGTGTGTGTGTGTGTGTGTGTGTGTGTGTGTGTGTGTGTGTGTGTGTGTGTGTGTATTCCCGCCTGTTCATCCAACAGGAGACTCTTGGTCGGAGAGCCATTCGGCCCATAGAGCCCACAGCCTTCCTCATGAATAAACAAGACGAGCGTACTGCCACTCCTTCATCTGCAGCCTCTGCTGCTGCACCTGCTGCTCTTTCTCCTGTCGACGGGAACACGAGGCAACAGGAGAATCCTGCTCCAGTTAACGCGTTTACCGCCACTCGTGCATCTGCAGTGACTGCTGCAGCTGCAGCTGCTGCTGCCACCACAGTGGGTGTGCTTGTCGCGAGCGAAACAGACAAAACGGCGGCAGCTCCAAAAGAAGAGGCAGAGGAGGACTCACAAGCAGTGATCAAAGAAGTACCGGTAGCAAGAGGTTCCGGTGCGGAGATCCCTTCCCTCGACTCACCCATGGGTATCAACCCCGTATTCGTGCTGGCAGACGCCCAGGCTTCCCCTGATGGCATGCTGCAGTACTTTTCAGACGGAGAGGACTTCGTCGACCGGAATATCAGTCTTGATGCCAGTCAGCTACCCGCGAGCGCTGCCATGCCGCCATCGTTGGACTCACCAGCAGCACTGGGAGAGGGATTTGACTCTGAAGGAAGGAAAGCTGAGACAGATGAGAGGCTGGTTTACTTCTCCGACGGCGATGACTTTGTGGATGTGAAGCTGGAGCTCCCCCAATCTGGCAATTTTCCTAGAGAAAAGTAACCTTACAAATACTGCTATGGTTTGGTACTATCAATTCTTGTGCATCAGTGTTACTTACATGGTCACTGTAATTGCAGGTCCCTTTCCTTTCACCCACAGCCAATTTCTCAATGCCTTGCCCCAACTATTCAAACGAACGATACGCCCAAGACCGGCAACAACTTCCAACCTTGAATACCAGGACAGTGAATGCATTTCACTTGCGCCAACAAGGGGAATTACAGCATCCTACTGCAACTGGCACCAAAAACACATCTCCGACATCTTAGGGCATAATCCTCTAAACCGCTTCTCCGCATGGTGGCCAGCACAGCAGAACATCTCTCAACATCTTATCGCCGCCTTCCAGAGCTGTAGAATGCCCAGAATAAGCCAGCTTCTATGAAAACCGACCCTCCTTAGAAGCCCCGGCCAACGGTCCAGACGCGGATGTAACCGTCAGTGTAACCACCATAGAGGGTGGCTCCGTCCGCGCTCCAGTTGAGGCTCACACAGTACGGCGTCTGGTAAGGGGACAAGAAGATGGGCAGCAGTGAGGAAGTGCTCAAGGACAAGAGGAGAAGCCCCGACAGCGATTGAGGTGGAAAACACTTGAACGACTCCCTCTCATATCTCCCAGCCTCCTAGCCCCCCCAAATACCCAAACGCACACACAGTGAAGCAAATCCCCTCCTTTCATTGACCCAACCGCGCCTTCACCTCAACCCCTCATCTGACCTCCTTCTCAACGTCAGTGAACTATGCTTTTGAGACGTCTCAAAAACTCACTTTTTACACATGCCCAGATATCTCTCACCCAGCCTACTAGTTTCAAGGCTGCTTCACCTCCCCAATAGGGTAGACTTGTCATAATCTCCGGCCCATACAACTCCATGCTCTTTTCCGCTCACCCGCTTCTTACGCCAGTGCTCCCCCTCACCTCCTTTCCTCGAAAAGAAACGTTTCGTTCCAAATCCAGCACTTGATGACCACCATTAACTCCACATGTCCCCTCCCCCTTCCCTTTGCGTCCCTCCCAGTGCAGCCCCAACTCCGTGTTGTTGTCAGGACGAACTAGCATATCACAGGGCGCCACTGTATCTCACCTCGTGTCTCACCTCGTGTCTCCCTGCTTCTCGCCTGGCACTTCCCCTCCCTAACCCACAAAAGCTTCCCTTCCCTTACTATCTCTCTCCCTCATCTGTCCCTTGGACTCCCCTCCCCTCCACTTACTACTCTTGACCTTCCCCCGTCCCCCACTCACCTGGCGCTTTGACTTTCAGCACCTCTCATCCAGCCCATCATATCCCCTTCCTGCCCCTCCCCCACCTTCCGCCTGGCCCTCTAACTCCCCACCCTTTTCCCTCTACCCTCCCCTCCCTTCCACATCTCCTCACCTGCCTCTTCAACTCCCCGCTTCCACTTATATCCCCCCCATCCCCCTCCACTTCCACCAATCCCCTCCCCTCACCTGGCCCTTGAATTCAGTGTTGCCGCGCGCGCGAACCAGCTCGAAGTCAGGCACAAGCGCATCCACTGAGCTGATGCTCCTCAAGTCGCCTCAACACCCCTCTCTTCCCCCCTACAGCCTGTCACTTCCCCCTCGTATTCCAGTGTGCCCCATCACCCCCCACTCCCCTCACCTGGCCCTTGAACTCCGCGCCGGCGCCGCGCGAGCGAACCAGCTCAAAGTCAGGCACAAGGGTATCCACCAGGCTCTTGCTCTCCAGGTCCCAGATCTTAATCGACGACTGCGTCGCGGCGCACAGCCAGTAGCGGTTCGGGGAGAAGCACAGCGAGTGGATGATGTCGCCCGCGTCGAGAGAGTACAGCCGCTTGCCCTCCGCCAGGTCCCACAGCATTGCCACGCCGTCCTTTCCGCCGGACGCGCACAGCGAGCCATCAGGGGAAACGGTCACGGTGTTGACGTAGCCGGTGTGGCCCAGCAGGTTCTGGCGGAGCTTGCAGTTGGTCAGATTCCACACCTTCACCACCTGGGGGAGAGAAGGGGAGTGAGGAGGGGGGAGGGGCAAGGGGAAAAGGCAAGGGGGGAGGGGAGCGGACGGGGAGAAATGGTGGTGTTAATGAGATGAGGTTCTGGCCAGGGAGAATGGAGCGGGGTAACGGCGGGCGGCCGGGATGGGGGGAAGGGAGAAGGAAGCGAGAAGGGGAAGGGGGAGGGGGTAACGGAGGAAAGATGGCAGGCGAGAGGGGGAGAGGGGGAGGGGGGTTGAAGGGGGGTGGGTTTGGGGACAGAGGAAGAAAGAGGTGCCGAAAGGGGGGAACAAGTTGGGAAGCGGAGAACCGGACGAGTGAAGGGAAGGAGAAGCAAGAAAGACTCGAGGATTGGACGGGACGAGGAAAACGCGGTCGGGCTTCGCGGGCCCACGTGACTGACGAGCCAACCCTAGCAAAATCTGACGGGACTGTGGCGTCGACTCACAAGGCTCTAGGAGGACGGTTCTAACGCGTCGGATGTGCGAGAGGGGCACACGGAGGAGGCCGCCCGTGCGAGAGGGGGAAGGAGCCGGCCCGCTAACGCACTACCCTGTCGCCGCAGCTGCTTGGAGGGGGTACTACGACACCAGCAATCTCCATACCGCAGCTTGGCACGAAAGGTGCGTAATACAACCCAACTACGACCGTTAAGATCCTCAAAGTAGAGGGCCTAACACCAGCCGCTTAATGGATCCTACTCTAACCACCCAGGTACTCCGCCGCAGGGGCACAGCGAAACTTGCCCCAGCTGCCAAACGAACCTAATCCTAGCCAGCCGAACGAATCGAATTTCCGGCGCCAAAACAAACCTAGTCCCAACCGCCCAACGAGCCTAATCCCCGGCGTCCAACGAAACTTTGCCCAGCAGCCCCACGAACTATCACCCCAGCGCCCAACGAATCTTGTCCCAGCCACCCAACGAACCATCACCCTGGCGACCAACGGACCTTGTCCCAGCCGGCGGAGACGATAATGGGCTGAGTGTTGACGGGGGAGAAGCGCACGCACGACACCCACCCCTGGTGAGCGTCCGCATCGTTCATCGTGTACTTGCACTCGCCCAGCGTGTTCCACAGCTTGATGCTGCGATCGCGCGACCCGGACACGATCTGACGGTTGTCGACGCTGAAGGCGACGCTGAGCACGTCCTTGGTGTGGCCGACGAAGCGGCGCGTGGTCGCGCCGGTGTTGAGGTCCCACAGGCGGAGCGTGCTGTCCCACGAGCCGGAGAGAGCGAACTGACCGTCGGACGAGATCACGACGTCCTGTTGTACGCGTTATAGGGTGAGTGTGGGGCAACGGGAAGGGAAGCCGGAATCAGAATACGCTGGTTTTAAGATTCCACAAGCCGGAAAGTGCTAACGGACCATCGAAAGGCCTAGTGTATGCGTTATAATGGGTGAGTGAATGGCGACGTATATAAACGCCCCACAGGGAAGAGGTTGCTGGCAAATGCGGGACGACTGTCGATTAATGGCGACCACACACCATTCAAAAATCTAGAAGCAATCCGCGAATACGTCGTGAGGCGAGCACAAATGTGAGCATCGACGAGCTACTAACTAGCTCGGCAAGAAATCACACCAAACGGGCCCTTATTCGCAAACGAGCGCAAGGCTAGCTCAGCCACAACACCGGCAATTTTTAGATCCACTAACGGACAGGAAATTGCACGGTTCACGCCGGGAGACCGAGAATCTACAATGAAGCGCAGCTACTCAGACTTTCGTGCAATAAGAATGAATCTAAAAGCTTCGAAGCTTCACCTGCACGAAACCGCCGTGGCCGGTGAGGCGGCGCTTGGGCACTCCGGCGAGCTGCACGCCCGTGGCGGAGGCGGCGTCGCGAGTGAGCGACCACGACATGATGCCCTTATCGCGCGAGCATGAGATAATAGAATCGCTGTTGTCGATCGGGCACGCGATCGACGTGACCCAATCGGAGTGGCCCTTGAGGTGGCCGCGGAAGCTAAGTTGCTCACCCATGGCGGCGAGTTAGGAGACAGAGGAGAGAGGACGGAGAAGAGAATTAAGGGCGAAAAGAGAATTAGGGTTTGCGGAACGGCTGCTAAGAAGGCTGCGACAAGCAGTTGGAGGTGAAGCGGAGGGAGAGAAAGAGGGCGAGCGAGAGGAGAGTGGGGAAGAAAAGCGAGAGGGGGACAGGGAGTGGGGAATGCGGGGGAGGGAATGTGGCGCGTGTTGTGCGGTTGCAGCAGTAAAAAGGGGATGTGGTGGTTCGCGGAGATTCCAGGGGAGGTTGCGCAAGGAAGAGGGTAACTGCGGTACAAAAAGCTTCGCTAGGGTCGGTACACCTTTGTTAGGGGGCCGATACCTTCAAAAACCTTCACTACAAAATTGGTAGGCAGAAAGCAACTTGATACACTGTTCGCTGGTTTGATAGTAGGCGACTGAAATGTTTTTAGCGGGTAAGCCTATCTGCGAGAAACGACGTGGCAGTCCTTTCCATGTGGCAGCGTGTGTGGCTCACAGTTCCCCGGAATCATACCTGCCCAGCAAGAGCCGATTCCCGCCACCACGGCCCATGCCCACCCAATCCCAATCCAACCCAGGCTGGTTCTGTTTGTCGCAAAGCAATTCGCATGCTTTGCTTTCCTTGCCCTTCACTTCTGCTTTTCACTTTCGTGTTTCCACTTTTCCGTCTGGAGGCCACCTGACCGTGTGCTCCCTTGCCTAGCTCCGCTCCCGAGCCGCAACGACAGACGCGACGTGACCACATGGCTTCCGCCACGCTCCTACCGGCTGCGGCCAACCTCAAGGTACCCTCCCGCCGAACCTAAGGGACATCATAGCATCGTTGTGTGATGTCCCTTCTACGCTGTCCCCCTCCCTCTCATTGTTGACATGTCGTTCGTTCACATCCCGCGCTCCCATCCTCGCCGTTCCTTCTCATTTCCCCCGTCGTGTCCCCCTTCGCCCTTCATTCTCATCCCCCCCGCCGTTCCGTGCGCAGGTCAGCGGGCTGTGCGCGTCCCAGACCCGCCTCGCCTCGTCCGCTGCATCCCTCGCGGGATCCAAGCCTCAAGGTACTCGCTTTCGAAGCACTCGTTTGGAGGTACTTTTTTGAAGGTACTCGGTTGAAGGTACTCATTTGAGGTTCTCGTTTTAAGAAACTCGTCTCAAGGTACTCATTCTGAGGTACTCTCGCAGTCTGCTCCTGAGATCACCTGTCGGCGAGCTCTCTATTGCGTAGCTTACGTAGGTGCCGTTTCTTCGCGAATGGTCCTCGTACGTGGAGGGTCTAGTCTAATGCCCTTGCCCGTCGCACCTGTTCCATTGCCCATCGCCGTGACCCGCGCAGCCCAGACGAGCCGTCGTCGCGTCGCTGCTGCCTCCGCCGCCCGCGCTTCCGCCGCAGCCGACACGTCGGCGGTGCCGCCCGCATGGCCGGGGCGCGCAGAGGCGCCGGCGAATCCGCATGACTGGGCCGAGCCGAAGGCGATCTCGCTGATCGGTTCAACCGGGTCTATTGGCACTCAGGTGAGACACGTGGCAGTCGGGTGAGACACGTGGCACTCAGGTGGCACTCAGGTGGCACTCAGGTGAGACATGTGGCACTCAGATGAGGCACAAAACACTCAGGTGAGACGCGATGTACTCAGGTGGAAAACGTTTCCCTGTCAAAAGACCAAAGACTATGGTGTGGCCACTGTGATCGGTTTCTGAGTTATTATACAACCCCCACCCCCACACACCCCCTCCTCCCCCCAACCCCACACTTTCCCCCTCCTCCCCTTCCCCCGCTTTCCTCTTCCTCTCTCCTGCTTCCCCTCTCGCCCTGCCCCCGCTCCCCTGTGCGCGCGGGCGGCAGACTTTGGACATAGTGGCGGAGCATCCCGACAGGTTCAAGGTCGTCGCGCTCGCCGCCGGCTCCAACATCGCGCTCCTGGCGCAGCAGGTGCGCACGCATGGGTAACAGGTGCGCAACAGGTGCGCGTGCCGCAATAGGTGCGCGTGCCGCAACGGGCGCGCGTCGCAACAGATGCGCGTCGCAACAGGTGCGCATGGCTGGCAATGCCTTCGCTTTGCCCATGACAGGCACAACTTATCTCGTGCACTGCCCTCGTCTTACCATCACTCCTCTCTCTCTCCTTCCCCTGCCGTAACCCTCACTCCTCAATGTCTTCCTCCATTCTCTTCCATGCCTGTTCACTGGTGTCTGCCCCTGTGCCCCCCCCTCACTCTCTTTTCCCCCCCGCGCCCTTTCCCCCTGTGCGCGGAGCAGGTGCGCCAGTTCCAGCCCGCGCTGGTGTCGGTGCAGAACCCCGCGCTGGTGGGGGAGCTCAAGGAGGCGCTCGCGGGGATGGAGCGCATGCCGGAGATCGTGGCGGGGGACTCAGGGATTGACGAGGTGAGGCGGAGGCAGGGAGAAGGTGGGGGGGGAACAGGCAGGCGGTGAGCCTGGGGTAGAAGGAGGCGCTCGTGAGCATGGCGCGCATGCCTGAGATCGTGGCGGGGGACTCGTGGATTGACGAGGTGGGTGAGGGGTGGGCATGGAGGCGAAACTATGGAGTAGAAGAGTTGGGGGTAGGGGGATGCGCCCGCGGGCATGGCGCGCATGCCGGAGATCGTGGCGGGGGACTCGGGGATGGTGGAGGTGAGAAAGGGTCAAGACTCGCGGGCTTTGTGGGGTGCGTGGGACGTTTGAGACGCCTCAAAAGTGTACTTCACGTGTGTTCCACGTGTACCCCACGTGTGCCCCGTGTGTGCTGATGACCATGCAGGTGGCGCGGCATCCTGACGCGGAGACTGTGGTCACGGGCATTGTGGGGTGCGCGGGACTCAAGGTGCGTTGGGCGGGGGGCAGGCCGTGTGAGTGAGAGCGGCCTCTCACCTCACCACAAAGACTTTTGAGTCGACTCAAAAGTCACATGGGTGACTGGCTGTAGGCTGCTGTGGTGAGGTGAGAGGTGAGCTTCCATGTGGGAGACACGCGCATGGCTGTGCGCTCTGCTGTTGCACAAAACTGCTGTTGCACAAAACTGCTGTTGCACAAAACGTCAACTCCCGCATGTGGATCTCACTGCTATAGTGTCACGTGTGTATATAAGCCTGTGGCTATCCCCGTGTGTATGTGTGTGCCTATGTGACCATGCGTGCGTGTGCATGCAGCCAACAGTGGCGGCCATAGAGGCGGGCAAGGACATCGCTCTGGCGAACAAGGAGACGCTCATCGCAGGCGGGCCGTACGTGCTGCCCCTCGCCAAGAAGCACGGCTGCCACATCCTGCCCGCTGACTCGGAGCACTCCGCCATCTTCCAGGTGCGCCCTCCCCCACCCACCCAATCAACTTGACTCCTGACCACCTCCTCTTCCCCCCTCCCCCACTTTGACCGCATAGAATTTGCCTTCACTCCCGCTTGGGAGACCACGCGGAAACCCTTTCCCCACTCCCTCCCCCCTTTCCTCTCGGCCCCCCCGTGTGCGCTGCAGTGCATCCAAGGTCTGCCAGACGGTGGTCTGCGCCGGATCATCCTCACTGCCTCTGGTGGCGCCTTCAGGTGCGCACTCAGTGCCATGCTAGACCCCATGCCACATGCCATGCCACATTCCACATCTCATGCCAGATGCCGTTCACCCTTCCTCTCCAACCCCCTCCCCCACTCCCCCCTCCCCCCCTCCCCCCCCTTTTCCTCCCCCCTTTCATCTCCCACAGGGACTGGCCTGTGGAGAAGCTGAAGGAGGTGACTCCAGCGGACGCGTTGAAGCACTGCTTCCTTGCTTCCTCCTACGTGGCACTCTCCCCCCCTTCCTCATAGCTCTCCCCCTCTTCTTCCTACCTCTCCTCTCCCTCAGGGACTGGCCGGTGGAGAAGCTGAAGGAGGTGACCCCAGCAGACGCGTTGAAGCACCCCAACTGGAGCATGGGCAGGAAAATTACTGTCGACTCCGCCACGCTCATGAACAAGGTGAGAGGGGGGGCGGGTTGATGGTTGTGGACCACAGGAGGGCAGGCTGCAGGGGGGCAGGTTGCATCAGAGCAGAGGGGGCGTTAAAGCACCTCAACTGGAGCGTAGGCCGGAAGATTACTGTGGGCTCCGCCATGCTCATGAACAAGGTGTGGGCGCTGCTGTGAGGGGGGCAGGGTGCTAGAGGGCAGGGGGGAGGGAAGAGCGCACAAGGCGGGGAAAGGGGTGTGATGTGAGCAGGCATCCATATCCGAGCAGAGCACAAGAGATCAATATCAGATTAAAACGCCTTTGTGTTGCAATGAACATGGCGCTCAACAAATCATGGGTTACCAAGGCACAAAATCTTTGTATCCCTCGGTGGGTCCGATTTTGACCCACCTTGAAGCCTAAACCGTAAATCATGCCCACAATCCCCTGCCGTGTCTTGTCGCCCCTCCACTATCAGGGCCTGGAGGTGATAGAGGCGCACTACCTGTTTGGCGCTGACTACGACAACATTGACATCGTGATCCACCCTCAGAGCATCATTCACTCCATGGTCGAGACTCAGGTGGGTGCTTGGTGTGCCTCATTCACTCCAAGGTTCAGAGACAGGTGTGTATGTGTTGCTCACCGACAACATTGACATCGTGATCCACCCTCAGAGCATCATCCACTCCATGGTTGAGATGCAGGTGGGCATGCGTGAGGTCGCTGTCTCACTGTATTATATACTCACTGGCTCACTCTCCTGCCCTGCCTCCTCCATCCCGAAGCATCTGATTCACTGTGTGTTGGCATGGCATTGCACTCGCCCTGTGCCTTCATTTCATCCGAGGTGGTTTTTGAGAATTCTCAAAAAGGTGGTTTTTGAGAATTCTCAAGATTCACTGTGTGTTGGCATGGCATTGCACTCGCCCTGTGCCTTCATTTCATTTCATCCACTGCGTGTATGCTCGCATTGTGGCTCATTTCCATTGTGGTTCATTTCCATTGTGGTTCATTTCCATCCCCACCCCTCCCCGTCCTTCCCCCACCTGCCCCTCACCCTTCTCGCCTTCGCTCCGCTCCAGGATTCGTCGGTGTTGGCGCAGCTGGGGTGGCCGGACATGCGTCTGCCCATCCTCTACACACTTTCATGGCCTGACCGTGTCCCCACCTCTGAAGTCACATGGCCTCGCCTCGACTTCATCAAGTGCTGCCCTCTTGCCCTTCGCTCACGCACTCATGCCCTCATATGCCCCTACCCTCATCCGCTCATGCCCTCTTGCCCAATCTGCGCATGTAAATCTGGCCTCGACTCATGCTGCTACTCTTTTGCCTCACCGTGTCTCACTTGTTTTATTTTGAGTTGCTTATTGTTGTTCACCTACCTCTTGATTCCGTCGTCCTTCATCTTCCGTCGTCCTTCATCTTCTGTCGTCCCTCATCTTCCCACTCCACCCCTGTCTTCTTTCCCTTGTCTCCCCTCGCTGCAGGATGGGAGACTTGACATTCAGGGAGCCCAACCGTGACAAGTACCCGTCCATGGACCTCTCCTATGCAGCAGGGCGGGCGGGCGGCACCATGACAGGCGTGCTCAGCGCCGCCAACGAGCAGGCTGTGGAGATGTTCCTTGATGACAAGTGAGTGGCTTGACCATAAATCAGGGAGTGAGAATTTACAGTCGAAGGGGATAGATGGGTGGTGTGCCTCTCGCATCATCCTCTGATTATGGCTCGACAAGCATGTTGTGCTATGCTCTTTGGCTGATAGAAGAAAAAAAACTATCAGCTGAGGTGCCAAACTGGGATGTCTGTATGACCAACATACCTCCCTCCTTCCATCCATCCTTCCCTCTCCCTCGCTTCCCCTCTACCTCCTCTCCCTCTCAGGATCCACTACCTGGACATCTGTCGGGTGATCGAGGGCACATGTGACCGCCACCGCAACGACCTCGTGCTCGCCCCGTCACTGGAGGACATTGTTCACTTTGACCAATGGGCTCGCGTCTACGCTGCTGAGGTGGCATCCAAGCTCAGCACTGTGGCTGTTTAGATCCGTGGTGCAAACCAGTTGCATTATTTAGTGTGTACCTTTGCTGAGTTGGATTTCATGGTACCCAAGAGTAGTGCTCACTTGTAATCAAAATGATCTAAATTTATATGATAGTCAACACCGAATTTGCCTTACATCAGCTAATGAAACGTACGCGTTTTTCCTCCGCCACTCGCCCACCCCGCACCGCAGACTGGTTGATCCCAAATTTCGCGCCCGTGCTTCACCTACCCCTGCGAAGCTATTCACCCAATCCGAGCCGACTACCAGTACTCGACAGATAGCACTCAAGATTCTTACTGCGTTAGTCCGTGGCGTTCCCACTCGCTCCCGCCGGGAAACAGGTTGCGGGTCGACAGGCTGGCCATTCCAGTCGGGAAGTAAACGCTGTTTGCCGCCAATCGGGATCGTGATCGTCGGGGGGAGGGAAATGGAGGGAGGATCAGTAGAGTTTCTGTCGCGCGTGAGATAGGCCGCGCGCGCGGACATCGCTGTCGTGTGCGCCGTCGTCGACCTGTTCGTCACCACCGCCGTATCCCACGCGCGCAGCTCAACATGCCTCCAGGTGCCTGTAGCTCTGATGTGGCTGCTGCTGCCTTGTGTGACTCAAGGGATTCTTCGCTCAGCAGCAGCCCCCCCCTCCCAATCCCCCTGCTCATTCGCTCTTCCCCTGCTGCTTCGCACTTCTCACCTCCTCCCCCGTCGCGTGCCGTCGCCCGCCAGGTCCGGAGCGTCGCGTGGGCGGTCGCCTGCCGTATGGCTCGTCGCACGCCGCCATGTCGTACGGCGCTCCGTTCGTTGCCACCTCCGCGCCCAAGCCGGAGCACGCTGCGCGCCAATCGCCATCCGCGGAACGATCGCGCGGCGGCGGACTCAGGCGCCCGTCGCGGCGGGCGCGGATGGCGGGGGGAAGGGCGCCGCAGGGGGGCGGGTTGCTATGCGGGTGCTGCGCGTGGCTCGGCGCGCTGTGCGCGCGACTGCGGCCGTCGCGGAAGGCGAACTGGCCGTACGCGTTAGTGAGTGTTGTGTTTGTGGCGCTGGTGGCATCGGAGCAGATCGCCCCGCTGCTGCCCTCCACTGCTCGCGCACGGGGGGAGGCGCGCGCAGGGGGAGGCGCGGAGGAGGAGGCGGTGAGCGGACCGCTGACGCGAATAGTGAGGTAAGGGGGATAGAGGGGGGGGAGGAGAAAGGGGGGAGGGGTGATATAAATTTCAAGGGTGGAGGTTGGGAGGACCAGGGGGATGGAGAGTGACAATGGAGAAGAAGGTGTGGGGTAAGAAGGGCAAGAAGAGAGAGAGGGGGAGTGAGGAAGGGGAAAACTAGTGTGGCTAGCAATTGCATGTTGCCCGCTTGAGTGCCTCTGTGGTGTTTCAATCACCTTGTGGCTCTGTCTGTGGTTGTGTGCGTGTGTGTTTGTGTGCATATGCGGTTGTGTATGTGTTTGTGTGAGGGTGTGCGCTGCCTTGTGTGTGTGTGCATGCATCTGTGTGTATGTGTGCATGTGTATGTATGTGTGTGTGTGTGTGTGTGTGTGTGTGTGTGTGGTTGCATGCATGCATGTGTGTACATGTGTGCATGTGTGTGTGTGTGTGCATGCGTGTGTGTGTGTGCATGCGTGTGTGTGTGTGCATGTGTGTGTGTGTGTGCATGTGTGTGTGTGTGTGCATGTGTGTGTGTGTGTGTGTGTGTGCATGCATGCATGTGAGCACGTAGCAGTGCCATGTGGGGGCAACCATCACCTGCCAAGCCCCTCAACGCCAGCAGCAACAGCAGCAACAGCAGCAGAAGCAACGAGTTAGCAGGAGGGCCTAGAGACGCAGAGGGAGGGGCAGGTGGAGGGTTGGGTGGAGGGTTGGGTGGAAGGGCTGGTGGAAAGGCAGGAGAAGCGGCAGGTGTGGCGGCGGAGGAGGAGATAGTGGGACGAGGGAGTGGCGGAGAGGATGGGGAGGAGGAGAACTGCTCTGAATGCTGGGAGGAGGTGGATCGGCTGCGAGCACTGCGAGAAAGTGAGTGACACCTCAGGTGTGTGTGCCATGTATGTTGTTTGAGAACTCTCAAAAAACATACTTTGAGTCGACTCAAAATACACCTTTGAGAATTCTCAAAAAACATACTCAGAAGAAAGTGAGTGACAACCTCAGGTATGTGTGCCATGATGTGCCTCCTCCTGTCACCCCCTCCTTCATCCGTGCTGCTCTCCACGATTGCTGCTCTCCATGATTGCTGCTCTCCATGGTTGCTGCTCTCCATGATTGCTGCTCTCCATGATTGCTGCTCTCCACGATTGCTGCTCTCCATGATTGCTGCTCTCCATGATTGCTGCTCTCCATGATTGCTGCTCTCCATGATTGCTGCTCTCCATGATTGCTGCTCTCCATGATTGCTGTTCTCCTCCTGCACATGTCGCATCGTCTCCCCATGTGTTTGCGCTGCTCTCATGCTCGTTCTCCTCACACTACATGCCTCCCCCTCGTACCCTCTCCCACCCCCATGTGTGCGTCACATGGCGAGGCAGGAGCAACAGGCGCGCACAGGCGGCTGCTGGTGGAGCCAGGAGGGACGGTGGAGGGTTTGCAAGCAGCAGTGGCGGCAGTGGAAGCGGAAATGGCGGCGTTGAAAACCAAGATGAGCGACCTGGCAGTGAGTGAGCTACCATGCTCCTTGTGTTGTGTGTCTCTCTCTTCATGCCCTGTGCACTCTTGCTTCTCCCGCACCCCTCTCCTCCTCTCCTCCTCCGTGCCTTCCTCTTTTCCCTCTCTGCCTAATACCCTCGCTTCCTCCATCCATCCCTCTCTCCCTCTCGCCCTCTCTGTCCCCTCTCTATCCTCACATGCACAGGTAGCAACAGAGCAAGTGGCAACTTTTGAGACGTCTCAAAACCGCGTGTAAGTAGACGACTTTTGAGACGTCTCAAAAGCCATCCATCCCTCTCTCCCTCTCGCCCTCTCTGTCCCCTCTCTGTCCCCTCTCCATCCTCACGTGCACAGGTAGCAACAGAGCAGGTTGCTAAGGAGGCTGGCAACTTGCGGGCGGTGTTGCAGGGCGAGGGGCACTGGGCCACGGCCAACCTCACCCGCCATGTGAGTACTGCAATTCCTGTGACTCATTGGCATGGCTGATATAATACAAAGTACCACGCGTGATCAAGTGTGACCAAGTGTGACCACGTGTGACCACGTGTGACCAAGTGTGACCACGTGTGACCACGTGTGACCACGTGTGACCAAATGTGACCAAATGTGACCAAATGTGACCAAGTGTGACCAAATGTGACCAAATGTGACCAAGTGTGACCAAATGTGACCAAATGTGACCAAATGTGACCAAGTGTGACCAAATGTGACCAAATGTGACCAAATGTGACCAAGTGTGACCAAATGTGACCAAATGTGACCAAGTGTGACCAAATGTGACCAAATGTGACCAAATGTGACCAAATGTGACCAAGTGTGACCAAATGTGACCAAATGTGACCAAGTGTGACCAAATGTGACCAAGTGTGACCAAATGTGACCAAGTGTGACCAAATGTGACCAAGTGTGACCAAATGTGACCAAATGTGACCAAATGTGACCAAATGTGACCAAATGTGACCAAATGTGACCAAATGTGACCAAAACTGACCAAGTGTGACCAAGTGTGACCAAATGTGACCAAATGTGACCAAATGTGACCAAATGTGACCAAATGTGACCAAATGTGACCAAATGTGACCAAATGTGACCAAGTGTGACCAAATGTGACCAAATGTGACCAAGTGTGACCAAATGTGACCAAATGTGACCAAATGTGACCAAATGTGACCAAATGTGACCAAGTGTGACCAAATGTGACCAAATGTGACCAAGTGTGACCAAATGTGACCAAATGTGACCAAATGTGACCAAATGTGACCAAATGTGACCAAATGTGACCAAGTGTGACCAAATGTGACCAAATGTGACCAAATGTGACCAAATGTGACCAAGTGTGACCAAATGTGACCAAGTGTGACCAAATGTGACCAAGTGTGACCAAATGTGACCAAGTGTGACCAAATGTGACCAAATGTGACCAAGTGTGACCAAATGTGACCAAATGTGACCAAATGTGACCAAATGTGACCAAATGTGACCAAATGTGACCAAATGTGACCAAATGTGACCAAGTGTGACCAAATGTGACCAAGTGTGACCAAATGTGACCAAGTGTGACCAAATGTGACCAAATGTGACCAAATGTGACCAAATGTGACCAAATGTGACCAAGTGTGACCAAATGTGACCAAATGTGACCAAATGTGACCAAATGTGACCAAATGTGACCAAATGTGACCAAATGTGACCAAGTGTGACCAAATGTGACCAAATGTGACCAAGTGTGACCAAATGTGACCAAATGTGACCAAGTGTGACCAAATGTGACCAAATGTGACCAAATGTGACCAAATGTGACCAAATGTGACCAAGTGTGACCAAATGTGACCAAGTGTGACCAAATGTGACCAAATGTGACCAAGTGTGACCAAATGTGTGACTAAATGTGACCAAATGTGACCAAATGTGACCAAGTGTGACCAAATGTGACCAAGTGTTACCCCACTATCTTTTACTTCCCTACTAACCTGTTCATCCTTGATTCTCTCCCTTCTCCCGTCTCCCCTCCTAGCTTCCCCCTGGGATTGCCTTTGAGTTGACTCAATAGCTACCCGGTGCTGCAAGGGGAGTGGCACTAAGCTACAGCTAACCTCACCTGTCGTGTACCTCCCAGTGAACGCACCGTGTCGTGTCGCTGTCTTTTGTATATCAGTTTTTTTTTTTTTTTTTTGTGTGTTGACCCGCAATGCACAGTGTCATCCGCACGCCACTTGCCACGAGCACCTTCGTTGGCCTCTCTATCTGCTATGATTATCCTCCACGCTACCACCTTACATCACCTCCCTCCACAGGCCAACCACTTGCTGCACTGCGCGCATTCGCATCTCTTCAATGAGTGTCACGCATCCAGCCATTCCTTAAATGCCCGCTTCTGCAACTTACAAATGCCTGTCATGCCCACCTGCTCCCGTCTCCCTACCAGCCTGTTCAACCGCGATCCTCTCCTCTCTCCCCTCCTCCCCTCCCTTCGCTTCCCCTTCCCCCTGCCCCCTTTCCTCCTGCCACTTGTCCCCACACCCCCCCCCCCCCGCCCCTCCAGTTCCTGCTCTCCACCACGCCCTCTCACCCCGACCGCTGTGCCGTGCTCTCTCTCGACCGCCGGGCACTGCAGCGGCAGTCCAAGCGTGGTCCCAAGGGCCCGCCTCTCTCCTGGAAGGTCAGTGCAGGTGCCGCCCTACCCAGCCACACCTAGCCCCACCCAGCTCCACCCAGCCCCACCTAGCCCCACCCAGCTCAACCCAGCCCCACCTAGCCCCACCCAGCTCAACCCAGCCCCACCTAGCCAGAACCAGCCTCATTCATCCAGACCGCTGTGTCGTGCCCTCTCTCGACCGCCGGGCACTGCAGCGGCAGTCCAAGCGTGGTCCCAAGGACCCGCCTTTCTCCTGGAAGGTCAGTGCAGGTGCTGCCCCAGCCACCCACTCACACTCAAGTTCTGCGCCGTGCTCTCTCTCGACCGACGAGCGCTGCAGAGGCAGACCAAGCATGGCCCCAAGGGCCCGCCTCTCTCCTGGAAGGTCAGTGCAGGTGCATCCTCCCCCAACCAGCCATGCCCAGTTTGCGTGACCCACCCCATCTCTCTGCTGCTTCTGATATGTATACAGACTGCTTGTGAGGCACCTCAGAACTCATCTCTCTGCTATCTCAGAGTCACTCCTGAGAATTCTCACAATCTCTCCCATAAAACCACAGGGCTACACATGTGAGGCAGCACCGTCGCAAATTCAGAGGTACGTACACCGATGTGGAGGCGAGGGCGTTGTGCCCTGATGACTGGTTCTTCGTGCAAGAGCTCGTGTTTTTGAAAAACTGCTCCTCCCTGTTTCTACCTGCACCTTCCCGTACCCTCCTGCACCGGTCTGCCCCCCCCTGCAACCGCAACCCCTGGCAGGGCTACGCATGTGAGGCAGCTCCGTCACAGATCCAACGATACACAGTTGTTGAGGCGAGGGCGCTGTGTCCCGACGACTGGTTCTTCGTGCAAGAACCCTCTCAAGAACCCTCTCCATCCCCCTCCACCCCATTCACACATTCGTAACCACAGGGATATGCCTGTGAGGCAGCACCGTCTCAGATCCAGAAGTACACGGACGTGGAAGCGAGGGCGTGGTGCCCCGACGACTGGTTCTCCGTGCAAGAGCTCGTGTTTCTTAAGAACTGTTTCTCTCTGCCTCCCCTTGCACCCCCCTGCACCGCACACTCCCCCCCACCCCCATTACTGCAGGGCTATGCCTGTGAGGCAGCACCGTCTCAAATCCAGAAGTACACAGATGTTGAGGCGAGGGCGCTGTGTCCCGACGACTGGTTCTTTGTGCAAGAGCTTGTGTTTCTCAAAAACTGCTTCTCCCTTCCGCCCCGCCGCTGCCTTGCGCGCACGCCGCAGCAACCCACAGAGGTGAGAGGTGCGGTGGAAGTGAGGGGTGCGGTTGAAGTGAGGGGTGCGGTGGAAGTGAGGGGTGCGGTTGAAGTGAGGGGTGCGGTTGAAGTGAGGGGTGCGGTTGAGTAGAGAGGTGGGAGGTAGGAGGGGAGAGATGAGGGAGGTGCAGTTGGTGTACTATGGCAGTGGTTGAACTGGCCTAGAAGAATGGTTTTGCGACTAGGAATGTTTTGAGTCGATTCAAAAAAACACCTAGAACTGGCCTAAAAGAACGCTTTTTCAACAAGGAATGTTTTTACTAGACTCAAAGCACACCTAGAGCTGGCCTAAAAGAGTGGTTTTGCAACTAGGAGTTGTGCATTGAACTTTTAGCAGGTGGATGGAATGGAGCACACTCCTGGTGCCGTCCCTCGACCCTCAAACCCACCCTCCACCTCCCCCCTTTCCTTCTTCCCCATTCCCCCTTCCCTCCTCCGTTTTCTACCTTCCCCCTTCCCCCTACTTCCTTCTCCCTTCTTACTTCCCCCTTGCCCCAGCCGCTACCATTCCCACAATCCCTATTCGATCAAGCAGCCTTAGCAGACGGGGGGGTGCGGTGGGAGCAGCAGCAGTGCGGGTCCTTCCACTGTCTCAACACGCGCGCACTGGGCGACTGTCGCAACTGCTTCAACCTCTCCCCCCTTGTCCCCCTTCCCGTTTCCCCTCTCCCTCTCCCCTTTCCCCCCTTGCCCCAGCCGCTACCATTCCCACAATCCCTATTCGATCAAGCAGCCTTAGCAGACGGGGGGGTGCGGTGGGAGCAGCAGCAGTGCGGGTCCTTCCACTGTCTCAACACGCGCGCACTGGGCGACTGTCGCAACTGCTTCAACCTCTCCCCCCTTGTCCCCCTTCCCGTTTCCCCTCTCCCTCTCCCCTTTCCCCCATTCCCCCAGCCGCTACCATTCCCACAATCCCTATTCGATCAAGCAGCCTTAGCAGACGGGGGGGTGCGGTGGGAGCAGCAGCAGTGCGGGTCCTTCCACTGTCTCAACACGCGCGCACTGGGCGACTGTCGCAACTGCTTCAATCTCTCTCTTGAGAGCCACCGCTGGCAGCACCGCTTCCGAGGCAACCCCACCATGCACGACGTGCTGCAACTCAAAAACGGCTCCCTCAGGTGCACACATGCCTGTCGTTTAAGAATTTACTGAAAACCGCCTGCAACAACTCGGAGAATCATTCGGCTGAGTCCGCCTTGCCTGCCAACCAACATACACTGCCCTGGGCGGAGACGGCCCCATCCCTTGTGCGTTTAGAGTGCTTCAAACCTATACCTCCTTGCGTTGCCGACCACTGCAGGTTGGGGCTGCACGTGGGTGTTGGCACGGGCAGCTTTGCAGCGCACATGGCGTGGCACAGAGTGACGGTGATGGCCACACACAGCCATGACTGCGACACCGTGTGTCGGGAGCGTCCTTCCCTTGTGTGATTAAATCGCCTCAGCCTCACACCTATGCTTCCCTGCGTTACCACACGGGGTGCAGGCTCGGGCTGGACGTGGGCGGCGGAACAGGGAGCTTCGCGGCGCACATGGCGCGGCACGGGGTGACGGTGATGACCACGGCCATGAACTACGAGACCGTGTTGGGGCGGCATGCAGGGCTGCCCTACTTTGAAGCCATCGCCATGCGCGGCCTCATCCCCCTCTTCCTCCCTCACAAGGTGCCTCCCTCAGAAAGAGCCTCCCCCACAAGCTGCCTCCAAAGCTGCCTAGGGTGCCTACCATCGTCCAGTGTCTCAGGCTCTGTCCTGTCACAACCCTCCCATGAGTCTTGCCTGTTTCAACCAACTCTGCACCTGCTATGCCCCATTCCCGTGGCCTCTGCTCCCCGCCCTTCTTGCTTTCACTCCCCACCCGTGTTCGTGCCACCCCTTGCCATTCCCATGCCCTACCCCCCTGTGTCACTGCCAACCATGCCTGTGCCCCCCGGCTGTGGCTCTGTGCCATGCCATCCCCACTACCAGGCGAGGCTACCATTCTACGACAACACGTTGGATGTGATTCACAGTGTCAACAGTGTCAAGTACATGCCCGTGGTGGAGTTTGAGGAGCTCGTCTTTGAATGGGACCGTGTGCTCAGACCAGGTCAGTGCCTCTCCTGATGCTCCGACAGGTCAGGAAGGACCCCCCTTGCTCAGACCACAGTGTGAACAGCACCCGTGCTGGAGTTTGAGGAGCTCGTCTTTGAATGGGACCGCGTTCTCAGACCAGGTCAGTCATTCCCTTCCTTGCTCAGGCCAGGTCAGCCCCCCACGTGCAAGAGTGTCAAACAGTGTCAAGTACATGCCCGTGCTGCGTTCTTCCCCCACCCAGCTGCGTTCTTCCCCCACCCAGCTGCGTTCTTCCCCCACCCAGCTGCGTTCTTCCCCCACCCAGCTGCGTTCTTCCCCCACCCAGCTGCGTTCTTCCCCCACCCAGCTGCGTTCTTCCCCCACCCAGCTGCGTTCTTCCCCCACCCAGCTGCGTTCTTCCCCCACCCAGCTGCGTTCTTCCCCCACCCAGCTGCGTTCTTCCCCCACCCAGCTGCGTTCTTCCCCCACCCAGCTGCGTTCTTCCCCCACCCAGCTGCGTTCTTCCCCCACCCAGCTGCGTTCTTCCCCCACCCAGCTGCGTTCTTCCCCCACCCAGCTGCGTTCTTCCCCCACCCAGCTGCGTTCTTCCCCCACCCAGCTGCGTTCTTCCCCCACCCAGCTGCGTTCTTCCCCCACCCAGCTGCGTTCTTCCCCCACCCAGCTGCGTTCTTCCCCCACCCAGCTGCGTTCTTTCCCGACCCAGCTGCGTTCTTCTCCCACCCAGCTGCGTTCTTCCCCCACCCAGCTGCGTTCTTCCCCCACCCAGCTGCGTTCTTCCCCCACCCAGCTGCGTTCTTCCCCCACCCAGCTGCGTTCCCCCCCCCACCCAGCTGCGTTCCCCCCCCACCCAGCTGCGTTCTTCCCCCACCCAGCTACGTTCTTCCCCCACCCAGCCGCGTGGTTTGTGTGGCCGCAATGCTCAACCCCACTTCACCCCACCCTACTCCACTCCTGTCCCGCAGGTGGCCTCATGTGGTTTGAGATGTTCTATGCACCAGTGGACGACATGGTGCTCTATGTGGCTGTGCTGCAGCAGCTGCGCTACCGTCGCCTGCACTGGACGCTCATGCCCAAGCCCGACCGTGGGGAGATAGAGGCCCATCAGCTCTACTTGAACTGCGTTATTGAGAAACCCGCTAGGCGGAATGCGCTCAAGCCTGTTGAATTCTCCTAAAAATGTCTTGCTGTGCTTTGAGTTGGTTTTCTTATTTTCATGGGCTCAAGGTTGCACTGCAGATCAGACCAGGCGAGGGCACCATGAGGTGATGACTCTTGTTGCCTCTGCATGGTGCAGCATTGCTGCTACGTCACACACTAGTTGGGAACTCCTAGTAGTATTTCCAACCGCGGCAAATATGTGGAGCAGGTGAGTACTGCAGGACGGGCAGTGTTGCTGCTGTTGCTTGTTTCCTAGCATATTGGCTTGAGCCGTGTGCATTACCGGTACAGTATGCCTGGAAAAGATCTCTACTCCGTCCCTAGCATTGCTCAACATCTGCGCAACCATCCTAGCAATTTCAACTGAGGCTTTCACAAACATCAATTCGATGGGTATCCCGGCCCACATCTCTCTCCTCCACGCCACCACCACAAGCCACCCTACACCACCCCCCTAATCAACCCCTCCGCACTCACGACGAGTAGAGCTTCGTAATCCGCCGTGCCGCCTCCTCGATATTCGCACGGTTACCAAACGCACTCGCACGCACAAACCCCTCCCCACCAGGCCCGAACCCGCTCCCAGGCGTGGTGACAATATCAGCCTTCTCTAGGATCTCAGCAAACACATCCCAGGAAGAGCGCCCTGGGAAGCGCACCCACACGTACGGCGCGTTGTCCCCTCCATGCGTCTCGAAGCCCAGCGACTGGAAGGTGGACTTGAGGATGGCCGCGTTTTCCTTGTAAAACGATACCAGCGTTCCCATGGCCTCGAGTCCCTCAGGGGAAAGGCACGCAAGGCCTCCCGCCTGGGAGACGTTGCTGGCGCCGTTGAAGCACGTGCAGGTGACTCGGTTGAAGTCCGCCCGCACTGGATGGCCGTCTGCGTAGCGCAGCGCTGCTGGCACCACTGACCAGCCCAAACGCACGCCGGTGAAGCCAGCGTACTTGGAGAACGATCCTGTTTCAATGGCCACCTGCGAGTGAGAAGGAAGCAGGGGAGAGGGGAAAGCATGCGGAGAGGTCAGACGTGTGTTCTATGGTAGAGTGGTGGGTCAGGCGAGTGGGAATGGAGCATGCTACTGCCGATGCACGGCGCACATGTGCAGGTGATAGGCTGCCGTTGGGTCATTCCTGCCCACGTGGTTGAACCTGGTGTGCAATTTCCAAAAGACTCAAAGAAACCTCTGCTGAATCGTGTCATTCATGGGGTCGTGTCCGGCGCCAGGGATTTCATAAATGGATTGGGGAAACACTATAAACAAGTCACCTCATCTGCACCCGGGATCTCACAGATGGACTCGAGGGAGTCGTCCTGACTCCTGGATATAGATGGTGTAGCCGCAGTCATACACGATGATGGACCCGTTGGCTGAACAAACAGCACTCTCAGGCCACTGATGCGCCTGTGGACAAGTCATTTACAACTCACCTCATCTGCGCCAGGGATCTCATAGATGGATTTGGGCGAGTCGTCTTCGATATAGATGGCGTAGGCACAGTCATACACGATGATGGACCCGTTGGCGCGGGCGAAGTCCACCAGCTGCTGCAGCTGCTGCCGTGATGCCGCCCGCCCTGTGCGGTGCAAGGGAGGGGGGGAAAGGGGAGGCAGTAGGGGAGAGCGGGTAAAAGGATTTGAGGGACGAGAGGACGGTAGCAGGGCGTTGAGAAGACGCTGCTGAATAGGAGAGGGGATGAGGCGGGATAGGGGAGAGATGCGTGCTACCCTGCCCAGTGAAGTTGTTGAGCTTCAAGGAATCCTGCTGTAACTCACCGGTGGGGTTGTTGGGTGAGCAGAAGAAGATGATATCAGTGCGCGGTGCAGGGGTGAGGTGGGGGAAGCTGATGCTGGTGCGGCTGATGGGCTTTAAGAAGCGCTGGACTTTAAAGAGTGCTGAACTCACCTGTAGGGTTGTTGGGCGAGCAGAAGAAGATGATGTCGGTGCGGGGTGCAGAGGAGAGGTCGGGGAAGAAGTCGTTCTCAGGCGTGCAGCGCAGGTACGTCACGTTACCAAACTGCTGTGTCTCTGGCACGTACAGCCCCGTCTGCCCCATCATCACACTCGTGTCCACGTATGCCTGACGAAAGACCCGAGGGGGGGGGGGGGGGGGTGGGGTGGTCAGAGGGGTGGAAAATGTCAAGGAAACTGGACTCGTTTTCGGGTGAGCAGCGCAGGTACGTCACGCTGCCAAACTGCAGCATGTCTGGTACGTACAGGCCCGTCTGCCCCATCATCACACTCGTGTCCACGTATGCCTGATGGGAGACAAGGGGGGGAATTTGGGAAATGTCAAGGAAACAGAAGTGGATTAGTCATCACACTCGTGTCCACGTACGCCCGCCATAGTCAAGCCGTGCCATACCGTGACACGCCGTGACATTCAGTGACAATCCGTGGCATGCAGTGACATGTCATGCCATGCCGTGCCATCACGTGCCCCAAACCAGAGAGATGCATGCGATTGACAAGGATTGTTGTATTATACAGCATGGGCAGCAGGAATAGGGAGGGTCATGAAAAAAGATCAATGATGTGGGGCGAGGATGGGGGAGAGGGGATGGGTGAGAGAGAATGGGGGCAGAGGAGATGGGGAGAGATGATCGGGAGGAGGTTGGGGAAGAGGGGATGGTGGAGTGGGGATGGGCCATACCGGATAGGAGGGGTCTTGGCAGGCCATGGTGACGTCAGCGCCGAACATCATCTGGTTGAGTAAAAGGGAACGGATGGGGGGGGTTGAGAAGACGGTGAGACAGTGAAAACGACCCAGTGAAGCACTTCCGTACAAGAACGGGAACTCACTCGAGGGCATGGCGGCATGAGAGAAAACGAGGGATTGGCGTTGTCTCGTAGGAAATCGGTGAGCAGTGTCAGGCGCCCACCTGCAGGCGCGCGATGTCGCACTTGGCGCCGTCGGAGACGAACACCTCATCCTCCGTGATGCCCAGCTTGCTGTACCACGTCGCACAGATCGCCGCGCGCAGAGCCTGGTGGGGGAAGGAGTGAGCATACGGGGAACGGGGTGGTGCAGTATGGCATGAGGCGCAGTGCGGCCGCAGTGAGGCAGCTTCTCGTAGCATGGAGATAAGTGAGCATGGTGTTCTGTGGTGTGAGCATCTAAGGATGTTACGGAGCCCACAGGACTCACACCATACTCCTCGTATGAGCCACCCCTCTTCCTCTCGCCCCCTTCCTTCCACCCCACTCTCTTCACATTTGGTCCCCCCAGCTTTCCCCCTGTCAGCGCACCTGCTCGCCCTGCTCTGCGCCATAGCCGGAGTACCCCGCTGGCGTTGACAGCCCTTGCGCCCTCTGCACAGGACAGGAGAGGAAGAGGTAAGGGGAAAAGGGGGGTGGCGGGGGGAGAGAGAGAGGGGAGGCCAAGGGAAGAGGAAAAGGGTGAGGGGAGGGGCGTCAGCAGGGACGGGCGACGAGTAGTTGACAACATTCTGCCCGTGAACCTCTGCTGTTAAGTTCGTTCTTGTCGCCAACGGACGGACCGCGCTTCCCCTGCGTGCGTCGTGCGTTGCCGGCTTATTTTCCACCAATGTTCAAGTCCGTGTTCGTTAGGCGCATCCGCCATCATTACACGCACTGAGTCCCATGAACCTCCACCATCTCCACCCCCCCCCTCCTCGCCTCCTCCCCCTCCCCCTCTCCCTCTCCCTTGTCCCCACCCACCCAACGGTCGCACCTTGGCCATGGCGGCGGTGATGACGTCAGGGATGGGCTCCGTGGTGTCGCCGATGCCCAGGCTGATGATCTTCGCGTCGGGGTGCTTCTCCAGGTGCGCGCGCCGCCGCCGCGCGATCTGGGGGGGGCGCAGGCGGGGAGGACGGCGGGGGCACGTGGGGGGGTTGAGGAGGAGTAACGTAAGAGAAATGAGGTTGTGATTCAACTGACCAGCGCGGTGGATCAGGGTCGAGCGTTGGGGAAAAGGAGTAGCTTGGTGGTTGCGGAGTGAGGCGGGCGGTGGAAGGGCGAGCAGCGTACCTCGGGGAAGAGGTAGCCCGCCTGTAGCTTGCCGATGTTGTGGTTGCGCTTCACACCCGTGCGATACTCTGCGACGTCGCACACGGATAGGGATGCACGGCGATAGACGTTGACGATATGTCATGAATGGTCAACCGCCGGGCATGCGGGTCATTGAGGATAAGGACGAGCGGCATTCTTGTAGGAAGTCAAGTCAATGGGCGTCAAGATAATCGAACTACGAGGTCGTCCTTCGTCTGCAAACAGTGGATCGACGACAGCCTGAATGATGTGGTGTGGACTGCCTGGGCTTAGAGGTACGACCATGTGTGCTGGTGTTGAGTGGTGTTGAATATTGTGAGACGGCACGTGCCTGAGTCAGAGGAAGCGCGCACGGTGGCGACATTGGACCTCGTAGAGGACGATCTCGTGCGAGCAGCACTGCAGTCACGGCAGGCACGACAGGGATGCGTGGGAGGGGGAGGAATGCGTTGTGATCATGGCCGTATCAATAGGCGATCAACAGCGTCCATTATGTATATTTTCGACGGTCGTTATTGGGTAGCTGGACTCACCGCAGAGGGGTTACTTTTAGCTGGGAAAATGCATGCGACGAGCTGCTGCCCAGGGACTCAGCAGCAGCGGCGGATCGAAGGCCATGCGACTGGAGAGCGACTGCTCGCTCTGCTGACGTGGCAATGGACGCCATGGCAACGAGTATGGGCGATTGAGTGGGGTAGGGAGGCAAAACTAGGATCCGTCGGCGACGAAAAAAGAAATGACAATGACAAGTCGATTTCCGTGGACCAGCAAATAATGTCTCAGGAAAGCATCAGTTCAGTATCCAGGAGGCAACACGGATGAGCGGCAGTAGCAGCAAGCAGCACAGTTTTAGGATTACCTGACCTGCCTAGGCCTTGGGAATGCCAGAGCTGCCTTGAGAAATGCCCTGGCCCAGCTGGACATGGAGGGGCTGACTGTGCAGGGATGCGTGGCGGGAGACGAGTGGCTAGTAGTGTGGGGGCGAGAAGCGGATTTGCTGTAAGCGACGGACGGTGCTGCAACCAAGTGCGGAATGAAAGAATTGGCGGGAAGTTGAATGCGGGCAGTGCCGTGGATGATGCGGTTGTTGTGATTGGTGCCACGCTGGTAGATCCCTCGCTGGGAAGGCGAGTGATCTCGCCGCGTCAGACACTTGAAAGGAATTGTTTTGCATCACGAATGACGATTATCATTATCGTCTGCAAAAAAATAATGTCAGGATAGCGCGACATGTCAATAACGAATCATGCAATGGTGCATCATGAATTTCCACTCTGGGGATCTTGATGCATGACTGGTTTCCTGCAGAAGTATCTGTGGCTCATCAAGTATAGGGTTTTGATTTCGTTTCTCTGAATCCAAGATCTCCTCATCCCGCAAAAGCCGGCACGGATTTCATCCCTCCCTAGATACCGTCATACATTCCAGCATGTCAGGCGGCGGTCTCGCCGGAAACGGTTCTCTCGACGATGAGCTGTGAGTACCTCGCGTCCCGCTCCTTATCCTCGCTCGCCTGCACCTTGCCACGAATCTGACTGATCTGCTTCTTGTTTGGCTGCGTCTCACCACGGTCGCGCTCTCTGGCGACATTGGATGGCAGAGCGAGAAGCCACGTGGTGCGGTTGCGCGGGCTGCCGTTCAGCGCGACGGAGTCGGACATTAAAGCCTTCTTCGACGGGCTCGACATCGCGCCCGACGGCATCGTGCTGCAGCTCAACTACCAAGGTGACGTCAACGTCCTTGCAGCTAAAGTACTACGGTGACGGCATCGTTCTTTGCTCATTCCTTTGCTTGGCGTTCGTTCCTGTGCTGTTCCGGACCGTGCCGTGACGTACCGTACAGTGCCGTCGCGGTTCCGCTCACGTGCTTTCCTCACGTCCTCTCGCATTCTCCCATTCATGCGCTCCTGCCATTCGACGGCAGGTCGAGCGACGGGCCAGGCCTTCGTTCGCTTCGCGGACGCCGAGAATGCGACTAAGGCTCTCGAGCGCAACAGGTGGGGAGCATCCCCTTCCCGTATGCCGTTGGCGCAAAGGCGCAGTTTGCGCTTTGCGCGTTAAGATTTGAACAGAGCGTTGTTGCTCCTGGCTGACACCTATATCTGTGTTGCTTCCAGGCAGCACATCGGATCGCGCTATATTGAGGTTTTCAAGGGCCATGCAGCAGACATGGAGGTGCGTCTCGCGATTTTGGATCCGCATGTCTGATTTCCGTCGTGCGCGCGTGCATGTGTAGACTAGCTGCTCTCCTTCTCATATGGTCTGCACCATGTCGTATCCACGGTATTGCCGAGCGGATAGTGCGGTGCTGTGCGGTTAGCCGGGATGGCGCAATGGAATGGAGTGGTGGCGTGGTGGCATGGCCTCGTGTGGATTGCGTTGCATGCATGCGCCGTGGAATGCAGGGGGCCTTGCGGATGGCGGGCAGGGGCGGTGCTGCTGGTGCTGGTCCGGGGGCGGGGGCGCCCAATATGGGCATGGCGGGCATGGGCGGCAATATGGCGGCGGCAACATCTGGGCTGCTTGCGGGTGGTGCTGCGGGGGCTGGGGTGCCAGGAATGGCGGGCAACACGGACATGCGCTACAGCGGCGTCATCCGCATGCGCGGCATGCCCTATAGGTGCGCGCTCTGCCCTCCCTTGTTCTACCATGCGCGGCATGCCCTATAGGTGCGCGCTCTGCCCTTCCCTTGCATTGAGTCCGTCGTGTCGTCCTGTTTCCCACGCCTCCTTGCTGCATTTTCTCTCCTTCGAATCCTCGCACCTTCCTGCCACCTCAGTCTCTTTTCCGCCCTCTCCTCGACCCTCCCTCCCCGCCCTCCCCGCGCTCCCCGCTCTCCCTGTGCTCGCCTCCTCGTGCGCGGTGTGTGCGCGTTTGCAGTGCGACGTCGGCGGACATAGCGGCCTTTTTCAAGGGCATGCAGATAGCGCACGACGGCATCTTCCTCTGCTCGCACCCCGACGGCCGCGCCACCGGCGAGGTGACTCACCTTCAGCGCATCTACACTCGCATGGGCTTATAACGGTTTATCTTAGTTGATATAAACTCGTGTCGGTTCACTTGGTTCATATCCAGCCAGCACAGCTGTTTTAGCATCGCGTCTGCCCGTGCTTCTCTCACACTCTCCTTTCTTGTTTGCCTGCCCTGCTTGGCGTGCGTGCGTGGTGTGCATGTGCGGCGTGCATATGTGCATGCGCATGTGCGTGCGTGCGTGTCTGCTGGCCGTGCATGCTTGTCGTGCGTGGGCGTTGTATGTGGGCTGGGCGGGGCGGCAGGCATTTGTGGAGTTCGCCAATGAGGAGACGGCGGCGAGGGCGCTGCAGCTGCACCGAGAACCCATGGGCCACGTGCGCTCACATCCCCATCTCCTCCCCGCTCGCTTCCCTTCTGCTCAGCTTCTTCCTTTGTCCTCTTTTCCGCTCGTGCTTCGCGCTCCCCACATGCCATGCGTCGTATTGATCCCTCCCTCGTACCTCTCCCCCACGCCCAATCCTCGCCCTTTTCTCTTCCCTCATCTGCTCGCCTGCTTTTGCCCTTCCGCCTCTCCCGCTCACTCGTCACCTCTTCCCCCATCGCCCCACCGCTCTTCCCTCCGCCTGTGCGCGCCAGCGGTACGTGGAGCTGTTCCGCAGCACCAAGGGGGAGATGATGGCGGCGGTGCAGCAGCGCATGTACTCCATGTTCCCGCCCGTCCCCGCCTTCATGGGCCCCGTGCGTCCCCTTGCCCCCTTGCCCTCTTGCCCCCCTGCCCCCTTGCCCTATTGCGACTTTTGAGTCGTCTCAAAAGTCACCTCGGTGCAGCAGCGCATGTATTCCATGTTCCCGCCCGTCCCCGCCTTCATGGGCCCCGTGCGTAACCCCCCTCCCCCTTGCCCCATTCCCCCGTGCGCACATGCTTCCTTGTCCCTTGCCCATTCCCCCCCTGCACACATGTCATGGCCCTCTTACCCCTTTCCCCTTGCGCACATGCCCTCCTGCCGCTTCACTCACCATTGCCTCACACGCTCAGGCATTAAGTCCCAACCCCATGCCCCTTTGCTTGTTTCCGCGCCAATCCCCGCCCCTTCCCCTTTGCCATACCTAATTCGCTCGCTCGCACACCCACCTGCCACTCCCCTCCCTCCTCCCTCCCTCCCTCCCCCATCTCCCCACTACCTCCTCTCTCCGCTTCTCCCTTGGCGGGCAGGTGCCGGGAATGATGGGCTTCGGAATGCCAAGCTTAGGCGCAGCCAACCTCGCCGCCATGCACATGGGCGCGGGCGGAATGGGCGCAGGGGGGATGGGGGGCGGAGGCATGGGGGGACCAGGCGGCCCTGGGGGCGGAATGGGCGCAGCGCAGGCAGCAGCAGCGGCATCAGAGAACGTATGCATAAAGATGCGCGGGCTGCCCTTTAGTGCAGGGCAGGAGGATATTCTGGCGTTTTTCGAGGGGTATGAAGTGGTGGGGAACGGTGTGCACATCATGACGGGGCACAACGACCGGCCCACAGGGGAGGCGTTTGTGGAGTTTGCCTCGTCGGAGGAGGCAGGGCGGGCCATGGAGCGCCACCGGCAGCACATGGGGAATCGTTATATCGAGCTCTTCCGCGTCTCCAAGAGGTGGGTTGAGGAGGGTTGAAGAGAGAGGGGGGAGAAGGGTGGGGTGGGGTGGGGTGCGGTGGGTGGGCGATGGAGAGGGGGTGGGGTGTGGGGCGGGCCATGGAGTGCCACCGGCAGCACATGGGCAACCGATACATCGAGCTGTTCCGTGTCTCCAAGAGGTGGGTTGGGGAAAAGGAGAGAAGGGGTTGTGTTGGTGGGGTGGGGGTGCTTCTGGGGCGTGTGGCTGTGCGTTGTGTTAGTGCATGTTGCTGGTGAGCACACGTGATATGGACCAGCCATGCGGGCTTTTTGTTCCCGGTGGGCTTTTTGTCCGGTTATATGGACCCGGTGGGTCTGCTGGCATCACCCCCTGGGGCAATCGCTGTGCCTCATGCCCCTCATGTGCCACATGCCCCTCATGTGCCTCATGCCGCTCATGTGCCTCATGCCCCTCATGTGCCTCATGCCCCTCATGTGCCTCATGCCGCTCATGTGCCTCATGCCGCTCATGTGCCTCATGCCGCTCATGTGCCTCATGCCCCTCATGTGCCTCATGCCCCTCATGTGCCTCATGCCGCTCATGTGCCTCATGCCCCTCATGTGCCTCATGCCGCTCATGTGCCTCATGCCGCTCATGTGCCTCATGCCCCTCATGTGCCTCATGCCGCTCATGTGCCTCATGCCGCTCATGTGCCTCCTGTGTCCCTTGTTCTGCCTTTTGGTGGTGCTGGGTGCGCTGAGCAGTGAGGCGCTGGTGGCGGTGCAAGGGGGGTCGTTGGCAGGGTTCAACATGGCGGGTGCATTGGACCCCAACATGCAGCTGCTGCTGCTGCAACAACAGGTCAGTCATGCCCTCCCCTTCCACATTGTCAGTGCTGCACACACACGAGCTGCACACACACGAGCTGCACACACACGAGCTGCACACACATGAGATTCAAACACGTTCGTCAACTGATGCTCCCTGACAAGCACTCCTTGCGTCCTCCTGCAATGGCACCAGCACTTACCATGCCACCCTTCTACCCCCCCACCATCCCTCCCCCCTCTCCACCCCGTTCCCCAACCCACCTGCCTGTCCACAGCAATTGCAGGCAGCAGCAGCAGCAGCAGGGTCGTTTGGCATGGGGGGGTGGGGGGGCGGCATGGGCATGGGAGGGGGGGGCGGAGACTTCTATGGCCGCCAGGGAGGGGGAGGAGGGGGTCAGGGCTTTGACCCCTCACACCAGGTATGTTTATTACCCCCTCTGCCTGCTCTACACACCTCCACACGCTCTGCCTTCACACATGTACCTGCTGAGAGGGGGCCAGGGCTTTGACCCCTCACAGCAAGTACATTCATTACTCCCTCTCAACAGGTATATTCATCACCCCCTCTGCCTGCTCTACACACTTCTACACGCTGTCTTAACTGCAGTTCACTTTCTCAAGCGGTCCTTGGTACTGATTCAGGAGGGGTTCACCCTCTCTATCTGATAAAAGAGATGTTTTGAGACGTCTCAATTCACCCTCTCTATCTGATAAAAGAGATGTTTTGAGACGTCTCAATTCACCCTCTCTATCTGATAAAAGAGATGTTTTGAGACGTCTCAATTCACCCTCTCTATCTGATAAAAGAGATGTTTTGAGACGTCTCAATTCACCCTCTCTATCTGATAAAAGAGATGTTTTGAGACGCCTCAATTCACCCTCTCTATCTGATAAAAGAGATGTTTTGAGACGTCTCAATTCACCCTCTCTATCTGATAAAAGAGATGTTTTGAGACGTCTCAATTCACCCTCTCTATCTGATAAAAGAGATGTTTTGAGACGTCTCAATTCACCCTCTCTATCTCACTGTCTCCATTTTTCTTTCTGCTCCCACACTGAGTAGTCGCTCGTTCCGCCCTGTCTCTTCTCCTATTCATCTCACTCTCTCGATTTGTCCGTCTGCCTTCTGCCGTGCTTTGAGCAGAACTAGAAGAGCCGCACACCTTGGACTGTGCTTCCTGCAGTCTGATACTGTACCTCAGTGATGGCTCCATATTTTGGCCCATGCACCGATCACACATGGATTAACATATATGAATTGCAAAGCTTATCCTTCCGTGGATTGGCTATTTAGTCGAAAACGAGCAGGCAGCTTAAGATAGCTCCACTGCTCCGCACATTCTCAAAATACGGTATATAGCCCATGAAAATGTGGAGTTACAGCAACCCATGTATAAGGCTAGAATTGACCGTAACACTAGGCGCCACCTGTTACGTGTGCCGTGCTTAGATGGGGAGGCCCCCTCCACACTGATGTAAAAGCCACGAAGCAGGAATGCTAACTCAAAACCACATCCTTACTCGTTTTCATAGCTCCCCATCAGCAGGCCTCTCCAGCATAGAGCAGCAGGAATGCATGCTCCAGGGTCCAGAGCCACATCCTTCATCTACGGTACATCCAGGCCATTTTGCAAGCCTCCATCAGCTGTCTGCTGCACCAACACAGTGCAGCAGGAAAGCATGCTCCAGAGCCACGTCCTCCAGTTGCTCCCTGCCGCTGCACGGCTTCATGTGCTCCACTGCCTTACTGTCCTTTTCAGGCTTTCAAATCAGATGCCCCCCCCCCAACGTAGTGCAGCAGGAAGGCATGCTCCAAAGCTACATCCTCCAGTTGCTCCCTGCCGCTGCATGGTGCCACGTGCCCTCTGTCCCCCCATACTCGCACCAACACTGGCCGTTCCCTCTCACAGTAATCGCTCTCTGCTCTCACCCTGGCTGCCCACTTTAATGCCTCCCATGGGCCCACTCTGTCAGGCAAGGCAGGAGAGGGAGAGAGAGGGGGGAGGGTGGGAAGGGATGGAAATCAGTCAGGGTATGTGAAACAAGCCGCTCCCTCTCACAGTAGTCGCTCTCTGCTCTCCCACTTGGCTACCCATTTCAATGCCTCCCATGAACCCACTCCGAGGGGAAAGGCAGGGGCAGAGGAGGGACAGGGGAGTGGGCAGAGATAGAGAAGCACAGTGCATGTGAAACCAGCACGGGCGCAGGGTCCTTGACCCCCAGCTGCAATTTCAGCATGAGGCAGAGCACTCGCGGTTCAAAAGGTTCAAAAGGTTCAAAAGGTTCAAAAGGTTCAACAGGTTCAACAGGTTCAAAAGGTTCAACAGGTTCAAAAGGTTCAAAAGGTTCAACAGGTTCAACAGGTTCAACAGGTTCAAAAGGTTCAACAGGTTCAAAAGGTTCAACAGGTTCAACAGGTTCAAAAGGTTCAACAGGTTCAACAGGTTCAAAAGGTTCAAAAGGTTCAACAGGTTCAACAGGTTCAAAAGGTTCAAAAGGTTCAACAGGTTCAACAGGTTCAAAAGGTTCAACAGGTTCAAAAGGTTCAAAAGGTTCAACAGGTTCAAAAGGTTCAACAGGTTCAACAGGTTCAAAAGGTTCAACAGGTTCAAAAGGTTCAACAGGTTCAACAGGTTCAAAAGGTTCAACAGGTTCAACAGGTTCAACAGGTTCAAAAGGTTCAAAAGGTTCAACAGGTTCAACAGGTTCAAAAGGTTCAACAGGTTCAAAAGGTTCAACAGGTTCAAAAGGTTCAACAGGTTCAACAGGTTCAACAGGTTCAAAAGGTTCAACAGGTTCAACAGGTTCAACAGGTTCAACAGGTTCAACAGGTTCAACAGGTTCAAAAGGTTCAACAGGTTCAAAAGGTTCAACAGGTTCAACAGGTTCAAAAGGTTCAACAGGTTCAAAAGGTTCAACAGGTTCAAAAGGTTCAACAGGTTCAACAGGTTCAACAGGTTCAAAAGGTTCAACAGGTTCAAAAGGTTCAACAGGTTCAACAGGTTCAACAGGTTCAACAGGTTCAAAAGGTTCAACAGGTTCAACAGGTTCAACAGGTTCAACAGGTTCAACAGGTTCAACAGGTTCAACAGGTTCAAAAGGTTCAACAGGTTCAAAAGGTTCAACAGGTTCAAAAGGTTCAACAGGTTCAACAGGTTCAACAGGTTCAAAAGGTTCAACAGGTTCAAAAGGTTCAACAGGTTCAACAGGTTCAAAAGGTTCAACAGGTTCAAAAGGTTCAACAGGTTCAAAAGGTTCAACAGGTTCAAAAGGTTCAAAAGGTTCAACAGGTTCAAAAGGTTCAACAGGTTCAAAAGGTTCAACAGGTTCAAAAGGTTCAACAGGTTCAACAGGTTCAAAAGGTTCAACAGGTTCAACAGGTTCAACAGGTTCAACAGGTTCAAAAGGTTCAACAGGTTCAAAAGGTTCAACAGGTTCAACAGGTTCAAAAGGTTCAACAGGTTCAAAAGGTTCAACAGGTTCAAAAGGTTCAACAGGTTCAACAGGTTCAAAAGGTTCAACAGGTTCAACAGGTTCAACAGGTTCAAAAGGTTCAACAGGTTCAAAAGGTTCACAGAGAAACAGGGTGGTTGACCCCTTGTTGCATGTTCAGCACTGAGACTGTGCACAGCCTCTCAGTGCACGGGATACAAGCTTTTGAGTCGACTCAAAAGCGGTGCTTGACCCCTTGTTGCATGTTCAGCACCGGCACAGCCTCTCAGTGCACGGGATACAAGCTTTTGAGTCGACTCAAAAGCGGTGCTTGACCCCTTGTTGCATGTTCAGCACCGGCACAGCCTCTCAGAGCACGGGATACAAGCCTAATACGACTCAGACGATTGACCTGGAGTCATGAAGAGCAGCGGAGAGCAGCGCAGCAGGGTACTTGACCCCTTGCTGCACGTTCAGCACGGGGCAGAGCGCTCGCAGGGCACGGAAGGCGGAGGGGCAGGCGAGGGGGTCGCCCCACTCGTGGCGGTCCAGTGCTGTGAGCGGCAGGGAGGGGTTGCTCATGGAGGTGAGGGCGTCCAGGAATGGCACCTGGGGAGGGGTGGGGGAGGAGGAAGGGAGGAGGTGAGGGTGCATGCATGCAGGGAAGAGGGTGGCTTCACTCATAGTGGTCCAGTGCTGTGCGCAGAAGGGCGGGGTTGCTCATGGACGCGAGGGCGTCCATTGACGAGGGGAGAAACGGGAGGACGTGCGGGAGGGTGAGCAAAAGGAAAGTGAGGTGCGGAGAGTGAGTGAGCGGCAGTACATGGATGAAAGGACATCAGGAATGAACAAAGGGAAGGGGGGAGAGCAAGGCAGGAGGTGGTTAGTGTATGGTGGTGCGGGTTGAGACCAGAGAGGATAACAGGACGATCAGATGAATTAGTTCACACGAGTATATGTATATGTTCATTCCAAGGTAGATGTGAGCTTGGCCGACATGCTCTCGCTGCAGTCACACTCACATCCAGCACGATCGCTCGAAATAGGCCAGGATCAGAGTTCACAGCAGCAGCAACCAGGAACCCCCCTGCACTGCTCCCCCTCGCCGCCACCCGCCCCCCCCCCCCACCCCTCCCCCACCAAATACTCCCCACACGCCATCAAATCCCCCACCGCCCGCCCCTTCCTCCCCCCCCGCCCCGCCTCGTGCCATGCGCGCCCCAGCTCCCCTCCTCCTCGGGTGTGCGCGAGAGCAATAACCCACCCGCGGTGCAGCAGAGGGAGGCGGTGAGGCACCCACTCTGCTGCCATCACCTCCCCATAAGCCCCGTACCCCTCTAGTAGCGCCGGGCCCTGGCTGTCTCTGTGCCTGGTGGCGTGGTGGATGAGGGTGAGTGGTATGGGTGTGCCGTCGGGGGATGGTACCCAGACGCTCTGGCAGATGAGACCGGGCACGCGGAGGAGCGGCAGAGGCAGGGGCAGGGGCAAGGGAGTGCTGGGTGGGTGGAGAGGTGGGGTTGATGGGGAGTGACTGTGTGGGTGGGACTGCTCCTGCTGTGGCTGCTGCTGCTGCGGCTGCTGCTGCTGCTGCTTCTGCGCCTCAACTCTCTGATGATTCTGCTCAGCCGTCTGCTGCTGGTGCTGCTGGTGCTGCTGGTGCTGCTGGTGCTGCTGGTGCTGGTGGTGCTGGTGGTGCTGGTGCTGGTGCTGGTGGTGGTGCTGCTGGTGCTGGTGGTGCTGCTGGTGCTGCTGGTGGAGCGGTTGGTGGCGGCAGTACGGCTCTTGGTGCAGCAGCGAGAGGGTACCAGAGGGCATGTGCACCTCACACACGGCCTCGGGCATCTGGTGGGCATGGGAGTAAGAGATAGGGGAAATAGCGGGTGTGAGGGACGAGGATGGGAGAGGGAGGGAAGGAGAGGAAGGAGATAGAGGGAATTAAAAAGATGTTGGAGTGGGGGGTGATTATGGCTGGAAGAAAAAGAGACCAGGGGATAGAGGAGAGCCGGGGGAGTGGAAGGCGAGCAGGGGCTGCGGAGGAGACGAGGGCGAGGAGAGTGGCGGGGGCTACAGCAATGATGGCATGATGTATGATGGATGGCATGATGCCAGTGCGGCAGTGAGCACGCACAACAGGGGACGACACCATGATGCGGAGAGAGGTGGCATCATAGTCCTGGTTGCATAATGGCATGAGGTCATGTTGGGATCACGTCATGCGGGCATGATAACATGACAGCAGTGGCCACGCACTACAGGGGACGACACCATGATGCGGAGAGAGGTGGAGTTGAAGTCCTGGTTGGCCCCCGCCACCACATGGCACACCCTCTCCGGCAGCTGCACTGCCCTCGCCCACACCTCCACTTCTCCCCACCCCCCTGCATCCACCTCGTCTCCTCCCGCCATCGCACTGCCACAGCTGCCCTCCCCTCCCTCTCCACCCTCAGGGGTGAGGGGCAGAGGCAGCAGCAGCAGGTGCGGCAGGGAGCGCACGAGGCAGTGCACGGCGAGGCAGCACCGAAACACCTCTATGTCTGATATGATAATGTCTGATGGCCGGATGTCCCACCCTTTCACTCTGATCGCCAGGCTCTGGTGGGTTGGGTTGGGTGGATGAGCAAATGCGGGTAGCAGTGGATGACGAGGCAGCATCGCAATGTCATGGCCGCAATGTCTGATGCCAGGTGAGGGGAGGATGGAGTAATTGAAAGTGGTGAGAGACAATGTCTCAAGCTTGGTGAGAGACCGCTTGAGAGGGAAACAATCGGGTAGACAAGGGAAGAGAAGGACATGTATGCACGCTATGCCACCCATGCGCCCATTGCACCAAGACATGCACTGCCACACACACGCGCTGCCACCCATGTGCTCATTTGCTCACCTGCCAGCTGTCAGCACGGTGGGCGGCACGAACAGGAGCCCTCACAATGCGGTACTCCCCCACCTTCCCCTCCTCCCCTCCACCTCCACCGCTATCACTCCCTACCCCCATCTCCCCTTGCCTCTCCCTCCCTCCATCCTCCTCCTTACCATTCGCACTCGCACGCTCCCCCTCCCTATCAGCTCTCCCCGTCTCTCCACCTCCCCCCTCGCCCGGCATGCAGCGGTTGGTGACGGCATAGAGCCACCCCCCATGGTGCTCCACAAACCACTGCTCGCCTTCCCGCCGCCGCTGCAGCAGCCAAGGGGGGGCCGTGGGGTGGTGAGCGTCCAGCAGATGCACCTGGGGGAGGGGGAGAGGGGCGGGGACCGGGGAGGCCGGGAGGAGGGTGGTAAGATGGATGAGTGGAGGAGTGGAGGAGTGGAAGCGTGAAGGGGTACACATGGTGCTGGACAGACAAACACCGTGGTGACAGCATAGAGCCACCCCTCATGGTGCTCCACGAACCACTGCTCGCCCTCCCGCCGCCGCTGCAGCAGCTGAGGAGGTGCCGTGGGGTGGTGGGCGTCCAGCAGATGCACCTGGGGGAGGGGGAGAGGGGCGGATGGTTGGAGTGGAGAGCACACGCAGTGAGAGCATAGAGCCACCCCAAATTATCCTGTAGTGGCCGCATGGACAGCAGAAGGGCATGTTCAAGTGCATGTGCATGTGCATATGCATGTGTCCATGTGCATGTGTGCATGTGATCCCCGCATCCCCGCATCCCCTCATCCCCGCATCCCCGCATCCCCTCATCCCCGCATCCCCGCATCCCCCCATCCCCGCATCCACCCAGCGGAGCATGGAATCCGAGTGCGCACCTGTGAGGAGCTGCGGGTGTTGAGGTTGAGAGTGAGGTATCGCCAGTCCTTGGTGCGAGATACCGCCACCACCACCCCCTCCTCCTCACTCCGCAACACCTCCTCCTCTCCCTCCTCTCCCTCCTCCCCAATGTCCTCCTCATCGCCCTCCTCCATCCCTCCACGCCCCTCCTGTGAAATGTGTATGCGTCGCCTCATCACTCTGTGCTGCACATGCCATGGCATTATATTGAATGGTATCAACATCCAGGTCTGTTTTGAGTCGACTCAAAACACATCCACACACGCAATGCCCCAAAACGAAACATCATGAGCGTCCTCCTCACTCCACCATGGAGTTTGCAGCTCAGGTGCGTGCCAGCACTCTCAAGGCACCTTCCCTCTCTTTCTCTCATAGAAAGTTTGTTTAGAACGCTCAAATGCTTGCAGACAATCATTCTCGGTGAGCCCTAGCGCTCACCGGTGGGACCGCAGGCGATCATCGAGCTTGGTGTAGAGCACGTGTTGGGAGTCTGCCGCCCACTCCACTGTCGCCACCGCCGGGATGGGCGCGCACAGCAGGTGTGCGGTGAAAGGCAGGGAGCGGGGGCGCGAGGGGAAGGGCGGGGAGTGGGGGGGTGGTGGAGAGGAGGGGAGGTGGAGGAGGAAGAGGGTGGGGGACTCAGAGGGGGAGAGGTCGAGGAGCAGTGCGAGCAGAGAGTGGCAGCGGCTGACCTTGCACTCCACTAGCCTCACGTACCCTGGTGTGGTGCAGTGGGGTGGGATAAGATGCAGTGGGGTGCGGTGTGGTGTCGTGCGGTGGGGTGGAGTGGAGGGAATAGACGATGGCATGAATGACGACGGCGTGGACCGCAATAGCTGAGGGAGGGAGGAGGGGAAAGCATGGGGTGATGAGAGCGAGGGGAGCGCAGGAATGGGGATAGGCAAGCAAGGGTGGGTGGGTGGAACGTGGGACACAAGCAGGCAACAGCATTACCATAATAGTCTGCCAGCTCGTTCAGATCCGCCAACACCTGCGCCCGTCGCTCCTCCTCCCCTTGATCCTCTGCCCGTAGCTCCCCCGATTGCTCCTCCCCTTCCTGCCTCATTTGCTCCCCCATTCGCTCCGCCCTTCCCTCTCCCCGCCCCCCTCCCCCATCGCTCTCTGCTGAGTCCTCCCCCTCCCCCGTGTGCATGGCAGCGGGCATGCGGAAGAGCACTGGCAGCTCCTTGCCGTCCGGCACCCGTGCTCCGTACAGCCTGGTGGTGGTGGGGGTTGGGAGAGGGAAGGGGGTGGGAAGTGGGAGTTGTGGGAGTTGTGGGTGTGAGGGTAGGTAGGGGGGTTAAGTGGGGAGGAGGGTGCAGATGAGGGACACTGGTAGGGGGGGGGGGGACGATAATGAAATGAGCTGCATGCCTCGCACGCACACGCCCACCCACACCGAAATACCAACACACCCACCAGGGGCCGCATGCCTCAGGGGGCGCATGGGAGGGCGGCGGCATGGTTGCTTCCATCTCCGCCACCACCTCACGTTGCCACTCCTGCATTGTCCGCTTCCCCCCGCACCCACCCACCCACCAACGGCCACATGCCTCACACACACCCACCCACCAGGGGCCACATGCTTCAGGGGGCGCGTGGGAGGGCGGCGGCATGGTTTCTTCCATCTCCGCCACCACCTCATGTTGCCACTCCTGCATCGTCCGCCTCCACCCCCCTCTGCTCTGCATGAGGGCGCGCAGGTACGCGCGCTCGCGCTGCAGGTGGCGGCGCATGGGGGGGGAGTCCAGATCGTGCATCCAGCTGACACAGGGGGAGCATAGGCGGGCGGAGGGGGAGCGTGTTGGGAGGTGGGGGGGACAGGGGAAACATGGTGGGGGGGACAGGGGAAACATGAATCACGTCAGTTCCTAGTGTCAATGCGTTGAAGTCTCAAGAACTGCGCCCAATGCAGAGCGCGCGCACCTGTACCAGTCGACCCAGCTCTCCCCGTGCAGCTGCATCGTCGCCCGCTCCCTCCTCGCCTCGGGCGCACCGGCGCTGCGCGCGCCGCCCTCCTTCCGCTCGCCCCACCCCAACCACCGCGGTATCTGCAGTCCGCGCCTTCCCTCACCCGCTCTCCCCCTCTCCCCGCGCACAGTGCCCCTCTCTCCGCACAGCGGCAACCCTCCCCCGGCGATCACAATCCGCGGTTCCCGAAGCGCATGCGCCGCTTCCGCGCGCCAGCCCCCCCAATCTCCACTCCGCCAATACCTGCCAAGCGCCTCCGCCGAGACACCCTCATTCCGCGTGAGAAGGCGCAAGCGCGGCGGAAAATCGCGCACCAAGCACGCAGCAGCGGCGGGGCCTCCCCCCTCCCGCGGCAGCACTCCCCTTGGAAATTCCACATGGGGCAGCCGGGGCAGGAGGCGCAAGAATCTCCCCCCATGCATGCTCGCGCGCAGCACTAGGCGCACTGTTGGCGGGACGCGTGGTTCAAATGGCGGCAGAGGGAAGTTGCTGTCTGTGTGTGCGAATCAGGAGGCGATGGGAGGGAGGGCTGAATGCATGATTCGCTATTGAGCGATGCTGACTGCAACGATAGCTGATCGTGCATCTGTTTTTGGGAGGAAATGCAACATTTGTTTTTTGTTGATAGATGAAGTTATCTTGGTGTGCAGCGAACTAAAAAAGTTGAGCCCCTCAAGTTCCCTCAACGACGTGCCTAAATCGCGTACGGGGCCCGATTCGAGCTGTGTGAATGGTAGGTGGGGGGTCAGCGTTCAGTAGCACTCTCATCACTCTCACTTGCAGATCGAGTTGCACGTCAGCATACACTCCACAGTTCGTCATCACATGCCCCATTCCACGTCAGCTCACGGTGTTTCGCACGTCAGCAGCACATCGGCCAGAGCGGGAGGAGCAGCACTTTTCACCAGCACCGAACCAAGCACAAAGAACGGAACTTGAACTGCTTTCTTGCTTGCAGCCTTGGATACGCGAGTGAACTACTAGTCTGCTCTGTCGCACGCATTCCCCTTACGCGCTCCACCCAGTACACTGCCATACGACGCTGCTTTGCGATGGAAGGAACCGTTCGGTCCGGTTCGGATTTCGATATAGTTTCGTTCGTTAGAGGCGTGCGGGCGGAGTGGGAGAGCGGTAATGTGGCGCGCCAGTTGCGGGAGAATCTTTCCCGCCACGTGGACGGCCTTCAGCGCCGCCTCCCGCAATTCCCGCTGCCGAGCATTGCGCGCCAAGCGCGCGCGGACACGGCTTCCGCGAATGCCGCGGAACGCCCGCCGGGACTCAAGGATGTGGGAGTGCGCGCGACGGGGGGCGCGCGTTCTGGCGGGGCGCAAGGGGGAGGAGCGGAGGGGAATGACTCTTGCGCGGACGAGGACGGCGCGGAAACCCGGAGAAACAGCGCGGGTGCGCCTACCGGCGCAGTTGCGCAGGCGGGGCAAGCGCAGAGCAGCAAGGCGCGGGGGGGGAGCGGGCGGAAGTGGGGGCGCGAGACTGTGAAGCAGCGCATGGAGCGATGGCGCCGCGAGCGGGAGATGATGATGATGCGCGCGGCGGAGGAGGAGAGGCGGAGGGAGGCAGAGGCGGAGGCGGGGGGGGAAGGGGAGGGGGCGCGGGAGACAGTGGAGGTGGAGGAGCTGTATGTGGCGCGCAGCAGACACTACACGCCCAACGTGCTCACCTTTGGGTATGTCTAGCTCTTTCCCTCCTGCCTTCGTGTCCCCGAAAAAGTTTCGATATTTTTTTAAACCGTGAGCAGCGGCACTACACGCCCAATGCACCCCCAATGCCGCCATTCTGCCACCCCAATGTCCCCATTTGGCTTCCACAAGGCCCCGATTTGGTCCCCCAAATGCCCCCATCTCATTCTCCCCCACAATGCTACTACTTCTCTCCCTCAGTGCTCCCACACTCCCCTCCTCCCAGCCTGTCCCCCCACTGCCCCCCACTCTTTTTCCCTCTCCGACACCATCAGTTTCTCCCCCCCACTCTCCCACACCATCGCCACCCCGCCCCCCATCGCCTCAATGTCCCCCCAACCACTCTCCCGCCAGTTATTCATTCAAGCGGTGGACTGGGTACTGGGCGCTGCTCTCCACGGGCGAGCTCTATCCCGCTGAACACACCTCCACTGCCCTGATACCTCCCCATGCTCTGATACCTCCCCATGCTCTGATACCTCCCCATGCCCTGATACCTCCCCATGCTCTGATACCTCCCCATGCCCTGATACCTCCCCATGCTCTGATACCTCCCCATGCCCTGATACCTCCCCATGCTCTGATACCTCCCCATGCCCTGATACCTCCCCATGCCCTGATACCTCCCCATGCCCTGATACCTCCCCATGCCCTGATACCTCCCCATGCTCCCCGTTGCAGCTATTCATTCAAGGAATGGACGGAGTACTTGGCGCTGCTGTCAACAGGCGAGCTCTATCTGGGCCTGCCATCATGACATCATGCCACTGTGCTGTTCGTTCCCCCCTCCTCCCCCCCCACCAGCTACTCATTCAAGGAATGGACGGAGTACTGGGCGCTGCTATCCACAGGCGAGCTCTATGTCTGCCCGTTTTGAGACGACTCTAAGCCCTCAACTACCCAACCACTGCCCCCCACCCCACAATCCCCGCTCCCAATGCCCCCCGACTGCCCGTTGCAGCTATTCATTCAAGGAATGGACGGAGTACTGGGCGCTGCTCTCCACAGGGGAGCTCTACCTCGGCCTGCCCCACGGGGACCCCCGTCACTTCGACTTCCACCACGACCGCCGCACCAACCCGCACCGCTTCGTACCGCTCTCGCACGCCCACGGCGCAGCGCACGAGTTTGAGTATGGTGGGTGCCAGGTGGCACTGGCGCCAGGTCAGCAGGAGGTGCGGGTGGGCGGCGGGGACGTGGTGTTTAAGAGGGTCCAGCCGTGCGAGGCGGAGGAGGGATGTCGGTTGGAGGGAAGGTTTGTTCACGCCGCGGCTAGAGATTTTGTCGATGCAGCAGAGGCTTCGGGGGTGCATGGTGGGACGACCGTGACTTTCCGGGGAGATGGCACATTCAGCATGCAGGGAGCGACGGGGATTTTGCCGTGTATGGCGGGACGGGTGGGCGTGGGGGAGGGAGCGGGGATGGGGGTGGGGAGAGTGGGAGGGTTGGAGGGGAGGTATGGGGAGGTGGATGATGAGGAGAGGGAGGGGAGGGGGGAGTATGAGATAAGGGGGAATGGCATAGAGCTGCGGTATGAAGGGGGGCGAGTGGAGGATGCGTTTTTCTTTGAATACCCGGGGTCTGGCGGCAGCGAGGTTAACATCAATGGCACCACGTATCACAGAGTGGTGGAGCAGGGTGGGGAGGAGTGATGCAGAGAAGAGGGGGTGAGGGGGCCAGTAGGGGAGGAGTGATGCAGAACGGGTGGGGGGGAAGAGCAAGAGGGGGATGAGTGATGCAGGGGTGGCAGGACCAAGGTTGTGCGTGGACACACGACTGTGCATACAGCACCCTTGGGAAACATGAAGCCTATGTCTATGCCTGATGTGGATGGCCCCTCTCTTCATTAGAGCAGGCCCTGAATTTATTAACTTATGGTAGGCAGCTTGACTGACACTGCAGCAGATTATACTGGAAGCAGGCTTGATTCTGCCTGCAAGCACCAATTTCGCATTATTCAGATATTGAAAAAAGCACCAAGCATGTCACACAGTAGTTTGAACATCACCTGTCTCTGGCTTCACCAGGCCAGCCTGTATCGTCCCCAGCTGCACATCCCCATCCCTCTGCACCACCTCTGCCTCCTTCACCTGCACTCGACCTGCCTGTGCTTCCACCTGCCCTAGTGGGGTCTCTGCCTTGACCTGCCCCTCAGCTGCCCCTACGTTGACTGGCCCTTGTGCTTTCCCTGCCTTGACCTGCCCTTGGGATGCCCCTGTGTTGATCTGTCCTGGCGCTGCCCCTGCCCGCCCCGCCTTTTCCTGAGGCGAGGGTGCCATGGGGGGCGGGGGCTGCACGTTGCATGAGTTGCACGGGTACGGGCAGTCTATCAGCGCCGCCTCAAACGCGCCCATGCTGCCCTGCGTGCTCATGCTGCCTTGTGCGTCTGCGGTAGCATCCACGGCTCGCAGCCACTTGCGGACGGCATGCATGAGAGTCTGCAGGGGGGCGTAGAGAACAGGGGGGACGAGAGGGGGAAAGGCACTGAGTGCTGAGGTGTGTGCGTGGTTGAGAGGAGGAAAGCGAGAGACATTTCTACAAGTGTGAAGGGGCATGAGACTGTGCGAGGCAAGGCCACAGCAGACATGCAGGATGTGAGGGGAGGAACAAGATGGCGGTCTTAGTGGTGTGAATGGGTGCGGAGGAAACAGAAACACACCCCAAACGTGGGTGTGATGGAAGAATGGCAAGGTGAGGCGATGGAGCAGGAGAGGGCGAGCGGGGGGTTGGGGTGGGACCTGGTTGTTCACGGTGAGTCGCAGCCAGTGGTCCTCATAGTGGCTTGTGCAATGGGTCAGGCACGAGAACAGAAACACACCGTGCTGCTGCTGCTGCACATCCCCTTGCCCTCCCCCACCTCCCTCTGCATCTGTCCCTGCTGTGGGTGACAGGAGCGGTGCCACAGTGGCTGTGACTGTGTCCCGCACGCCTGGGAGGAGGGGGTGAGGGAAGATGGGTGAGAGGAGAGAGGGCATGGCAAATGGTAGAGTGAGACGATTGGGATGGCAAACGGATGGGTTCAGGAGAAGAAACGGGAAGGCAAATAATAGACAGACAAAACGCAGGACAGTTTGGGCTGGTTGCACAAGTCACCCTGGCGGCTACAGTGTCACCTTGCAAGGTGGCGAGCTGTGATTGGTTGCACGTGTGTAGCTTCCTCAAGCAGCTGGCGATGAGCTCGCCAGACGGGTCCGCCTCTGGTGGGGCGAGCGCATGGCGCAGCTGGCAGGGGCACAGGAGTGTGGGACAGGAGGGGTGTGGTTCATGGGGCAGGGAGGGAACGGTTAGAAGCAATGGTGGGGAGGAGTGAAAGCGTGAAGAAGGGCTGAGGAGGGGAAGGTAGGCAGAAGTGGACAGCCTTGCCGCCCTGAGCTACAAGCATTGCGCAGAACGATGATCCACAGGGCATTGGGGCACCTCAAAAACGCGCTGAGAGATGTTGCACAGGGCACAGCTAAGAAGACCGGGGCATTGCAGGTTAGGGGGGAGCAGCGCACCAGCCAGAGGTCGTAGTTGCTGTTTATGATGAACGTGGGCGTTCTCAGGAGAGGCAGTAGCTGCGCTGTCATGAAACACTGCCACGTGGCACGGGCACAGGGTAGGGCATGTGCATAGTTGGCAGAATAAGTCCACATTGGATGCATGGCACGTATGAGAGCAGGTAGAGACCTAGACTCATATGCACAGCGGCAGCACTGCTGTTGACTGCACGGGTGTTAACTGCACAGGTGTCAGCAGCACAGCAAACCTGATAGTGGTCTTCAGGTGGACGAGAGGAGACGCAGGAGGCGGGAAGACTGCCAGTCACATTCTGCCACGTATGCAGCACACAAGCATCGCGAGGCGTGGTGAGGCTATGATGGCTTATGAATACCTAGGATGGCTGACAGACGTTGTGATGTGATTTCACATGTGACATGCGCGCGCACTATGCTATACACCTTGAGAGGGGGGGGACCACACGCACATGAATGGAGAGCACAGAGCGAAAGAGGTTCTGAGCCGCCCTGCCTCCGCTGATGTCTGGACTGCGGCACAAGCGGGAGCAGTAAAGGGGTGGGGATGAGAGAACAAAGGCATGCTCCGTTCCATGGCATGGGATGGTGCAAACTAACAGAAAACCAGCGGTGTGGGGTTGGTGAAGTGAAGGCGGATCAAGCAGGAGTGAGGTATGGGCGATGGAATGGGTGTGTGAGAGAGTGGGGAGGAAGCGGCTCACATGTCAAGAAAGAGGCCCGAGTCTGCAAGGCACTGCACGGATGCGGAGGGGGGCATGTGGGCATGGCGGATGTAGTCACAGTGCAGATACACCACCAGTGCTCCTGCTGAACACCCCGATATAAGCACCTGGTGCAGCCACAGGAATTCAGAGATAAAAAATTGGGAGGGAAGAGAGGCACAGGTTGGACATGGTTGAGTGTGCATGGTACATGGGCAGCATGAGGAGCAGCAGGGGAGTGCAAGTGGTGGTATGGTGCAGCGTGGGGAGTGCAAGTGGTGGTATGGGGCAGCGTGGGGAGTGACTGGGGCTTGTTGCAGCGATGCCATCACTCGCTGCCTTTGCCTTCCACAGCACTCTCCTGCCATCCCATAGCCCCTCTGCACTGCCCTATACGCAACCCCCCTGCCCTACCTGCTGCCCACCCCTCACCCGTTGTGCTTTGCCCATGTGGAATCTGGTTGTGAGGTGTGTGAGGAGGAAGTCGAGGATGCGCCGGCCACGAGAGAAGAGCGGCACTCCCTGGGGAGAGGGGAGTGGAGGAAGGGGGGGTGTTTGACGTTCGTGAGGGGTAAGGGAAGTGGGTATGTGGAGCAGTGAAGGGAAGGATGAAGAGGATGTGCAGGGATGCATGGCCTGACCCCATGGCATGAACTCTTAGCATAACGTCATGCACTGCAGGGCAGGCTGTCGGGCTCAAAGCACAAACTTGCTACTATCCTTTCTTGGAGGAGCGAATATCTGAGTGCGTCTCACCTCAAAGACCAGCGGGTCGTGCCTGTCACCAGAGAAAGACGCCCCATCGCAGTACGGGAAGATGACCAGGTTCCAGTCGTACAGATCTGCAGGAAGTTTCCACGGGGTGTTGTGGAAAAGGCAAGGGGCTTGCTATGAAAACCGCATTGGCGAAAATAGCCGCAGGGATGCTCCAAGGCTAGCCTGCCTATCTTCTCTGAGCATGCTTGCTGTCGGCAGGCAGCGCGTTTGAAAGGTGATGGGAGCTGCCCCGCAGGAAGAAACTGAGTGTGCGAGAGCAAGCGACAAGGGCACGGTACGGCTCAGCCTACCTTAATGCACAGAATACGGTACTGCCCTGATGTCAGCCCACCCGGATGCGCATAACACGGTATGGTTCCACTGTCCACAATCCACCCACCCGGGTTGACGTCACTCTGGGCGCTGAGAATGCCGGGTGTGGGCAGCACGTCAGGGAAGTGCTTAGAGCTGCCCCACAGCGACGAGCTGCGGTTGTAGCAGTCCCAGGGGGTCGTGCACCATGCGCCCGACTGCACAGGGGGGAAGCACGGGGGGGGGACGTAGGGCGGTGGGGGAAAAGCGGGGGAAGGGGGGGCGGGGGGACTTAGGTGGGGGTGGAAGTAGGGATAGAATGAAAAAGGGAGGATATCAGGTAGGTGGGGGTGGAAGTAGGGATAGAATGAAAAAGGGAGGATATCAGGGGAGTTGATACACACGTCTGCATGTCCACATGTATGCACGCTTATACGTCTCACCCGGAAGTTGAGCAGCCATTTGTTTGCGCCGCTGCCATGTCCTCGGCGGAAGTAGAACCCGGGCGCGGACCCGTCCAGGCACACTGCCAGTGCCACGTGGTCGGGGGAATGATAAGACGGAACGGCAGAAGTTGACCATGAGCACGCGCGGTATTGGACACACTCGTGGAATGCCGTGTGTAATGGCTACGGAGGACAGAGAACGAAGGCAGGCGGATTCTGACAAGAGCAGTCGTTTTGGAAGCTACAGCGTTACGAATGTTACAGCGTCCAATGCTGGACCAGGTATTGTGCAATTTAACCACAGCTCCATCAACTCCTCCCCTCCGCATCTCACGCCGTCTCATGACTGGCACTACAGCGCATCACACGGCGTCACACATCGCCATCCCGCACCTTACTTCCACTCCTCACCCGCGCCATGCTTCTTCGCCTCTTCTACGATAAACAGCCGTAGTGTCCTTTCCCGTGCTGCTTCGTCCGCTATTACCGCGCGACGCGTCGCTCCTGGCGACGGCGTGCCTACTGCGCTTCGTGATCTCGAGGTTCCACCGTCGCGAATCGTGATTTTATCGGCGCCATCAGTAACAGTGATTCTATCGAATGTCGTGCTGGAGACGAGGAGCGATAGCAGAAGCGTGGCGAAGAATGGTGCGTTCGACAACAAGGAACTGCAAGGTACCATAGCTTGAATGCTTTCCAAGCTTCTGGTATTTGATATGTGAGCATTTGGGAGAGCTGGAAATTCGAGCAGGTGCAGCATTGGGAGTTGGATTGCAGCAGCTTGAACCTAGGGAATTCCCCTGTGCTTTGTTCGCTTCGCCTCAAGCCTCGAGACTTTCGGCAGCTCGAGCAGGAAAGGGCGTTAAGTACACTATATCAAGATTTGAATAAGTGCCACTCGTAAATACGTACATTACTAGTAAGTGCAGACACACTACCTCCATTCCAGCATGGAAGAAAACGAAATTAGTTGGATCCGTTGCCTCTCCATTGCCTTTCCCTATCCGATTGAAAACAATTAGAAGCTATGCCCTATATTCGAACTTTTTTAGCTTACCAACTTAGTGTGGTCTCACTGCTAAATGGTGGCTCTTTCTCTATACATGTGTGCTATGTGCATGCACAGCTGAATGTCCCTTCCATCGCCCCACCCACCCCATCCCTGAAACATCGTCCACCGCTTCTCCTCCTCTCGTTCCACAACGGGAGCCGAGGCATTCACCATCATCCAATGGTCCTCATCCATCAACTGTACCAACTCTATTCCATCCTCTCCTATACTACACCTCGCACTCTTCTTCTCCTTCCCCTCCTCCGCATCCTTCTCCCTCCCTTCCCCACCACTCCCCTTCACAGCAGCAGCTGTACTGCTGTTACTCTTTGCCTTCGAGCCCCCCTGCCCTGAGTGCAGCCCGCAGGATCCCACATGGTGGGCGCTGGCGCGGGACCAGCGCAGCGACCAGGAGGAGGGCAGGCGGCGCAGCACGGACGACCAGAGGGACAGGTCCCAGTTGTAGTCGTCGTACAGGCAGAATGGCTGGGGGGTGGGGGGTTCGGGCAGTTAACAAGGATAAGGTGGGTGAACGCCAGAAATAGGGTGGGTGGTTGGCAGGGATAGAATGACTGGCAGAGAGAATCAGGGGTCATTCATAGCAGAACAAAAAAACGAATAGAGGATTGTGACTGAGAACAAAAAAACCACTTGGACTTACAATAGGCGCTCCGTCTCACCTTGGCCTGTGCGTGAATGAGCTCCCACACGCTGCGGTTGAACGCATACCCCACGTTGCCCATGCGCTCCGCTGTCAGCACCCCCGGCTCGTCGTCCTGTATCGACTCCACATCGGAGGGGGCGAGGTTGGCGGCGATGCAGTGGGGGCAGCGCGCTTGCTTGGCGTGGAGGAGCGCGCGCAGGTGGCGCAGGGCGTTGGGGAAGAGCAGATGGTCCTCCTCCACCCACACCACGTGCCCTTTGAACCCCCGTGTCTCCTCCACGCCCCCCCACACCGCGTTCATCGCCCACCACCAGTGGTGCTGCCAGGGGGGAGGAGGAGAGGGTGGGGTTGCGGCACACGCGGACATCGAGGAAGAGAGCTTGTAACGAAGCAGGCACAATCAAGTAGGGATGCGGAACGGAGGGGCGCAGTAGTAGTGGGTGAATATGGGAAAACTGCGAGGGAGTGGAGGCATGGTGAACACCAACGGCAGCCAATCAGAACCCCTCTCACCTTAAGAGACAGCCTCCGCGGATCCCTGAACGACCCGTATTGGTCCGCCTGCCCCGTGCACTCTCTCCCTCCCGTGGCTTCGTGCGCGCTCCCCTGGCAGTCTGCGGGGGAGGCGGCGGGGAAGGAGGCGCTGAAGAGGTGCGGGGAGAGCGGGAAGTAGAGCTGCTTCACGGCGCAGAACGTGATTCCGCGCACCAGCGCGTGCATCTCGGGGTAGTACCCGTCGTGGCTGCGCGGGGGAAGAGGAGAGGATATCAGAGGGAAACGGGAGTGGGGGACTTGAAAGGAAGGGGAAGCGCGAGTGTTCATGGACGTGGGAACGGCATGCGCAAGCCTAAGCACAGTAAGCAGGTTGACGGGGAGAACGCCGGCGGAACAAATGACCCAGGGAAGCACCTCACGAGAGCAGGGTGCCTTCAGTGCCTACTACTTTGCTCAGCGCCGTAATTGCGAGTCGACTGTACAAACGCACCTGACGATGAGCAGCGCGTCTTGAATGCCTTCCACCTTGCTCAGCGCCTCCAGCGTGCGTCGCAGGTACGCCGGCCGGTTGTGCACCAGCAGCACCATCACCACATCCGAGTCGCTCAACCGCTTCTTCCACGGGCCTCGCGATCCGGTAACGTTAGTACTGCTATCACTTCTGCTGCTAGTATCAGCAGCGCTACTGCTAGCCCGTTTTCCCCTCGCTCGTCGCCGCACTTGCGCGCGTAGCTTTGCGAGCAGACCCATCTCACCCCCGGTCTTCTCCGCGTTTCCCGCCGTCACAGGCGCTCTCGCCGGCCGGCGATTCCACTCCTCGAGCCGCCGAGAGAGCGGCGAGGAAGGCGGCCACGGCTCGTGCGGGTTCATGCGACGCCACGTGTCGAAGAACGATTGGGCTTCGCGTTCCTTCCTTCCGTTGAACAGGTCGAGAAGTCTCGCACCCGCGCGATCGTAACTCTCCTCCGCCTTCAAATCCATTTTCTCCACCTCATCCCGCATCGACTTCAGATTTTCCTCCATTTCTAGGTCAGCGTAAGTCCTGTCTTCCGTCGCGTCGCGGATCGTTGATCTTCCATGAAATGCGGCGTTCAGCGCCACGAATCCACTTCGGAGCAAATCCTGGTTAAGGGTTTCGGGAGTTTCGCGTGTACAAGAAACGAGCCACGTGCCATCTGCTATCGCAACGTCATCAGATTCTGCCAGCACTATACCTAGTTTTGGAGCGGAATAGCGAAACAAGGGCCATATTGGCCGCGGCACGCGTGCGAGCCACCAGCGAGTTCGCAGCTTCGCTAACTTCTCGTCGATTATTCGCAACAGATCGCCTCGCCTCATCCACTCGTCTACAGTCTCGCGAACGTCGCTCGTATCGCCACTTTCGTCATTCATGTCGCCTGGTTCCTCGGTTGAGTCAGAGCCCTTCGCGACAACCACTTCGTTCATCGCAGGGGGGTTCCAGGCTTGCGGGAGGAGGCGAGCTGGGAGAAGAGATACGGGCGAGAATCCCCCAGAGGGCGACGCGGCATGGAAGAGTGCGAGCGCGAGGAGCGCTTGCGCGAGGAGCAGCAGGAGGAGGCACGAGGAGGTGCACGCGGGGGAAACATAGCGCCGGTAGTGCCGCGGAGAGATTAGCCCGCCTAGGTTGTGCGCGTTTACGGAAGGATGAACGGCGATTAAAGGCCTAGCGAGAGCTGCGGTACGAAGCGAGCCGAGTTGGCTCGGAATAAGGCGCGAAAGGAACGACATGAGTTGCGAGATTCTGCGCTGCTGGCAGCGCACGAGCTGTCTATGGAGCTTTCTAGTAAGTGCAAGTCTCCTACAAAAGGCTTTCCGTAGAATATGAAAGGCTCGAGTTTGCTATGCGTTGACGTGATGCTTGTCCGGTGGCATGGCTTGTCCAGTGGTTTTGTTTACATGGTGTGATGGCAGCGAGCAACAAGAGCAGCAGCAACATCAGCTAGGAGTGACTGTTCGATGAAATGTGATACATGTCGCGGAGTGGAGAGTAATGGAGAGGAGTGGAGAGTGATAATGGCTGCATCGCAGAGACATATTGGCTCACCGCCACACAAGACGACCGATCCTGTCTGAAATTTGCGTTGCGTCTGCTCTGCTCGTCTTCTGTGAAACGCGCACTTCGCCGTTGAAGGGGATGTGACGGGATGAAGCGACTCGTGTTTCCTCGATCCGACGGCGTATAGGAAATTGATCGCGACTAGTTTCAGGACGTATGCATTCCCGCGTGCTAGAATTGGTGGCGGCGAAACGCGCGAACAAAGGCGTGACGATAGGCTTCCCGAGAAGGCTTATCATCCGCTATGGGTTCAACCGATACGTATGTACACTTTCTGATCATCAGTAATATCCGGAATGTGCTTCGGATAAAATGACTCACATCTAACTTTCAAGAACTGTACATCTTAGATATGTAATTGCATAACTTAATATCACGCCCATCACCCCATCCACCCCAACCTCTAAAAGAGCTAGAAGTGATTTTGAAAGTCCTAGGAATCAACGGAGCTGAACCATTTATGGACATCCTTGTATCTTCAGTTGTAATTACAACCTCCTCGCCATCATCATTATGATTACTCCACCAAGATTTGTTATTTACGCAGTTGCTGGTATTCCGCCCCCTCCCTGAGTGGAATCCACAATTGCCAAAGTGTCTTGCACTTGTTCTTGACCAGCGAATTGAAGAGGCATTCTGTAACCGCTTTAACACAGAGCCCGACATTGTCACATCCCAATTGTAATCATCGAAGTAGCAGAATGCCTGTGTGTGGACACACAGAGAGGTGCTGAGTATATATTAGCACCAGCAACAACGACAAAATGTGAAGGATTGTGATACACGAGACTACAAGAAAAGGGATCGCATACCTCTGCTTGTTTGTGAATCAATTCCCACACAGTGCGGTTGAAGCAGTACCCGATGTTCCCCATGGTCTCCACAGAAAAAGTCCGCGGCCCAGTGTCCTGCCACTCATGCACATCGGAGGGCGCGAGGTTGGCGGCGATACAGTGGGGGCAGCGCGCTTGCTTGGCGTGGAGGAGCGCGCGCAGGTGGTGCAGGGCGTTGGGGAAGAGCAGATGGTCCTCCTCCACCCACACCACGTGCCCTTTGAACCCCCGTGTCTCCTCCACGCCCCTCCACACCTCGTTCATTGCCCACCACCAGTGGTGCTGCAATGGGGGAAGGGAGTGGGGGGAGAAGGAGGGAGAGAGAGCCTGGTGAGGAAGCAGGTAACATCAAATACAGTGTCGAAGCAGAGAATTTTGGTGACCAATCTCACCTTGAGAGATATTATCCGAGGGTCCCTAAACCTTCCAAACTGATCCACCTGTCCACTGCAATTGCCTACCCACTCCTTCCCTTCCCCAGGTCCCTCTCCTCCTCCTCCACCATCCCCTTCGTCACCTTCAGCTTCCCCCCAGGCGGCCTCACTCCTAGGCAGCCGACGTTGGCAGTCGTCAGGGGAAGCTGCAGGGAAGGTGCCGTTGAAGAGGTGAGGGGAGAAGGGGAAGTAGATCTGCTTGACGGGGCAGAAGTCAATCGCCCTCACCATGGCGTCCATCTTGGGATAGTACCCATCGTGGCTGCATGACGGAGAGAGGAAAGAGTTGAAAGCGTGTGGGGAAGAAGATAAGGCATGTGAGATGCGGCTGCAATGGAATGGCACAACAAGCAGCGGGAAATCCATGTGTCAAAGAGAGAAGCAGCATGCTCAGAAATTCACAAGTTTTTTTTGAAGACACAACTCGCACACACCTTACAATGAGCACCTGCACTCACCTTACAATGAGCACCTGCACTCACCTGACAATTAGCAGCACATCTTGAATGCCTTCCACGCGTCGCATGGCTGCGAGCGTCCGTTTGAGATACGCCGGCCGGTTGTGCACCAACAGCACCATCACGATCTGATCGTCCCCAAGCCGCGCCTTGCTCCAGGCTTGAGCGTCCACTGCTCTTCGCTTATTATTGGCTGCTGAATCGTCACTCCGTCGCAATTGTCTGCGCGCATCCCAGCTTGTTCTCCGCGGAATGCGAGGAGGCAGCTTATTCCTCTCGGCGAGGCTAGAGGATAGGGAATTCTGTGGCGGCCATGTCACCTGGGGATTCGCGAGCCGCCATGAATCATAGAATGCATTTGATTCTCGTTGTTTCTGCTGCTTTTCGAAGTCCAGAAGCTTCATCTGAAGCGCGTCGAGCTCGGATTGGTTCACATCCGTCATGGCGGCGATAGCGGCGCGAACCTCTAGGAGAAACTCACGCTTCGCAGGCAGATCCACCGGCGCTATAGAGACTGAACGAGTCTCATTAGCCATCAACGGGTCTGCTTCGCGAGCCATGGAGGTATTCCCTCTTACTAGAGTTGCACGGTTTCCGTCAGCCAATGCGACAAAAGCGACCTTCTGCGAACTCGTTTTTCCCGAGTCGTCGTGTCGCAGCTCGTCATCGATGCGTCGCAGCATGTCGCTGCGCGCCGTCGTGAGCACGTCGCGGCGTGCGAGCTCTTCCAGAGAGAAGAGCTGCGGGTTCATGAATGCGTCGACTGCTTGTGCCTCAGGGAATGCCGATCCGCTGCTTTCCTCCTCTACCTTGCTCAGCACGCTCCCCCCTTCCGTGAAATCCGAGGAATTCGATTCACCGATATCGTATCGCGAAGGGAGAAAGACGATGTCGTCTGTTCTCAAGTCAGTCGTCGGGCGTAGTAACGGCGTGGCGAACGGAAGAGGAAGGATGTTGAAAAGGAGAATCGCGATGACGCTGTGAACGAGGAGAAGGCATGCGATGGCGTATCGCGCGGTGGTGATGATACGATGGCTGCAGGGAACGAGCGACGCCAGATGAGCCACGGCAGCCATGGGACCCCCGTTTCACTACCATGCAACAATGCTTGTTCGCGAAACGAACCACGCTGGACTTGGCGCCAACAGGTAGATCCTAGATATTGGCCCAATAGGCGACTTCAGCAAAAAGGTGGAAAACAGGTCATTAGGCGAGTAATGCGGGCATGCCGCGGGGAAGTTCTGTACCTGACTTCCTGCTGTGGCTGGTGAATACGAGAGAAGGGTGAAGTCGTGGAGGGATCGAGGGTGTGGGGAAATCGAGGTGGAGGAGCGGAGCCGAGGCTTGTTCAATGGATTGAAAAGAGCGATCGGGGTAGGCGGTGGTGATGATGGCGGGAGGGAGAGAGAGGAGGAATCGAAGGTCTGTTGGGCGACTTGGGATGTACGCGTAAAATCAGATTCGTGTGTAGTGGAATCCTCAGAGTAGAAAAAGCGTGTAATTAGTAGAAGTTTCATTTCTGGTTGAAGCCAACACCTTTCCTTGTGGGCTAACGACGCACCTTTCTTGATTCTGGTTCGATGCTGTGACACTCTTGCTGCCTCTTTACAGGCTGAATACATACTAGATATACCCCTAGGTTAGATTCATATCACTAAAACACTTTACCCTTGATGCCCCTCAAAGAGGCTTCCTATCATCTCGTTCACCTGTTGCGGCGTGTACTTTATGTACTTGCTTTGATGCCGCAGTGTGGCACCATGTGTTTTGTAGAATAGGGTGTACAGTGATAGCACCCTGTACCGCACAGCCTGATGCAGCTCCTGCTGCAGAGGGCCAGGGTTGACCATCCAGGCTCGCTGAACCCTGCACGCTTCCTCAAACAATGTCGAGAATTGCTTGAAGATTTCCTGCAAGTTGCAATCATGAGCAAAAGCATTGAACAAAATGGTGAGCCAAAATCTAGTAGTGAGCACGCAAGCGGGGCGTATCCAAGGGTGAAGAAAGCTTGCAGTGAGCCAAATGCAGCCACCCCAAGCAAGCCCTCGGGATTACCTTGAGCGAGCCCTTGGGGTTGAGGAAGGAGGTGGTGAGAACCTCTCTGAGCGGCGCCATGACGCGGTTCCACGCCACCTTGAGGTACTCATTCGCCTGCTGCTGTGCCGTGTCTGCTCGGTCCCTGATCCAGTCGTCCCCCACCAGCATGCGCAGCTCACACCCCTTCACCTGTATTGTGTGTGTGTGATGGGGAGGGGGGAGAGATTGGAGCAGATAAAAAGGCATGAGATAACTTCAGAGTCACGTCTGGCCTGAGCCTGTCGGCCCCATCAGCATGGGACAGCTCACAGCCCTTCACCTTGTGTGCAGCCTACTCTCCCAGACTATCTGCAATGCCCTACAATGTACTGATGCACGTTGTTCACCAGTGAGCCACCTCAAAAGTCGTCTCTTTACCTTGCGAGCAATGTACTGCACGTTGTTCATCATGAAAAAATGCACCAGCCCTGCATCCCTGCATGGGACAGCTCACACCCCTTCACCTTGCCACAACTCTCCTAGCCTGTCTGCAACACCCTTTACCTTGCGAGCAATGTACTGCACGTTGTTCATCATGAAAAAATGCACCAGCCCTGCATCCCTGCATGGGACAGCTCACACCCCTTCACCTTGCCACAACTCTCCTAGCCTGTCTGCAACACCCTTTACCTTGCGAGCAATGTACTGCACGTTGTTCATCATGAAAAAATGCGCCAGCCCTGCATCCCGATACGTCAGCGCCTTTCCCAGAAGCTTCGCCTCCAGCACCTTCAGAATGCCTCTGATCTTCCGCCCCACCTCGCGATACTCCTCCTGCGGCTCCCCCCAGTACCGCTTCCCATCCTCCCCCACCACTCCGCCCTCCTCCCCCTCCTCCTCCCCCTGCACCTCCTCCTCCTCAAACTCCTCCTCTTCCTCCTCGTCCGACCTCAGCCGCAGCAGCTTCGGCACCGGCACCACCACTGCGTTCCCACTGCTGCTATACAGCTTATTAATGGTATCACTGTATTCAAAGAGCAGGCCAAGGTAGTTGACGACATAGCTGGTGAGTCCGTGCACGGAGCCGGCAGGAGGGGGGCGGCTGTCCTCCTGCTCTATGTTTCGCTCGAAGTCAGCGAGGATGCCTCTCACCGCCACGCCCACGTAGCTCAGCACCACTGACAGCTCGTTGCGCACACTGCGACATGCACCATTGCCTGGAGGGGGGAGGGAGGAGAAAGGGGGGGAGGAGGGGAAGTGGTTGGGGGGGGGCGCTGTCCTCCTGCTCTATGTTTCACTCATAATCAGCAAGAATGCCTCTCACTACCACGCCCACATAGCTCAGCACTACTGATAGCTCGTTGCGCACACTGCGGCATGCACCATTGCCTGGGGAGCTAAGGGGGGGAAAGGTGGGAGGGGATTCGGGATGAAGCATAGTTGAGGAAGCAGATGGGGGGAAAGGGATGCGGAATAGGCTGAAAGTTCCAAGATGAGGCATTTTGCAGATTTCCAGCATGGGGTGCCGTTCCAGCTAGTTTCAGTTGGGCTAATCCGAGGGCCTCACCGCACACAACCGCGTTGAAATCGGGCTGCAGCTCCTGCAGCGTCTCATAGATGTCGAGCATGGCGAAGAGGCGCTCCGGCGCCTTGTGGCCCGCCGCGAATGCCTCCACGAAGTCAAACAGCCGCCCCATGCTGCCCTTGGCCGTCTCTGCGAAGCACTGCTCGCTGTCCTGTTATGGGGTGGGGAGAGGGGAGGACGGGGGAGGCAGTAGGGAAGGGAGAGCGCAAAGGGTTACGAGAGAGGAAACAGCCGGCCATGCTGCCCTTAGCCATCTCCGCAAAAAACAGCTCATTGCCGTGCCATAAAGGGTGTGTGGGCGAGGAGGGAGGGGGCGAGACAGCAGGCAAGGGAGATGGTCAGAGCGAGGCAGCAGGGAAAGCAAACATACAAACAGCCGGCCCATTCTGCTCTTCACCGCCTCATGGGGAAAGCGGTGGTGGGGGGTAGGCAGAGAGGCAGGGGAGCTTTACCACATCCAACCCACCTCCACCGTGTCAAAGACCCGTTCACAGAGCTTCCTCTCCGCGGCGAGCAGCACACGCACGCCCCGCCGCGCATACGCCTTCCACAGGTCCACGCGCGCTGCCAGGTCATCCCACTCCAGTGTTGGTACCAGCCGAGGGTCGAAGCGCCCCGCCGCTAGCTGCTTCAGCGATTCCTCTAGCACTGCCTGTAGGTGGGAGGGAAGGGTGGAGCGAGGGAGGGGGCGAGGGAGGGGGCGAGGGAGGGAGGGAGAGAGGGAGGGAGGGAGGGAGGGAGGGAGGGAGGGAGGGTAAGGAGGAGAGGAACTTATGGTCGACAGAGAGCAAACAACTAGCTGCCTGCCGCACGTATGCCTTCCACAGGTCCACGCGCGCTGCCAGCTCATCCCACTGGAGTGTCGGCACCAGGCGTGGGTCGAACCGCCCCGCTGGCAGCTGCTTTAGGGACTCCTCTAACACCGCCTGTGGGAGAGGAATGGGAGAGAGCAGTGGAGGGAATGAGCTCATGCAGCAGCAATCGGTGCTTCACTGCCTTGCATGCAAGCAAGCCAATGAAGCACCGCTTTGCCTTGCAAGCAATTCAGGGGCCCCTTTGCCCGCTTTGCCTACCTCACGCCCGCTCTGCTAGCACCAAAACCCCCCTGCCTTGCGCATTCTCAGCATACCTTCCGCACCCTCCCCACCCCACGCCTTGTGCACCCTCCCCACGCCTTGTACACCCTCCCCCTACCTCGCGCATTCTCTCCTCACATTGCGCACCCTCTTCCTACCTTGCGCACGGTGCGGTAGTTCCGCCGGAGCGAGGGGGAGAGCCCTGCGCGCGCAGCCACGCGCGCAATGGCGTGGAGGCGCCACACGGCGGGCTCGGGAAGGAAGGAGGGCGCGCGGTCCAGCGCGGATACCGCGAGGGACGCGGACGAGGGGGAGGAGGAGGGGGAAGAGGAGGAGACGGGGGTGGCGGCCGCGGAGGGGGAGAGCGGCGCGGAGGAGCGCGGGGGCTTGGATACGCGCTTGGCCGCCTCGTTGACCTGGGGGCGGTGGGGGAAGGGCGCGCGGACGGCGGGAAGGGAAACAGTGAGGTGCAACGACATGGCGGTGCTAAGAATCGAGAAAAGGATGCAAAAAAATGAAAATATGACAGGAGCGAGAGAACCTCATTTTCGACCAATGCGGCATATTCGGGTGTCACAACAAGTTAGAAAGCACTCGACTTTTAAGACAGCAGAAAAAAGCACAGCAAGTTAAAGACGTACCCGATCGGGCGGCACGGGGTGGCTCTCAGCGAGCAGCACGTGCAGAAATCCCTCCTCGAGGCGCGGCACCACGTTGTTCAGCATCGCCTTTGCGGTCTCGCGCACGCCGCCCATCCCCGGCGGCGCGCCGGGCATGTTGGCGGCGTCGATCAAATCGAATAAGCGCTCGACGGCCTCGAGATACGCGCGCACGTCGACGACCGACGCGTCCCATATGGCGGTCCCCGCGCCGCCGCTGGCGGAGGACGAGCGCGGGAGCGAGGAGGCGGAGGGGGAAGCGGAGTGCTGCGCGGGTTGGCCATGCCAGCCGCCGAGAAGGGCTATGGAAGATTCTAAGGTTTCGAGGGGGGATGTGTACGCGTGCGACGCTCGCGACGACTCCCCGCGCATGGCGGGCAGGTTAGCGGACTCGCGGGCGAGGTCAGCTCAAGAGCTACGTGGAGTGCGTTCGCTGACGGCGCAATCGTGAGTACTGGGGGACGGCGATCCGTTGAAATAACTATTTCCCTATGACCTGCACGAGCTCGACGGAAATGAGGCAGACTCGAGGGAAAAAATGCTGCTCTTGAAAAGTTAGCGATAGGATTCCAGCGACCTTGGACTTGCACTGCGATGAGGCGACCAGTTTGTACATAGTACAGTTATCTCTGCTACAGATCAAAAAAAAAAAAAAAAAAACTTAGAATAATTGCTTGGCGGGCAGGTTAGCGGTGTCGGCGGCGGGAACGACAGCCGGCGCGTTGAGCACGATGTGTTCACTAAGCGCGCAAAGGTGACGCTTTTGAAAGCGTAAGTTTGTAGAATGCGCAACTAGTGTTGGCACCAGGCCTGGTGTGCTAGGTTTGAACCGCAAGGACTAAGGCAAGTGACATGGGTACACAGTTGGCGGCTGAGAGGTGGAGAGGGGATGATTTCGATACGAGGGCACCAGGCGGGGCTGAAATCCTCGCTGTTAGCACAACAGAAATATATTTCATTTTTTTAAGAAATGTTGCTTGTTCTACTACTTATATAAGCACACAACCTGCAGGGAAAGGAGTCAATACTGAGTCTAAGCACACGTTGATAGTGTCCCAGCACTCCACATCTGCACGAAAAAAAAAAAAACAAACAAACAAACAAACAAACAAATCATCGGAGCAAAGCAAGCGGAACCTGTGAGGCTTTACAAGAAAAAAACAGAGCTTAGAGTATGTATGGTCCTAGGTTATAATGCATATCCACAGAGCAAAGGATGTACGGCATGTCAATTCCCTCACAGTACCTGCGCCACGCATGGTATCCAGCGTATTTCACAGGGTCCTCAGCCGCAGCCACTATGGTGCGGCGCAGCTCGTCCCGATGCATCGAATCGGCGTTCAGGAACGAGTCGGGGGGGGCAAAGCTGTCTATGTCCGGCGCCCCATAGTACACCGGCACTGTCCCTGCAGGGAGGGGCGTGGGAATAGGGGTTGGGGGAGAGGGCCGTGTGGTGGGGGTGCACGGGAAGAGAAGGATCGAGGCATAAAGGGGTGGGAATGGAAATACTGGAACCAAAAAAGGGGAATGTGTAGAGCATGATGAGGAGCTCAAAAGGAAGTAAATCCTTGGCACGTGTGTTTGTGCCCGCATGTCCCCTAGCAGGTTCCCATTAGCATCAATGCACCTGCTTCCAACGCATGGAAGAACTTTTCGGTCACGAAGCCGCGCGCCTCGCGTGACTCTATAACGAGGTTGAAGAGGTAGTGTGACTGTACGCAGTGCAGGTGGTCCCACCAGTCCTTGTGTCCCCCGCCCCGCATCCCCACCCCTGCATCCTCCTCCTCCTCCCAGCTCTCCTCACTCCTCCCCCACACTCCACCCCCTCCCGTGCGAATCCCTCTCATGGGTCTCCTTCGAATCTCTGCTTCCTGCCCAGCCTCCTCTGCTGCCTGCTCACCACCATTGTCATCATCATTACCAGCAGCAGCAGCACCAGCAGCACCTCCTCCTCCTCCTCCTCCTCCTCCTCCTCCTCCTCCTCCTCCTCCTCCTCCTCCTCCTCCTCCTCCTCCTCCTCCCCCCCCTCCTCCTCCTCCTCCTCCTCCTCCTCCTCCTCCTCCTCCTCCTCCTCCTCCTCCTCCTCCTCCTCCTCCTCCTCCTCCTCCTCCTCCCCCCTCCCCTCCTACCCCTCCGCCTCCTGCTGCTCCCTTCCCCATTCCACGCTGTGCTGCTGCTGCTGCTGTCGCTGCAGACCCACCCATGCGCTTCACCTCGCCACCTTCGCTTTCATTCTTGCCCCCCTTCCCTTGTTCATGCGAGCCCACTCTCTGACTGTGCGGCCCGGCATAGCTGCGTGCCATGCGAGTGCAGGACGGCAAGAGCAGGACGCAGAGAAAAGGATTGAACATGGTGAAGCACTTGCGGCAAGGGTCATGGTGAGGGCTACTCAGATTGGACGGACACCATGGCATGTCCGCTGCATGCCACACACACACACAGGCCTCTTATCAGAGCACCAACTTTCACATGCCGCAAGTCTCTAGTACACACCGGCTCAAGCCTCTTATCACGGTACATACAGGCACGTGCTCAGTGCATGGAGGCCATACGTGTATTCGCAACACTGGCGTCTCATCGGAGCACGCACTGGCACACGCTGTAGGTGTTGAGCACGTCTGCCACTTCCTCCCGCATGTGGTTAGTGCTGCAACTGCCAGTGCTGTGTGCTGCATGTCACACACAACACAGCCCTCTTACTGGAACCCATACAGGCACACACTGAGGGCATAGAGAAAGCACTGGCACATGCTGTAGGTGTCCAGCACGTCCGCCTCTTCCTCCCGCATGTTGTTGCTTCGGCTGCCTATGTTGTGCGCTGCATGCGTGTCACTCACAACACAGCCCTAATATCACAGCACATACAGGCACATGGTGAGGGCATGGAGCACGTACGTGCACATGCTGTAGGTGTCCAGCACGTCTGCCTCCTCCTCCCTCATGTTGTTGCTGCGGCTGCCTATGCTGTGCGCCATGCGCCTCATCAGCGCTCCAATGCGCTCGCGCCAGCTGGACGGGCGCGATGCTGCGTGGATGAGAGGCGGTGACTGGGGCAGGCAGGGATTGGGGGGGGGATGGGAGGATGGGATGATGCAGTGATGGGATGGAGAGTCAGGGATGTGTTATGAGCAGGCTATGAATAATAATGTACAATTCACAAAAGTTCATGATGCCATGCCATCCCATGCCACGCGCCCATGCCATCCCATGCCACGCCCCCGTGCCATGCCCCCTTGTCATTCCCCATGCCATTTCCCTTGCCACGCACCCGAGCCATGGCATGTCCCCATGCGCACCTTCCTCTTGACCCCGGACACATGGCGGTTGCGGTCAGCATGCTCCAGCTGTCCCGCATACGTCACCTGCACGTCCGTGCCCGCACCATACCCCACCCTTATGTCCGCTCCAAGCCTGCTGCTCCTGTCACCACCACTGCTGCTGCTGCTGCTGCTGCTGCCACTGCTGGCACTACCCCCACCACCATCACCAGCCCTTGCCTGCTCCCCCGCGCCCCCATGCCCCTCCATGTCCATCTGCACGAGTAATTGCCTTCCTCCCTCCCTGCTGCTCGGGTGGTTTGGAATATCTCGGGGTAATTCACCCTCAAAAAGCAGAGCATGCGGAGAGGGGGAGAGGGCCGGGGAGCGAGAGAAGGAGCAGGAGAGGTGGCAGGGGCAGGTGTAGAGACCGTCTAGCCAATCAGGGATGGACGGGGAGGAAACTACCTGGAATGTGGGGAGGGATGGATGGAGGCAAGATGGGGGAGAGCAATGAGAAGATGTGGCATGATGTGAAGAGCTGCGGGATGGGGAGAATTGGGAATATGGATGAATGGATACTGGGACCCATGTGAAGACACGGTGAAGGGACGGATGGGGAGGGCAAAGCACAGCAAAGCACAGCACAGCATGCATCAACGTGGGGTGTTTGAAGCTTGACATTCAACACGGGCATATCCTCACCACGGGACTTCTGGCATGTCCTGTGCTCAAGTTGCCTCGGTGCTGATCGGTAACAAGAGGTACCTACCTGGATGGAGACGTGAGGCAGCTTGAGAGCAGAGCACGGCAGGGGTGAAGCATCCTGGAAGCTGCCGCTCTTGGGCCACGTGTCGTTCCGGTACTGGGCGATGAGATCTGGGGTGGAGCACACAGCCACGAGCACATATGCAAGGGAGTGGTGATGTTAGTCATGGTACGTTGGTGGCTGCGTTGATGGCAGCTTCGTGCCCGTTACGAGATCATGGCTGCTCTGCATGACATAATTCACTGCCTGCATGTAGTTTACATGTCGGAACATGTGAAATCGGAGCGCAGCAACGGGAATCCTCCTAATGCTGGACACTAGGCGCGGTTTTAGGGACACCGAACCTGCGTGCTTGCTTCGGAAGGCAGCGCAGCCGACGGCCTTGTCCCACGCCGCCCACGCCTCGTCCATGTCCATCGCTCTGCCGAGCCACGACTCCTTGCGTCGCGCGACGGTGCCGAACCTCACCCGCAGCTCCGGGTCCGACAGCTCTGGCGGGCCACGTGGCAGGTCGAGACTGGCGCGGTCAATCGCATCTGCTTCGGAATCGTAGTTAGCGATGCTCGGATCGGGTTCAGGGGGAAGCTGCGCAAGCGAGGGAATAGGCGTGTCTTCATTAGTACGCCATCTGAGACGCGTCGCGGCGAACTCGCGTCCGAATCGCAGCAGCGACCCGAGGAGGCGCTCCGACCGCGCCGGATGCGCGGAGGAGAGGAGCAGGAGCATGCCGAGCAATGCGGCGGCTCTTGCGGCGGAAATCCCGGCAGCAGCGGGCGTCCATGCTTTCATGACTGTTAGTATGCAGAGTCGATGTCATGAGGACGTGAGATCACGTGCCCGCTAGCTGACGCGTGACACGCATGAAACCGTAAAATGCTCTTTTACAGATTCCGCGGCAAGTCAGGCACGGATTGGGTACTAGCACTCGGACGGCACTGGCGGCAGTGGCAGCATCGTGGGGACCCAGAAGTACAAGTTCTCATTCAGGAGAATTTGAAAAATCTGTACTTTTGGGTCGGCTCGAGGTGGATTTGAGTCGAGACTTCTCGTAGTTCTGATCGAATTCGCGACCTGCAGATCACTGATCGCATATTCTAGGCTACTAATCAGTTCGCTTTCGCGTATCCTAGCTGCGCTTCCGATCGCATCGCCGTGATTGTGCGGCTTTCTTTTCGGTCGTCCACCCGTCGCAGCGCGAGCCGCCATGCGCTTTTCGCCAGTCCCCATCGCCGGCGCGCGTTGATCCGCCACCATGCCGCCACGCGCGCAGTCCCCCCGCCCTGCCAACACTGTCCCCCCATCCGCGCCCCCGCTCTTCGCCGCGCGCCCCTTCCTGCTCGGCGCGGCCGTCGCGCTGCTGCTCTCGCAGGCGGCGCTTCTCGCGCGCCTCCAAACCGCGCCGCTTCTCCGCACCGCTGGTGCGGGCGGCTCGGCGGGGGACGTTAGTAGTTTGGGAAATTTGGGTGACCGCGAGGCCGCTGTGGATTCGCAGGGCGACGGCAGTCAGTCGCAGGGCGATGGCAGTCAGTCGCAGGGCGATGGCGATCAGTCGCAGTCGCGGCAGCAGTCGCAGGAGCTGCGGAATGTCACAGAGCTGGCGCAATGGGCGGCGGAAATCGCGGACGCGCTGAGGGCAGTCTTTCCCGAGATGATGGAGTGAGCAGGAGAGGAGGGTGGGGAAGGGGCAGTGGGGAAGCGGGGGCAAGTGGGGGAAGGGGATGTGGGCAAGAGTGAGGAAAAATGGGTGAATGCGTGCAATGGGAGTGAGGCAGTGGGAGCAGTTGGCATGGCTGTGAGCAGCGTGGGCACGGCACACTTTCAACAGCCATTTTTCATCTCATGGGCAGCCATTCTCATCCCATGTGCGTGCCATGCCATGCCATGCCATGCCATGCAGGTCACGGGACTCGTTCATACAGCACCTCGTGGAGCCGTACCAACCACCGCCTCCTCAAGGTCGCCCCATGCTGCTCCCTGCTATGCTGTGCCCTGCCTTGCCATGTACTGGGCACCGTTTGGTGACAGGCCATCAGTCCACACTTTCCTCGATTTGGCCATGAGTGCATAGCTCACTTCCCACTGCTCCAGCCACATTCGTCCCATCCCCCCACCGTCTTCTTCCCATCCCTTCCCCCCTTATCTCCCACTTCCCCCAACCCTCCACCTCTTTCCCGGCTCGACACACAGATCCACCTGCCCCAGCTCCCACCTGTGCCATACCGCAGCAGGGGGAACGTGACGGTCACGTGCATGCCGCCATGGCGCGCAGCATTGAAACCCTTGCCATCGCCCTCGCCTGCTCTTACGCCGCGTCCCACAGCCCCCATGGCCCCCATCCATCCCCCACCCCTGACCCCTCTCTCGCTGCCCTCTCCCTCCCGCGTGCCTTCCGCCGCACCCACTGCTCTGCTGCCACTGCACTGCTCCCACCCCCACCACCTTCTGACACCACACTAACCAGCAGCAGCGGCACAGCTACGCAAGGCAACATGCTTGACCCCGTTGACCCCGTTGACCCCGTTGACCGTGTTGACCCTGTTAACAGCACTGACCCTGTTGACCGAGTCGACCGCATTGACCCATATGATGCCGCCGGCCGTGCCAGGCTGGCTCGAGTGCTCCTCGCCCTCCACCAGTCATCCTCCGCCACGTGGCTCCCTTCCTGGCTCTCCCACCTCCTGCCCACGTGGCTGCTTCCCATTGGCCGCAGCAGATCCCCCTCCAGGCACCGCTATTGGCTGGGCAAGCTGGAAGAGGAATGGGCGGCGCAGGGGGGAGGGGGAGGGGAAGGGGGAGGAGCAGGAGGGGGAGGCGGAGAAAGAGGGGCGATTGACCTTGGGGTGGAGGGGAGCGTGGCGTTGGGGCTGGGGCAAAGCAGGCAGAGCAGGCAGAAAAGTCAAGGGAGTCAAGGCAGTCAAGGGAGGCAAGCACTGCATGGCAGGAAGGGGTCAGGAGCAAGCAAGGGCAGTGCGTGGTGGGGCGTGCTATGGAACGGCAGGGAGAGCGCAGGAAAGGGCACGAGGGGCGGAGGAGGCAGGGGGGACGGGGATGGTGGTGGCAGGGAGGGCGAGGGAGGCCAGTGGAATTATTTCCTCTCAGCCATGGCGTTCAACCGCGCTGCTGCTGCTGCTGCTGTGAACTCAGCAGCCAGTGCTTCTGAGCGCTGTCAGGCTGCAGTGTTCGCCATCTTCCAGGTTTGACCTCGCAAACTTTTGGTTTTCCCCACCCAGCTCCAACTACTGAAACTTTGTTGGCGCTGTGGTGGTCGTGTGTGGTAGAGACATCCTTCCCCTGGTTGCGCCTCCTCCGCTCCCCCCTTTCCCCCTTCTTGCAGTGGATAGAGTACATGCGGTATGCGGGCACGGAGCACATCTATTGGTACGACTGTGCAGCCAGCGACGCAGAGAGCCAGGCGGCCACCCTTTCAGTGTACACCCACGCAGGGCTGCTCACGTACCACCGCCTGCACCAGATAGCTCCTCCCCCTGCCGGCGCTGACTACCACTTTGACCAGGACTCCTCGCTCTCGCACTTCCTGCAGGTAACGTGCTCCTCTCTCACCTTGTCCTTCCCTCCCTCCTGCTCTGCGCACTCTTCACACTCCCCTCCCTGCATGCGCACTCCTCTCCCCATCCCGCAACCCTTTTCCCCACCCCCCACCCTCGTCCCCCCTCATGGCCCGACTAATCCAGCACCACCGCCACGAGTCCAAGTGGGTGGCCTTTGCTGACGTGGACGAGTATATCTTCATGCCGCCCGACACCCGCCCAGGCTTCCTCACGCGCCTCCTGCTGCGCCGCCCATGCGCCGCCAAACACCCCGCTCTTGGTGCTGCTGGCCGGGCTGGGGGGGAGAGGAGAGAGGAGGAAGAGGAACAACAGGGGGAGGCGCAGGAGGCAACGCAGGTGAGAGGGTGCTGTTGCACACTGATTGCACTGCTCGGGTGCTGCACGCCCTGTCTGCCTGCTGCCTTGACATTCGTTTTACTAATTTGCAGCTCAGCTGAGTTGAGATCTCTCAGACGCCGTTACCATCTGCTGCCTCATCCTCCTCGTGCGTTCCCCAATGCATTCCTCCCCCCCCATTCGCCCCTCTGTCCTTTCTCGCCCCCACATCCTGCTATACAGTCAGTTCTTCATAGGCTACCCACGCCTTCCCCTCACATGGTGCTCGTCCTTCCCCTCACATGGTGCTCATCCTTTCCAACATTCCTTGTCTTCTCCCCACTCATCGTCCTCTGCCCCCCGCCCCCCGTCCCCTCTCCTTCCTCAACCCTCAGATCCTGATATACAACCAGTTCTTCATAGGCTACCCACGCCCCCCTCCTGCACGACTCACTATAGAGCGATTCATCCACCGCCCACACCGCCCCCCCGACCACCACGACCGCCTGCGAGGCAAGATGCTGCTGCAGCCCGCTGCTGCCATTGGGTTTCTCTCGCACGCCCCTCACCGCGCTCTCATGCACTCTGGAGGGACCTTAGTGGCTGATCCTGGATTCATTCGCGTGAATCACTACTGGGGGGATAGGGGGCTATCGGGGAATGCGAGTGAGAGGGAGAGGGAGGAGGTGGAGGATGGGTCGGTGGATGATAGGAGCATGCAGGTTATAGCGGATGTGATTAAAAGGAGGTTGAGATGGGTGGTGCCGGTGCTGCCAGTGCTGTGTGAGAGGGAGGCTTTGGTTGGCGCAATGGTGGAAGCTCAGAGATTGGCAGATGTGCTGCTGCAAGCTGTTCAATTGGAAAACGGGTGATTACAAAAGTGGCGTCATTGGAAAAATACTAACTGTAAGGTTTGGTTTTGGAAAATTTGCCACATAGTCCGCGTGTGGTGTGTTTTTTTTCCGCCTGACTATAAACGAGAACATCTGTATCGAGCACAAACTTTCCATTTCGGAGCCCCATTATGACGCGTCAGTCGAGAAACGCATGCTATTGGTGCAAGCCAGATATATGTCCGTCAAGCTTTCTTGGCCATAACTTTGCCCGAAGTTGATTTTCTCTCTTTCTGCCCAAAGCCTTTGTCTGACTTGCAGGAATACGATTGCTGAAACAACCTCACGAAGCCCAAGTGATGGCTGGCTGTACATCATATGGTAGCTCTCATCATACTTGAACCGCATAGCGCCCTGTTTCGTCCTTTAGAACCATCTCCAACCCATGTTTTCGTCCGAACTTGAGGTAGGTCGTGAACTACATGTTATGAGCCACTAGTACTTAAAGCCGGCAGCCCAAATTGCACAAGTTTTAAAAGGTTGACGCGAGGGGGTTTTTGTGGTGAGGGTTTTGGCGAAAGATTCCGATTTCGCTTTTTTCGTTTTTTTCGCCAAACCCAGCCCGCCCTCGTATTTCGCCCTGGGGGTTGGTTCAGTTCCCAAAAGTCCCAAATTGCAGGCACGCTTTTCTTCAAACCTTGAAAACACTAGTTCGTCAAGTTTTAAAAGCTTGACCCGCGCGGCCCGCAATTTGGGACTTGGTCTTTAACGAGTTTAACGATGGGTAGAAGGAACAACCAATGGCTGACACCCCACCCCAACCCCATTTTCAGCGGGATATGCACTCTCACAGAATCTCACAGCCAATGGCGGCAGGAAAGCTGCCCGAACAGCAACTGCTGACCTTACGTCTTGTCATCCGTGTCGTTGTACAGTACTGACCGAAGGGACCTTTTGGGCAGCAATTCCCGAGTCGCACGGATTGACAAGGCAAGTAAGTTGGCGAAACGACAAGCAGGATGAATCTCCTGGTGGCAGCACGTGACAGGTCTCATCAATAAGGGGAGGGGAGGGGAGGGTGAGGAGGAGGGAGAAGAGAATAGGGAAAAAAAGGAGAACCAAGGTCCAAGGCAAAGGGAGTTAACTGTACAGTACACATTTCTCACTTCAACACCACCATACCTCGTCGGTTGCGGGGCGGAGACGGAGAGGGAGCAGCAGCAGAGCAGAGTGGAACGCAGCGAGGAGAAGCGAAGTGAGAGTGAGAGTTCACAGGCGGCGGGAAGAGAGATCTCAGCTGAACAACAGTTTCCTCATCTGTTAGGGTTACTCGTGTCGTGTCGTGTGTCTGCCAACACGACTCCGACCCCTAGAGCGAGACATTTTCTCCTAGTTCAACGCGCATTATCTGGAAGCTGCGCTATCTCCGTCCACTTGTGCCGTCCAACGCAGTAACCAGCCCTTCCTCGCCGCCGGCATAGCCACGACAGCTACAGTTACCCATCCCGTCCCCATCGCATGATCTAGCACGCACATGGCGCCGACGTTAGCGAAGCGATGGCAGCGCATGTTCTCGACGTCGCATTCCGGCCACCGGTCGCCCGGCGACCAGCGCCACGAGGAGCAGCCGTGCGCGCCGCCATGGGCCAACCACCCGCCGCCACTCGGCCGCCGCTCGAGCTTACCGGATCGCGGGTACACGTCGCCGCACCAAACGCCGTCGCAGCACCACCAGCCATCGCCGCACCACCAAGCGTCGCCGCACCATGCGATGCATAGCGCGTCGCCGCAACATCCGAATCAGCATCAACACCAACACCTGCAGCAGCAGCGTGGTTTGAAGCACAGCAACTCCCGCACGTCGCTCGACAGCGCGGAAGACGACAGGCCGCCCGGCGCGAACGGCGCGGGCGGCGCGGAAATGGTGACGGTGAAGCTGGCGAAGTCCGATTGGTTAGAAATAGTTAACGCGCTCGAGTCGGCTTCCAGCAGGTGAGTGCGACGAAGCGCCGCGACTTTAGTGACGGGCCGTGCCGCGCGATCTTAAAGCTTGACCTTTGACTCTGCGCAACCGCTAACGCCAGCGGTGTGACAGCAGCGAGTTTTACGTTGGAAGGAACGCCGCTTCAAAAGGCTTAGTGCGGCCTAAGTAGTGTAGCCTAAGTTCGTCCATCCACTGCGCGGTGCGTCGTGGGGTAACCAACCAGACAAAGCCTGACGCTTGTCTTTTGAGTCGACTCAAATGTCACCACTTGTCTAGTCAAAGCCCGTCCGTTCCGCCATGCGCGCCCTATCTGTTCCCCCATCCGCGCCCCCATCCGTTCCCCCATTTGTTCCCCCATCCGCGCCCCTATCTGTGCCCCCATTCGTTCCCCCATCCGCGCCTCCATGCACGCGTGGCCCTCCAGGTGCGAGCACTGCGGGGAAACGTCCCCGTCCGCGCCCCCCGCCGTCTCGCTTCCCGCCACGCAGCGCCTCTTCGCGCAGCTCAAGGCGCGCAGCAACGGCCCTCCCGGCGGCGGCGCGAATGAAGACGTGCTCGGGCCGCTCTCGGCGCTGCGCTCGCAGTCGTCGCGCGAGGGTATCGGCATCGGCGGCGGCGTTGGCGGCGCGGCCGCCAGCTCGACCGGCTCGCCGTACGGGCTGACGTCCAGCGACAGCGCGTCCACGTCGTCCCGCCGGCGCTCGCTGAATCTTCCGCGCGCGCGCGAGCTCGACGCGGACCTGCCGTCCAGCGGCCCGCTCGGCCACCTCCAGCCGCGCGACGTGTTCGGCGCCGCCGGGAATCACGGCGGGGGTTGCGGGCCCAACTGCCATGCAGAGCACGGCATGCACGGAGCGCACTCGGAACTCGGCCCCATGGCGTGTCCGCACCTCGCGGCGATCGGCAACAACGCGGGGGCCTTTGGGGCGTCGTTCGGGGCGCGAAGCATCCAGCATGCTTCCGCCATGGCCCCCACCGCCTACAGCTGCGTCGAGTCCATGATCGGCGGCGGCGGCGGCGGCGGCGGCGGGCCGGCCGGGTTAGGTGGCGGGTTCGGCGGAGGGGTAGGGATAGATAGATTCGGCGGAGTTTCCGCTTCCGCAATGGTGGCGGCGGCGGGCGTGAGCGCGGGCGGAGGCAGCGGGTTTTCGAACGCGGGGTTCTCGATGGGCGGGTTCTCGAACGCGGGGTTTTCGAACGCGGGCATGTCGAGCGTGGGGCGCATGGGCGTGAGCCCGTCGGAGATCCTCAACCGCAAACTGCTGACCATCATCACCAAGGCGCACGACCTCTTCTCCAAAGACCAGGTAAGGGGGGGGAAGGGGTGAGGGGAGGGCGCAGAGGGGCGGGCACGCGGAGGGACGGGGGCACGCGCACGGGGGGAGGGAGCGTGGAAGGGGGGGGTTGAGGCAAGCTGCTGACCATCATCAGCGAGGCGCACGTCCTCTTGTCGAAAGACGAGGTGCGGGGGGAAGGGGGGCATGGCATGACAGGGGAACGAGGAAGCGGGGAAGGGGCATGGAGCAAAGGGAGGGGGGGGCGAGGGCACGGGTAGGCCAAGCTGCTGAGCATCATCACCGAGGCGCACGACCTCTTGTCCAAAGACCAGGTGCGGGAAACGGCGCGTATTGTTTGGGGGGAGGGAGGGCGCGCGGAAGTGGGTGGGTGGGCGGGCGGGGAAGGGGGGGGGAAAAGCGGAGGGGGGTTCAATTTAAGGCATGGTCTCACGGTCATGTCATGACCTCTTTTCCATGGACCGAGTGAGCGGCTCGCGGAGGGAGGGGGGTGGAGGGGGTGGGGGGAATTTCGACGGGTGAGTGGTATGGAATGCGGAATCAGGTGAGTTGAACAAAAAAATCAAACACGCCTGGAACAAACAGGCATGGGAGTAATGCACCTCATGATGGAAGAACAGGAAAAGCACGGGGGGGGGGGGGGGGGGGGGGGGGGGGGGGGGGGGGGGGGGTGGGGGGGGAAGGGTGGGAACGGGGGAGGCGGATGGGAAGCAGGCTGGGGAGTTGGGGTTGGGAGAAAGGAAATGGAGGCGGAGGGAGGGGGAAGGCGTTGGGGAAAGGGCAGGTTGTTGCATTGCAGGGGACAGGGTGAGGAGGGGGAAAGAAGGATGATGTTGCAGGGCAGGCAGGGACAGGGACAGAGTAGGAGGGACGACAGGCAGGGCAGGGCAGGACAGTTGCCGAACGGCAGCGAGCTGGGCGGCCACCTGCCGTCGCAGCTCCCTCCCCTCCCCACGCACCTTGCTCACACCCCTTTTCCCGTCCCCTCCCGTTCACGTCCCCCGTTCCCCTCCGCGCAGTCCCCCAATGGCAGCAAGGTGGGCGGCTACCTGCTGGTGCAGCTGCTGGACCTCACCACGTCCAAGTGCGCTCTGCTCCCCTCACCTTCCGCTTTGCCCTTCCGCCTCCCCTCCCCGTCCACTGTGCGTCCTCCCCCTCTCCCCCCCCCCAGTCCCCGAACGGCAGCAAGGTGGGCGACTACCTGCTGGCGCAGCTGCTGGACCTCACCAAGTCCAAGTTCGGGTTTGTGGCGAGCGCGCTCAAGAAACCCGAAGGCACCTACTACCTTAAGGTGAGAGGCGGACTGCGGAGAGTGGGGAGGGGGGCAGGGATGGAGGGGGTGTGAACGGCACAGTTTGTTTCAGCATTCGTAGAAAGAGGGGAAGTCCATATAGTGAGCAGGCGTGTGCTACTCTGTAGCGAGCAGGTTTTCATGTGAGAGCAGGGGATGGCCGCGTTTGTTGTGGCGAGGATGGAAAGGCACAAGTGTGGGGGCATTATAGAGTATCTTACCCAGTGGAAGCCTGAGAGTGTGGACCACGGCACCTTGAAGACTCAATGCACTTCCCATGCCCACGCTCTGCGCAAAGGGATTGACTCTTGACACGAATCAATAGTAGTTAGTCCGCATGTAAGCGTGCTCGGATCAGCGGCTGGGGGTGCGAGGCAAGGTAGTGGCACACAAGGCTGTCCTAAGGTTAGAGAATGTGAACACAAGCAGCACAGTAGCACAATTCGGTTTTTGAGGCGCCTACAAAATCGGGTGTTGAAGGGTGTGGAGAGGAGCAGCGGGTTGGCGCATCTGGAAGTGCAGGCTTGCACAATCTCGTAGCACGGCTGCCCTTACTGCCGTAAGGGGGGGCGTGGACGACCGCAGCAGCTATCAAAGAGCTTAACATGCGGAATGGTGACCTAGGAATGAGGGGGGTGGGGGGTTTCGAAGGAAGGGAACTGCAGCAGCAGTGAAACGACTTCTGAAGCACGGCATCCGCCCCTTCCTCACCCTCACCCTCTCCTTCATTCCCCCCCCTGCCACCAACCCCACCCCCCCCCTCCTTTCTCTGCCCATCCCTGTTCAAACCCCAGACGCATGGCATCACCAACTTCGCATGGACGCGCGAGCTGCGCCTTTGGTACGCCGAAAACGCCCCGTCCGGTCTCGTGTTTTCCAACATGGACACGCTGTTCGGCCGCGTGGTCACCACGGCCGACGTGGTCATCTCCAACGACGTCCCCAACGACCCAAGGGCGGTGGGCGTTCCGCCCGGCCACCAGCGCGTCTCCACCTTCCTGGGGGTGCCCCTCTTCGCGGGGGCAGAGCTCGTGGGCATGTTTGCGGTGGCGAACCGCAAGGAGGGGTACGAGGAGACGCTGCTCATGGAGATCCAGCCCATGACTAAAACGGTGGCGCAGATTGTCGGCGCGCTGCAGGAGAGACGGCGTGAGCGCGAGGAGCAGGAGCGGCTGAGGGCGATGCTGAAGGGCACGGGGGATGCGATCCTGGGCGTGGATGACATGGGCGGGATCAGCTCCTTGAACCGCGCTGCCAGGCTGCTGTTTGGCTTCACGGACACGGAGGGGCTGGGGGATGGCAGTGGGCGGGGGTTTGGGCAGGCGGAGGTGCTCCCGGAGAATCTGCACGTGGCGGATCTGTTCATCAGTGTGGACGGCCGAGATGACTTTGCTGACCAGGGTGAGATGCCGTGCCGCCCCACCACTGCTTGTTTTGTCTTTTTTTCCACTTTTTCCCCAACCACCTGCATGCTCCTGCTCTTGCCACCCTCTCCCCCTCCCCTCCTCCCAAGCTCCTCCATAGCCCACTGTTTACGGGCTCGTCATGCAGATATGTTTACGTTGGGAACTGCTGGGTGTGGTTCAGGATTCTCAACAACGCCCCTCCTTGGACCGCTTCCCCTCCCCCCCTCCCTCCCTCCCCCCCCCCCCACTCCTTCTCCTCTCATGTGTGGCACCACAGGTCTGGAGGTGTTTGTGTGTGACGGCCTCAGGATGCCCGCCATCGGTCGGCGCATTCTGGGCGGCACACTGCTGCTGGAGATGATGCTGTCGCGCGGCAGCAACCCTGATGTGGCGTATGTCATCACAGCCCGGGAGCTCAAGAACAGTGGGCTGGGCGGCACGCCTACGATTGGCTCGGGCAGCAACAGCCTGGCGAGAACGGGCAGCAAAGGAGGGCCCACGTTCTTTGAGCCTGCAAATGCGCCGGGAGGAGATGAGTGATTGCGCGCATGAACGTGCGTTGCTGTCGCACGGGTTGGTTGGAGGCTCTAAGATCTATCCCATCAAAAGACAGGTTGACTATCACGAGAAGGGGCTCTCCTACGAGCTGCTCTCAGTGGTTTGTGTAACTTATGAATGACTTCTACAGAAGCCCATGTTCCATATGTATGCATAGTATTAGCGTGACTGCCTACTGTGAAGCTGACCAAAGAAGTACTGAAATGTGGCATCATCGCAGACTAGCCCTAAGGTTAATTTGAGCTTAGGAACATCTGAGATATAGTCTTCAACGGAAATGTAGCTCTGAAAGGGTGCCACTGTAACAGTTCTCGCCATTTCTCGATTTTCAAATTTCAAATGTTCAATGTTTCAAACAGCCTTTAGCTCGAAGACGAAACAAGCGTTCAACTCTCGAGTATTACAAAAGCGTCGCTCTTGCCTGAAACGCCTCCTACATGATTCCCTTGACAATCGGCATGGCAGTCGTTAAAAGTTGGCTCTTATATCACGAATGCTTGTAGAGTCAACACCCAAATGCGCCGTCAACATTCGGCCCTCGATTTCTGATTTGTCCCTTCCCGAGCCAACCCAGCCCCTCAAACATTTCGCCCCCCTAACCCGACTCGAGCCTGCATAGTTGCTGGTGGCGTGATTCCTGGCTTTTATTTTCGCCACCAGCATTTTAGGCTAGGGTTTCGCGTCCCACTGACGCTCTTACAGGCACAGGCCACAACGTGGTAACTAGCGTGACTGAATGGCAACGTTGTACGTTTTCTAAAATCTTCAAGCAGTTGCAATCTGCACACTAACTCGGGCTTCGTCACGCTCACCCTTCAGCGGGCTAGAGATGTCTGAAGTGCGTCAGGAATCACAACGCGTAGAGCGCAAGTCGGGTCAGAGCTGATCGATTTTACTGTCCAACTTGTTTCAGCGCACGTCCTAGTTCTCCACTTGGGCGTCCGCGTCTCTCTTCAGTCTCAGCCTCCCTGGTCCCTGTCCCTTATCGTCACCTGTAAAAGACGTAGGAAGGTTCTTTTCGCAACGTTCATTTTTTCGCAGACTACCCTCAGTCGTCTACACTTTTAAACCGGTAGAAATTAATAATAATAATAATAACAATATTTCAATGGATGACCCAAGCCAGCATTTTCCGCCTGGTTCGCTGCCCGAAGGCGAGCCGCCGGCGCCAGCGCAGGCAGCGGCGGAGGGCATGGAAGATGCGGAGAACCTTCTCGACGACATGCTCGAGGCGGCCGAGGCCGCGCGGCACGAGACCGAGCTGACTCTGGCGCCGCAGGCGCCCGACGCGAATGAGCCGTTTGTGACTGTGGCGGGTGTGACTGCAGGCGATGCGGTGGAAGGAGTGGTGGAAGAAACGGTATATCAAGGTGTGACTGAAGGAGGGGTGACTGAAGCGGGAGTGGGTGAAGGCGAGGGGTTCGATTTGAATATGGATGCTGGTGCCGGTGGAGGGGGTGCGGCGGCGGTCATCATGACCGAGGGCGCAGCAGCTGAAGCCGAACCAGCGACCGAACCAGTTGCCGAACCAGGAACCGAGCCTGGTTCGGGCTTATATGTTTCCGAGCCTCAGAGTCTGCAGGTCGGGAATGCGGAGCAGGCTCGGGAGTTTATTGGCGAATACCAGGAGGTGGGCGGAGAGGGCGGGGGTGGTCATATAATGCAGCAGGAAACGGCGGAAGCTTATGGGGAGGGAGGCATGGCGGAGGGGGAGCAGCCGAGAGCTGACGTGGAAATGGCGGAAGCAGCGGAAGAAATTCAACAGGGTGCTTATATCGAGCAACAGGTGCAATACGAGGGTGTACAGGAGCAGGGGCATGTGGTCGCAGAGCAGGCAGAGGCAGCAGAGCAAGCGCAGATGGCACCTACCCCGGATGAGCCTGCTGTAGCGGGCCAGCAACCGGCTGTAGCTGAGCAAGAGGCAGGTGAGGCGTGGCAGGAAGATGTTGTAGCACGGGCCGAATCGGCTGTAGCAGGTTACGAACATGGGGCAGGGCCGGCTGTAGCTGGGTATGAGGCTGCTTTCCCTGGGCAGGAGGCGCCTGTTTCTGAAGCTGGCGGAGGTGAGGCGGCAGAGGGGCAGGTTGTAGCACCGGCTGAAGTGGGCGAAATGGTTACCACTGCTGCTGGCGAAGGAGAGGTGGTTACAGGAGCGAACGAAGGTGGCATGGTTGGAGAGAGCATGGCGCAAGGAGAGGGGGAAATGGCGCCAGCAGCAGAAGCACAAGGAGCGGTGGCAGAGGGCGAGGGGGCAGCGCTGTATACCCAAGGCATGGTGGCGGTTCCTGAAGGGCAGCATGGGCAGGCGGCAGCAGTGCCTGGCGCGCACGGGGAAGGCGGAGAGGGAGGGGGAGAGGGCGAGTATTCACATGCGCGCATGCAAGCAGAAGGGGAAGGCGGAGAAGGTGGCTCGTTAGTGCCTGTTGCAGGGCAGCCGGAAGCAGGAGCAGCAGCAGGCGGGGAAGGGGGAGAAGCAGCAGCAGGCGGGGAGGGGGCAGAAGTAGCAGCGGCAGAGGCAGAAGCAGCAGCAGCGGTGGCGGAGGTGGCGGCGCACATAGAGGCGGCGGAGAGGGTGGTGGTGCAGTCGCAGCTGCCCCAGCCCCCGCCGTCCCCCGCTGTGGGCAACGTGGCAGTGCTGCCCATGCTGCTGGACCAGATTGAGGCGCACATCCTCTTCTACGGCCGTATCTTGTGAGTGCCGTGCCTGGCTGCTGAAACTGGCTGCTGAAACTGGCTGCTGAAACTGGGTGCTGAAACTGGCTGCTGAAACTGGCTGCTGAAACTGGCTGCTGAAACTGGGTGCTGAAACTGGCTGCTGAAACTGGCTGCTGAAACTGGCTGCTGAAACTGGCTGCTGAAACGGCTGCTGAAACTGGGTGCTGAAACTGGGTGCCGAAACTGGCTGCTGAAACTGGGTGCCTTGCTGTGTTGCGACTAATACTCGATCTCGCCTTGCCCTTTTATTTTCTCATCCCCGGTCCCCATCCCGTGCCCCCATCCCCCGCTGCCATGTGGTTGGCATGGCAGTCGCAAGGAGCCATTAGAGGAGGAGCTCCGAGCTTTGGTCTTTGCCACGGTGCCCGCTGAGCTGGGTTCGCCCGACCACCACCGCTGGCTCCACATCGCCGACGCCTGGCGCCGCCGCAGAGAGGCCGCCCCCGCCGCCCTCCTCCTGGACGGCGGCGGGGCGGCAGCGGGCGGCGGCGGGTATGTGTCCCCGGATGGGGTGAGGGGCCGCGGGCGGGGCAGGGGGAGGGGCAGGGGGCGCAGGGGGAGGCGGGGGAGCATGCATGCGTTTGGGTATGGTGGAGGCAGGGGGGAGGGGGGGTACGGGGGGTATGGGGGATATGGGGGAAGCGGGGGCTTTGAGGGGTATGGGATGGGGGAGATGGGAGGGGGGATGGGTGGGGAGGGCGGAGTGATGGTGGTGAGCGGGTATGGCGGCATGGGGGGTAGCGAGTATCCCATGCATATGGGCCCTGATGGCATGCCCATGCCCATGGACGCCCATGCCATGGCCATGGGGGGCATGGGCGGCATGGGGCCGTTAGCGCTGGGGAATGGGGAGCCATGGGTGTGGGACGACGAGGGGTGGGACGCCCCTGGGATTGCCATCCGCGGGCGCGGCAGGGGCAGGGGGCGCGGCAGGGGGAGGGGGCGGGGGAGGGGGAGGGGGCGCGGGCGCAGCTGGCACCTGGTGGGGGTGGAGATCGTCCCCTCGTATGGGTCTGATGGGGAGGAGATGGGCGCAGAGGGGGAGGAGAGGGCGGGGGGCGCAGGGGGGGGCGCAGGGGGAGGGGGAGCATCGATGGGCACACGGCCAGTGGTGGCATGGGCGGAGGTGTGGCCGGGGAAGCTGGAGGAGCTGGTTGATAGGAAGGACCATGCAGGGGTGGCTGCCGCCCAGGTCATGACGGCCGCTGTGGTGGCCCGGGCGGCGTCGGCGGCGGTGCGGGCGGCAGCAGTGGCGGTGGCGGTGTTTAAGGAGAGGGCGGTGGCAGCTGCATGGGCGGAGAAGCAGGGGGGAGCGGGGGTAAACGGGTCGCATGGGGGGTATGGGGGGCATGGGGGGTATGGCGTGCATGGGGGGAATGGGGGATATGGAGGGTATGGAGCAGGTGCCACGTGGCAGGAGGCCACTGGCGCAGGGTCCCCGTTTGCGGAGTCCCCCTGGGCGCCTGAGCCCCCCCTCCCCCTGACGTCCGTGGCTAGTGTGGCGCGGGGCAGGGGGAGGGGCAGGGGAAGGGGGCGGGGAAGGGGGAGGGGCCGGGGGAGGGGCAGCAGGGGCGGGGGGCGTGGCAGGAGCTACTACTATGGCGCGTATGATCTGGAGGACGAGGAGGAGGAGGAGCAGGAGGAAGATGAGGGGGACGAGTTTCTGGCGTATGGAGGGGTGGAGGAAGTGGGAGGGTATGGGGAGGTGGGGGGGAGTGTGTTGGGCAAGAGGGGGAGGGGGAGGGGAAGTGAAGGGCAGGAGCTGGAACACACAATGCGGCGAGCTGTGGGGTTCCTGGAGGGTAGGGGGGGAGAGGAAGAGGAAGAGGAGGAGGTGGTGGTGGTGGAGGATGAGGAGGAAGGGGAGGAAGAGGAGGAGGAGGAGAGGAGGGTGTGGGGGTTGAAGCTGCCGCACAGGTTCCACGTGGGCACGGCCGTGGAGGTGAGCAGTGAGCAGTATTCATTGGGAGGGACCTTGTCTTGCAATTTCAGAGCCATGCATGCTGGGGTGAGTGGCGGGTCCTGCAAGAGATTCTGTAGAGTGCTGAAGCATTGCACGGCGCTCCCCACGACTCTCGTTCTCTAACTCTCATCCGCCTGCCTGCACACGCATCCATCACCTCCCTCCGTTTCTCCTTGCATTTTGCCTCCTTGCCTCCTGTCTGTGCCTGCTGCCCATGCTGTGCACAGGTGGCGTCCAACGAGGAGGGGCTGCGGGGCAGCTGGTTCACGGGCACCGTGCTGCAGCTCGATGCACGGCGGGCGCTCGTCCGATACGACCAGCTGCTGGACGACGCTGGTGAGATCTTATCTCAGCACCTTGCTTGGGACGAGCGAGGTGATGCTGCTGTGGTGTGCTGTGGTGAGAGCACGGCCGGTGATCACCTGCTCTATTTTGCTGCTTCCCTACCGCCCTTCCCCCCTTCCGCTCCTCTGAGTTTTGAGACAATTTTAGAATTCCCTTTCCTCCCCTTGCACAGACCTCAACCCAGTCGCAATGTTGCACCTGCCATCTGGAGGAGTGGGTGTCTAACCCCTCTTGTTTAGGGTTTAGGGTTTTTATGCCTCCCCTTCCCTGCTCCTCTCCCTCCCACTCCTCAACCGTCCTCCCAACGTGGCAATGGGCAGGCACGTATCATCTGGAGGAGTGGGTCTCTACTGCACCCCCTCCCCCCGCTCCCTCTTCTTCCGCCTCCCCCCATCCTCCCCACCTCGTCTCCGGTGTTCCCCCTCCCCCTCCCGCGCACCTCCCCCCGGGGGGAGAGCCCCAGCGCTGCCTGCGCCCTGCCAGGCCCCCCTATGCGGGGGCGGGGGCGGTGGGGCGCAGTGGGAGGGGCAGGGGGGGCGGGGGGAAGAGGCGCAGGGGAGGGGGAGGCGGAGGGGTGGGATGGAGTGTGGGCGACCATGTGGATGCGTGGGTGGATGATGGGTGAGTGGGGGGTGAGTGGGGGTTGAGTGGGGGGTGCGTGGGGGGTGCGTGGGGGGTGCGTGGGGGGTGCGTGGGGAGGGTGTGTGGGGGATGAATGGGGGGTGAGTGGAGGGCGAGTGGGGGGTGAGTGGGCGAGTGAGTGGGACGTGCATGCTTGAATGCGTGCCTGGGTGAGTGATTCTGGCCTGGAATGAGTTACCCCTGCTGCACTTCTCGTCCCTCTTGCTGTCACGTGCCGTTCCTCCCGCCTCCCCTCCTTGCCGCTACCTCTCGCACCGACAGAGTTGTAGCGTTCACCCTTCTCTGCATGCTCTCTTCCTCTGCATGCTCTCTTCCTCTGCATGCTCTCTTCCTCTGCATGCTCTCTTCCTCTGCATGCTCTCTTCCTCTGCATGCTCTCTTCCTCTGCATGCTCTCTTCCTCTGCATGCTCTCTTCCTCTGCATGCTCTCTTCCTCTCACCGCACGCTTTCCTGCCCCTCGTGGCCTCTGTATTCCCCACCACCCTCCTTCCCTTCCCTCTAACCTCCACCTCCCCACTTCCTCACTCAACCCCTGCCCATTCTCTCATCCTACCTGCCACATGCTGTGTGCGCCTGTCTCCCCCCACCGCAGGTGGTGGGAGGGGGTGATAACAGCGCTGCCCGACGATCCAGCAGCCAGCATGGCCACCGTGGAGTTCCCAGGTCAGTGCCGCCCCTCTCCCTTCTGCTCTCTCGCCCACGCAGGACCCGTTTGTGGGCCCTCCCCTATTTGCTGCTGTACCCCCTCGCTCCACACGCCCCTTCTTCCTCCTTTCCTCATCCCCTCATTCCCCTTGTTCGCCTCCATTCCCCCGTTCCCCCTGTTCCCCTCGTTCGCCCCATTCCCCCCCCCCCCCAAGGCTACGGGGAGATGGCGCAGAAGCAGCTGACGTGGCAGCAGCTGCGGCCGTCGATGGTGTTTGATGTGCGGGGGAGGGAGTGGGTGATGGTGCGCGCTCAGGCCGTGGGGGAGGGGGCGGAGGAGGAGGTGGAGGAGGAGGAGGATGATGACGTGGAGGAGGTGGTGCCTGCTCCCATGGGGCATGTCAGGGTGAGTGAGAGTGGGTGATGGGGACGGGGATGGGCGATGGGTGTTAGGTTATGCGTGATGGTTGATGGATATGTGCGATGTGTGATGGGTCATGGGTGATGGGCGATGAGTGAGGTAATTAGTTGCTGGCACTCTCCCTGTTGACACACAGTGCTGCACCCTAGTTGCTCATTCGCTTCTCGATTTCCCCAATCTCTCTATTGCATCGCTGCCATGCCCATCTCTACATGCATACTCACTCTCCATCTCAACATTCCACCCACCACCGGATTACCAATGTGCACACAGAATATATCTTAAAAAAAAAAAAGTCATCATATCTTCTATTCCTCTCTGTCCCCCCCCTTCCACCCTACGTTTCTCCCCACCGTTCTTTCCCCTGTTCCCCCCACTCGCTTCCTCCCCTCATCTCTCCTCCCCCCCCCCCCCCCCAATATTCTTCCTCTTCTCCTCCCCACGTTTCTCCCCTTCCCGCTGCCTGCAGGACCAGGCACTGCCGCGGCCGAGGGGGCGGCCCCCCTTGCATGGCAGGGGAAGGGGTCGAGCCAGGGGCCGGGGCAGAGGCAGGGGCAGGGGGCAAGGGAGAGCGCGAGGCAGGGGGAGGGTTCCCTGGTACTGAAGGTACGTTTTTCATCTTCAGAAGTATTATTCTTGCAGAGATGCTTGGGACGTCAATTATTACATGCAGCATAACTTCACAATGGACAAATATATTTTCAGCCCTATCTCCTCTACTCTGTCATCCCTCTTTCAGCTAACGCCCAGTATCTGTCAAGGCTGGGCCTATGAGCTATGGCAGACGATACGAGACTAACATCAAGTGAGGTAGCTGGATTTAAACAAGCATTGTGACCACATGGGTTTGACTAATCGCTTCCTACTTACGTAGTCTCTAAGATGTACTCGACTTTGTTATTTGCTCATTTGGGGCTTTGTGGTAGATAGTAATTCATTGTTTGTGCTTTTGTACTACTCCCCTAGTGTATGGCATGTTAGTCTTAAAAATGTATACCTAGTGCGTAATCCTCGAACCTGTCCATAATGTGTATCCTTCGGTAAGGGTCTTGAGTTTGATCACTTGCGAGACCTGTACCCAGTGCCTGCGCCAGAAGCCCTCAGGGCGGGAAACATTTTGATCTCGAGTTTGAAAAAGAGCGCGGTCAGCTCTTTGCGACGCTTTCAAACTGAAACCCAGGGGTCCAAGACCGCATCGCTTTTCGCAATGCTCCAGGCGACGGCCAGCTGCGACGATGGAGCGCAGCCATCCCGAAACGCGGATGATTGTGCCCGCGCCAACCGCTTTCTCCACCGTTCACCCGCTCCTTCACCCCTTTCTTTCATCGTGAGTCGTCCGATCTACCCTGTGTTCCTCGCCTCTGCTAGGTTTCATCTCGCCGTGCGATTTGAACATCCAGCAATTTGCTTTCTTGAGTCGCGACCGAATGCTTGCGCCAAAACAACATACCGTTCTGTCACTAGCTCAACCAGATAGAGCCGATAATACGAGTAACGAGAGCCGATTCGAGTCCTTCTGTCTACGAAACACATCTTATGAAAGCCAAGAGATCGAGTCAATCCTGCTGGTTCATCCCATTCACCCACAGCACCACCTCGGTGCATCCTCTAGCACAGCACATCCTCGTTCCAGGCTAGTTCTTAGCTTCAAGAAACCCTGCAATCTTCAAGTCAGAGTAGAACCGTTCAGAAACTCTTTGTCGTTCCTTTTCGTCAACCGCCATGCGACGGAGATTGAGCAGCATGGCTCGGAGGACCACGATCCGAGCGTTTTTCGGCCTTGCCCTCGCGCTTACCGCGTCGGCCCTTGTGATCGATCCCACGGACCCGTCGTCCCTAGGTATTGACGTTAACCACCTACACTGTCGAGGTACTTCTGTTCTCCTCGTCCCTCCAGCACGGATGACTGAGATCATCTCAATCAAAAGCCTTCAAGTCTAGTTCGGATATCCTCTTCTATTACTCCACTCTGTATCTCCCCCCTCTTTCATCCGGCCCGCCTTTCTGCGCGTAATTCGCGCTTCCAACCTGACCCGCCTTCCAATGTCCTCTTGCGTGGTTGGCGCGCGAATGGCAGGGCAACTGGAGGCGATGCAGCAGTTGAAGCTCGGCTTCGAGGGGAGCAAGCCCGCTGCGCTCGCCACGTGGACCACCAGCGACCCCTGCGACGGCACGTGGGTCGGCGTCACGTGTGCGCGGCCCGGCGTCATCACAAGACTGTAAGTACGAAGGAACGATTACACGCTTCGTTCTCGTTTGCAGGTTTCTCCTTTTGTGTGCATGCTCCGTGTATATCCGTCGCGTTCGCATCACCACGCACTCCTGCTTCTCCCCACCCGATCCTCACCGTGCTCGTCTCCTTGCGACACGCAGCGATCTGTGCGAAATGGGCATCGCAGGCGCGCTGTCGCCGTTCATCGGCAACCTCACGGGGCTGCTGCAGCTGCGGCTGTGCGACAACCAGATCGCCGGACAGATCCCTCCCGAGCTCGGCAAGTTGTACGCGGTACAGGAAGTCGAGCTACAGAATAATAAGTTCACGGGCGAGCTGCCTACCGAGCTAGGCGGCATGGCGACCTGCACGCACCTTTACCTCTACGGAAACAATCTCTCGGGCGCCATCCCTGCCGCTCTTAAAGCCGTCACTTACCTCAAGCTGGGTCCTGGGAATCGTTTCTGCAGCACGGTTCCCGGCTCGCTGTGCGCTGGCGCATCGGCAGAGCCGCTCCCCGCAACTCCCACTCCGGTGGATGACCCCGCGGATGAGGCGGGGAGCCTGCCTCCGCTGATCAGCGCGCCGCTCCCCGACTGCCCGCCGTGTACGGGGGATGATTTGCCGGGGCTCGAGGACGGGTGCACGTGCGTCAAGCCGTCGCTGCTCAAGATTCGTTTCAAGGACCTGGACTTCGCGGCTTATAACGCGAATCAGGAGGACGTGCTGCTCGGCGAGCTGTCCCGCGCGCTGCAGCTGGAGCCACGTCAGCTGATGGTGATTGGGCGCGAGCCGGGCAGCGTGATCCTGTACCTGGCGGTGCTGCCCGTGAACGGGTCGGCGCTGGACCCGCGGCAGGAGGCGAAGCTGGTGGACGCCGTCACGGGCCACCGCGTCATTCTATCCAAAGCCTTCCGAGACTACGAAGTGCTCGGTACGGTCATGCGTTCCCCGTTATTTTTCTCATGTTATTAATCAATGGAAGCTGTAACGTTGGTTGCTTCGGCATTCCATGCGTTGCTTACGCAAGCGCCGCTTCCTTTCCGTTCCAAGCACCCGCCGAGTTCCTCATTCCACCTTCTCCGTCCTTTCAGGAGCGCCCGGCCTCGCGTTTAAGCCATCGCAAGAGTCGCAGAACGCCGACGACGAATCGTCCTCCGCGTCTTCCGGCGCATCATCCGGCCTCAGCACCGGAGCCATCATCGGCATCGTCGTCGCGTCGCTCGCGGCCGCGCTGGTTATCGCGGCGCTTTTCTGCCAGCTGTTGACGTGGCGCCGCGACAGGAACGCCGCGCGCCGCGCTGATGTGGAGAACTCGCGGATGGCCAAGGTGCTGACGGGCAGCATCGAGGCGCCGTACAGGCCGCACGGAAAGAACTGTGAGTGAAACGATTTGTGTGGCGTGTCGTGAGTAGTCCAACCAATGGGTCACGCCATCTGCGCTGCTGTTGTCGCCACGTCATCTTTCCCGCTCCCTGCGCCTACCTCCCGCTCTCTTTCTCATTGCATTTTCTCCCCTTCTTCCCTACACTCCTCCCCCCCCCCCCCCGCCCCCCCTTCCGCTTCCGCCAGCCATCTGGGGAAGGTGGGATTTGCCACGTGGCAGCCCCTTTCCGCCGGTGAAGCCGTCGATCTCAGGAGGCAATTCCTTCAACGAGCCCGCGCTCTCCTTCCGCAGCGGCATCCCTGGCACCCCTGCCGGCGCACACGCGAATGGCTGCGGCGACAGCGTCGCGGGCACGCCGCGCGACACGCCCGGCGTCTCGGAGCGAAGCTTCGCGTTCCAAGGCGCGAGCTCGCCCACCTCCCCCGCGAACACCGCCGGGCTGTGCGGCGGCGACAACGGCGACGACCCGCGGACGCCCGAGATCGGAACGACGCGGACGGTGGGCGACGCGGAGGGCGGAGGCACCCCTCAGGAGGTAATGGAGATTAAGAAGATCGGTCTTAAGGCGATCCACGCGGCGACGCAGGGGTATTCGAAGGCGAACTTGATCGGTGACCGCGGGCACGGGCGCATGTACAAGGCGGACTTCTCGAGCAAGGCGCGCGTGCAGATGGCGGTGCTGCTGGAGCTGTCCGGAGAGAAGCTCGACGAGGCGGAATTCGCGGCGGCGGTGAAGGCGCTGGGGGACCTGTGCGTGCAGTCGAACCGCCTGGTGGCGATCATGGCGTATTGCGCGGATAAGGGCCAGCGGTGGGTGGCGTATGAGTATCTGCCAGGTGGCAGCCTCAAGGACCACCTGCACGGGGACCTGCGCTTCGAGCGCGCGCTGACGTGGCAGAAGCGCGTGCAGATCGCGGTCGACGTGGCTGCGGCGCTGGAGTTCCTGCATGAACAGTGCGAGCCGCTGATGATTCACCGCGACGTGTCGGCCGACAACGTGGTGCTGGACGGCGAGTTGCGCGCGAAGATTAAGGACGTCGGCATCCACACGCTCGTGCGCGATTGGTCCGAGGGCCGCGCCGTGTCGCCATCCGTGCTGGGGTCCATGGGGTACCAGGCGCCCGAGTTCCGCGTGAGCGGCGAGCAGACGGCGCGGTCCGACGTGTTCAGCTTCGGCGTGGTGCTGCTCGAGCTGCTGACCGGCCGCAAGCCCGTTGACTCGTCGCGACCCAAGGGGCAGCAGTCGCTGCTGACGTGGGTTCTGCCGCACCTGGAGAACAGGCTCGCCGTGACGAGCCTGGTGGACCCGTACCTGCGGCTCAACTCGACGCTCGACCCCAAGTCGCTGCACCTCTTCGCGCTGGTGGCGGCGCACTGCCTGCAGCACGAGCCCGAGGACCGGCCGCGCATGGCGGAGGTGCACAGCCAGCTGCAGCACCTGCTGCTCTCCCTCTCCCCCGACGGCCTCCCCTCCCCCATCTCTCCCGCCGCCGCCTCCGCCTCCCCCCTCTCCCCCGCCTCCCCCGCTTCCCCCATGTCCCCCATCCCCAACCTCACCGCCGCGTCCCCTTGCACCCACGCTCCGGTGAGTGTAGCGCCTTGGACGTGTAAAGCCGCGCTTGCTTGAGCTTCATTGTGCTTGCACGCACTTTTGCCACATCTGTTGCGCCCTGCTCAGAGCACACACCTGTCTGCTTTCCCACGCCCTCTCTTACACTCACTGCTCTCCACCCTCTTCTCCCCCTCTCCAGAGCCCCGACGCGGAGAATGAGAGCTGCTCAGTGGCGGATTCAGGCACCACGAGTGGCACACACGTGTCGCACTCAGCACGGCACTACGACCAGAAGCGCTGGGTGCAGGTTACCCCGGGCCCCAACACTGCCGTCAAGACCCACGCTAGTGCCGTGACTCCCGCTGCTGCTGCTGCTGCTGCTGCTGGTGGTGTGGCGAATGTGCGCTCGCCCCTTGCACCGGTGATCAACCTGTGAGGCATGCAAGGCCACGTGGTAACGCCTGTGAAGGCATGGCCATCCGCGTGTGACTGACTGCTGCAAGGCATGCGATGCCGGTCCATGTGATAGAGCAATAGATACCCTGACACCCTCGTTTGGCGCTAGGATCATTATCCCCGTGATCCCTCCCCTTCCCCCCTGCTGCATGCCTCTTGTTAGCTAGGTAGGTACCGTACTACAAGGGCCAACCCAGCCCTGCTGTTAGGTGCAGTAGACGTACTGTGAAACTCAGTTCTAGTTGGCAGTCTGACTCCTAGGTTACCATGGTTCATGATCCATGAGCCATGCTAACAAATATGTAATTCACTCCTGGAAGTCGTTCATTGTGATTCTCAACACTCAATAGCACGTTCAGATGCAGATGCAACTCACTGTACAAGGAGGAGGATAACAAGCCGACAGAACAAGTGCTGGTAGGAAGTGTCATGTTGGCACATGCGAAACCAGAGGCGTCAACTCTACATCCCGTGTCACCCGAACCATCCACATGTGCAGCTTCAGCTGCATTGCTCTCTGCTGCAGGCGGCAGAGCTGATGGTGGCGACCTAACCCCATGCTCTCCCTTTATTCCTGGATACTTTTCACTAGGCTCAAGCGATAGAAGCACCATTAGGACATATCCGCATGTGACTATAGCGGACCAGACTATAAAGCGGATGAAGGCAGAGGTGTCGAGGGAGGCGAGGAGCATCGTGTTGACGAGGATGGAGGCGGAAGGCAGCCACGGGCACAGCGGCACTGAGAACACCCGCACAGCCTCCGCTTCCCTGCACCACTGGGGGGGGTGTGGCCGGAAGGTTGAGGTCAAATGTGGAAGGGAAAGGGGGAAAGTGGGGGAAGAGTTGGGTGGAATGGGGAGAGATGTTGGGGAGAAGACTGAGGAGCGAGGACACTGCGAACGGGCAAGAATGAGTTTGAAGGGGATGAGGCAAAAGGGCTTTGAGATACCGTAGTTGCAACGATCACCATGTGCCTGCACCAATAGGGAGAGGCAGAAAGAGGGAGGTTCAGGGCAGAGGGACTGAGAGCAAAGGACGCACGGCAAGGGAGGCGGTAGCAGCAGCCCAGAGGGCGGCGGAGAGCAGCGCGGGTGCAGTGTGGCCCGGGAGCACTCTGAACGCTACTGCCACGCCTGCTGCCCCTGCCACCATCACACCCAGATGCATCAGCACCACCCCCATGCCCTCCCCGCCGCCCTGCTTCTGTTTTTGCCGTCCCTTGGGCGTTCCCTCAGTGGGTTGTCCATTCTCGCTCTGCTGCCGTGCAGCTTGCACTTGATGTTTTCGAGGGGAGAGCACAGCAGGTGGGTTGACCTCATAAGGTCGGGGGTGACATTCGCTTGCCATCAAAGGGGTTTCATCATCTCCTGCTGCTTCTGCTGCGTTTCTCCCCACTCCTGCTCCTTCTGATGCTGCTGCGTGTGCAGCAGAAGCAGCGGCAGGAATGGGAGCGAGTGGCGGGGCAGGGTGGCGCGGGGGTGGTAGCGGTGCAGCAGGAGGGCGAGGGCGACCATGAGGAAGATGAGCAGCGTGCCGATGGACACCATACTCGCTAGCGTCTCCAGATCCACCAGTAGCGCCATCACACCTGTCGCCACACCTGCCAGGGAGGGGCGGTACAGGGGGAGCGGAAAAGGGACAGGAAGGAGTTGAGGTGACTGGTGCATTGACCAATGCTGACAAACAGGAGTTCAGCATTATTTGGTGATGGGATGAGCAGTCTAGATGGTGTGATTCGGCAGCGATTGCACTGCACTGTGGGCAAGGCAACGAAGCAGAGGTCGCTAGCACACACTTTCCACCTCAGTTACTGACTAGTCCATGACAACGCACCAAGAACAACCGTGGCAAAGAGAGGCGTGCGTGTCACAGGTGACACCGATGCGAACTGCTTCGGCAGAAGCTCGGCCCGAGCCACCACCAGCACGATCCGAGCCTGACCCATCAGCCCCACCAGCACTGCAGTCACTATGGCTAGCAGCGCCCCTGCTGCCACCGCCCCTGCCGCCCAACCCCATCCTGCCAGGTGGCGCAATGCAGAGGAGAAGGGAGCATCGGCGTCGATCTGAGTGTAGGGCACGAGTAGGCAGAGCGAGAGCGCCATGAAGCCATAGATCAGAGCCACCACAGCCACCGATCCCACAATCCCTATTGGGAGATCGACGGCCGGATTCGCGACTTCCTCTGCGAGAGTGGTAACCGCGTCGAAGCCGATAAAGCAGAAGTAGACAAGCGCGGCTGCATCCAGCATGCCTTGCAGGCCGAAGGGAGCAAAGGAGGTGGTGACGTTTTCCAGGCTGCCTGCTGTGAAGCCAGCTATGATGATAATGACAATGGCAAGCATGCTGAGACCGGAGGCTAGGAAGTTGAAGTAAGAGGATTCCTGGGTGCCATATGCTACCAGCACGGACAGGGACAGGATAAGCCCCAGTGCAACGAAATCCAGGGTGATTCCCCATGCTGGCACGGGCAGCCGGAAAAATTCCGGGTCCTGCCCGAGGAACCCTGCGAAGTAGGCTGAGAGGCCGCGGGCAGCAGCGGCGTTGGAGAGAATGTACTCCATAAGGAGATTCGCTACTGTGATGAAGGCTGGGAGCTCGCCCAGCGTGACCATGAGGTAGGAGAAGGCGCCGCCCGCTACGGGCAGGTGGACGGCAAACTCGGTGTAGCAGAGGGCGGAGAGGAGTGCTGACGTGGCAGAGAGGAGGTAGGAGAGGATGACCGAGGGGCCGGCGTGGTCTCGAGCCGCCACCCCTGCGATGACAAATACGCCTGTGATTGTAGTGTGGGGGAGAAGGAAAAGGGGGGAAGGATGGGGGGGGGCTGTGGGTGGGTGTGAGGGGGGGGGGAGGGGGTGGGGTGACAATAGCAGGAGGAACGGAAGCGGACGAGCGGGGGACAGTTGAGGAAGTTGGGTGCGGTGGAAGCGAGAGGTACATAAGATCGTGGGAGGTGGAGAAAATCGTACAGGGTGCTATGATTCGTCATGGTGTTGTATGATGCTTGATCATCCAATGCATTGCTGTACGGTGGTTCATGGTGTTATACGGACCCGCGCCGTGACTTTTGAGTCGACTCAAAAGGTGACTTTTGAGTCGACTCAAAAGTCACCCGCGCCAATGATGCTGGCGACTCCCAGCGAGATCGTATCCGCCCATCCCAGCGACCGCTTCAGCGTCGCTTCTCCGCCACCGCTGCCACCCCATTCCGCCGCCTCCGTGCTCTCCGCTTTCCCGGTCCTACCGTCCCTGTCCTTAACCGTCGACCCGGGATCCGGGGATCGCGGCGAGTGCCACGTGTCGATTTGAGCAGCATCTGAGCTGGCGAAGAGCGTGCTGACCTCCTGCACGCGAAACACGCGCGAGCGGAGCCGCTGCCATGGCGTGGCTTGGTCCCGGCGCGAGGGCATTGCTACACAATAACACTGTCGGCTACCGCATTGTTACGTTGCAATACTGTGATGCCTTGCCTTGACGTTAGCGAACGGGAAAGATGGTGCTTGGCGGCACAGCTGAGTTTGGTTCGCTAGAAGCTGGCATATATAACTAGACAGGTGAGCTTGGGAATCAGCTATGTATTTCGGAATTCAGATGTAAGAAGGCAATGGCAGCACAAGTGTGAAGTTGCAACAGCTTCATTTCTTCCCCAACCCCAACTCCATATGCCATGCTGATCAGTATGATGGATTTTGGGAGATAGACATTTGCGAAAGTATCAGATTAAAATGCGGTGATAGAGCCCACGGCCTGGTTCAATATGGCCACAAGTCGCAAACGTCCTCTTAGCTTTATGTATGTAGAAAACGTGGTGTTACAAGTCTGTCGTAGAATCAGCCCCGCATTATTGGTAGGAACGCGTTTGGTTGGTTGGGATTCGCCGCGAATTTTAACGAAAGAATGCGGTTAAGGGCTTGAGGCCTGTCCACCTTCACGAGAGCGGTAACCTGATTTATTGTAGTTAATGAATCATAGGGGCTGCAATGCGGTTCGCAGCAAATCCCCTCATCCATTGCCAGCCTACCTTGCTTGCATTCCACAACCATCCCATCTTTCTCTCAAGAGCTCCCGGTGCCCACTGCCCAACCCAATCTTCCCAAGCACTCACTCCTCTTGATTCGACGCACTCTCTCACAGCTTCACAGCTTTACTTGCCACTATCCATCCTACCTAGAATAGGAATCAAAGCTCACATGGTGATCAATGGAATCTCCATAGTCATTCTTGCCAGGTTCTGTCAAGCTCGAGGTGTCTGAAATCGCCATCAACTGATCGCCCTTCCCGGTTTATTGTTGGCACAACCTTTCTGCTTGGAACAACGGGGGATATTATCAGCAAGGTCATCAGCGATACGTCTTAAAATTCATTCAGAGTGACACAAAAGCTTCACGTAGCAACAACGGTTCTTGGCGGGCCAAGAAGGCTTACAGCGAGGACGCGACTGATTCGCCCAACCCTGTAGCACAAGTGGCGTGCGACCAAGCCATTTTGGTTCTCGGAAGGCGCGGGCTATCTTCTTGCGGGGAGCGACTACTTGTAAAATTTTCGCCATGGCGGCTTCCTCAGCGGAAAAAAGAGGCGTAACACCAGGGGCTTGGTCTTCTGGGCTGCTGGAATGCCACAAAGACGGCAAGACATGTGAGTCACTCGCCAAAGTCTCGCACTGTTCTGTTATTATTCGCCAATCGTCGCGATTGGTTGAGCCAATCTCAACAGCATATGCGACTGTCCGGAGTGTGCCAGCCGCGAACATCCCGAATGCCCAGGGTTTGGTGTAGTACCCTCCATCCCCATCCTTTTCTTTTTTTTTCTTCCTCTCCCTCCTGTCATCACGTGTCTCCTCGCAGGTCTCTGCGCGTTGTGCTGCCCCTGCGTTCTCGCTGGCCGCATCGCTGAAATCTCAACAGACGGCTTCACAGGTTCATCCTCCGCTATAACACTCTCGTTTTTCTGTTTAGCCATAACATGATGCCGATCGCTCTCCGCCACTACTGTCCGACCCGCTCGTTTTTTGCCATATGCAAGCCTGACTGGGCAGTTTTCCTCACACGGTGGTCACTGAAGCGTATTCGACAGCTCATCGTGGTGCACGAAACAGATCGCTCTCCCCTCACTGCAGACAAGTCGCATGCCCCCCTGCTCCCGTTTCCCCCCTGCAGCCCCCTGATTATCTTCACATACCACCCTTTATGTCCTTTCGTTCTTCATGTTCTGCTGCTCTCTCTCTGCTCCCACTGCGTATGGGGCCAGCATTCCTGAAGTACAAGCACATCCTATTACACCCACCAGACCAACCTGCCGTCAAATACCATCACGCAACCTTGACATGATAGTACCTCATGCTAGAAAGTGCACATGAAGCTGTTCATGGCAACAATCAAGGCATCAGCATACAGCTCTATGAGTTTAATGCCTGATCTGTTCTGACCGGCAGCGGTTGTTCCCCTTCCCTCATTCTTTCTCGCTTCTCCCTCCCCCTTCCACCCCACCACCCTCAACCCCTTTTTCTGTATCATTGAATGTGCGGCCACTGATATTTGCCTCGCAGACGCCACCTTTGCGTGCTGCTGCTGGGCATTGATCCAGTACTTCACGGTCGGGATGTGCGGCTGCCTGTACTCCAAAGGTGACGCCTCCCCAGCCTCCATTTTCCTCAGCTACTTGCAAACGTGATGATTTGACACACCCTCAGTACTGACTCGCCATCCCGGTTAACTCTTGCAGGCTTCCGTGGCATGCTGAGGGATAAGTATGGCCTGCCCAGCAGGCCCTGCGTGGACGCTGCAGTACACCTCTTCTGCCCCTGCTGTGCATTTGCTCAGGAGTACCGAGAACTCAAAGCCAGGGGTTGGGACCCACGTCTAGGTGAGTTTCCTTTTTAAAATAAACTGTTGATGTTAGCAATTTCAGTAATTGTAGTGCCCAGTGACCTCAGAGCCAAGTCCAGTCTGACTTCCTTTGTCCCAAGAATCCCAAGAGTCTCGGTTCCTGATGCCTGCCTCCCTTCGCAGGTTACACAGGAAATGTCCTCAACTTCAGTTCACAGAAAGTGGCTCCTCCTCCTCAACGAATGGAATGAAAACCGGATGAGATAACTGGAAAAACAAGAACAACATATTGTGACGGTAGCAAAAGTACTGTGTTATGCGTTCCGCCCTTTTGCCCTTTCCATTGTCTTATTATATGTATTAATGGTTCTTCTGTTTTCAATAAAGCATCTGTGCCTATCTTTGTGCACAGAAAAGAACAGGAACTGTAATTGCTGGTTATACAGATTATTGTTATTGCCTTTATTGGGCTACCGACGCTAGAAGAAAGCGAACTACACTGTAGTGTTGTGCGAGTCAGGTTGTGGTGTGGTCTGGTCAGGTGAACAGATTGCCCCTTTCGACTCAGGGCGGGTCCAACTTTGCACACTCCCGTTTTTTTCGTTATTTTTACGTCAACACACTTGTCAATTTTGACTGTACCCCACGGTGTACTCCTAGCGTTCCCTGTCCAGTTCGGAGTGTACAGTGCGGACTTTTGACGAGGTACATTAACGTTGCGAGGTACAGTACCTGGGAAGAAGAGTTACCACATGTTGCGAGGGTTTTCGCATCATGGGCGAATGGAATAAATTAATGACGAAAAGCGTTTGGCGAAACACGGGAGTTACTGTTTGACGACTTTGACGGAAAGCGATTTGGGAGACGAGCCTTCGGATGTGTTCCTCACGTCCCGGGGCACGTTTCCGAAATGAGCTCATTTATGTACAGTCTCGCGTCAAACGGATTTCGTACGTAAAAAGTTCTGTTACATGCTTTATTCTGGTAACTGAGATGAAAATTAACCGTACATGTGCAAAGTTAGACCCGCCCTCACTCATGCCTTATCAACGCCTCGCCATCTCCATCAGCACTCCATGTCAAAACACTCGGTATCAACTTTCTGACTGCTGTCCGAAAGTGTGACGCTGATGGCTCCCCTATTGTCGAGGTGCTCCAAATCCCCACGATTCCAAGGTTCCCTACCAACGTTTCTGCCTGAGCGGCGGAGGAAGCATCCGGTACGATGTTAGAATCCGTCGACGGAGAAATCAAGAAGCAATTTAAACTGATGTCTAACCCGACAGTGAAATTTTGAAATTTGTCTTGAGTCAATACTCCTGCACTATCAGGATCCGCTTTCCATGAAGCCTTCAAGCCTTCGTTGCAAGCACACTCATTTGCAAGGCTGTCTGCCACGGGTTGCATGAAAGCTTACGCAAGACTGACCTCTTCGCGTGGAATCTTTCCATGGATGGCCTCCCTGAATGGATAGCCTTTGACGGCATAATCAGGTGACGTGGTCTATAAGTTACGTTCCTTCATTATGTTCGCGCATTTCGAGGATATCTTGACTCTCGTTTCCATCCTTAGAAATTTCGGGTTTCAAGCTCAGTATGGAGACTCAAACTCACGGCGATGTTTACAGTGGAGATAATACTACCCATCAACAATGGCGTCTTGACGATATTGGCAGGGATAAGGATTTTACTAATGCTGGAGACATCATCACACCAGGACCACCTCCATCGTCCTGCCATTTGCATACTTCAGTACGTTCAACTTCTCATCGTATCCAGCCATTCATCCATGCCGAGTCTTAATCCCCTTCATTCGCGTAACTTAAACCGCTATCTCTTTAACCATGTGTTGCAGTCTCTGACAGGCGCTGGTGTTCATCCTTCTTCAATAAATATTACGGGTGTTGCCAAACCTTACTCGTCCGAGAACCATGGACGTCATGTGAATCACGCAAGGCGGAAGGCAATCCTAAGAGGAAATGTAAGATTTTCTTTCAACCATGAGGTGCTTGGCTTCGCATCTTAACAAAATTATTTCTCAGTGTCTTGCATAAATTTTACAACGTTTCTTGTTGCTCTTGAAGGGTCGTGCTGGCTTTCTGGTCGTTGCCAATGACCGTGATGAGGAACGAAACATGGCTACTGATCCTATATGCTTCTCCGAGTCATCACCTAAACAAGAGCCTTCACTTCCTCCCTTTAAAGGCAGCCAGTTGTCTGATACGTGGCTTCATTCCGGAGGACTGCAGAAAGACGACCTCCTTCACCCAGGAGGGGAAATGATTGCAGATGGAAGAAAGGTCCAATTTCAGCAGCAGGAGAATAACTGGCAGTATTGTGGTCATTCTTTACTGCCTTACTCAAAGCATCACCAACACTCTGGTTGGCCTGCAAGTAACATACCTTCGAATGAGAGCTCTTCCTCCCAACCTCATGAGCATACAGCACAGGATATGCTGTCCTGCACTGCGTCCCTTGACTCTGCTCAACTTGCTGCTCAAGGAAAATCTCTTTTTCATTTTTTAGAAGACAAATCTGCTGCTTATGCTGGAATTGGAAGCACTCTTCCCGAGCACCAGGTGGAGCAGGCAGTGGCACAGTATGGTGCACAGCCAGCATTGGAGCGAGTTAGCTCGGCCCCTGTTCCCATCCTTCAACAAGGCTTCCATGGACATGCTTTTGAGGACTTTGACGATGGATTTGCTGCAGGTTTATGGTCCAGCCATCCTCAGCAGGGAATCATAATGGATTCTATGCAGGTTGATGGGTGTCAGAATGAAGCTGGTCACGAATCGGAGTTGTTAGCTATTGCTGCTCTACCTGGGTCCAGCTATATGGCTATGGTGACAGGAGAAAAGGACATTCGGGATGCTGATTGTACTCACTTGGGAGCGCAATTACCGCCGTCTGATGGCAAGAGCAGTGTTGTTGCTGGAGGTGGGGGTGATGATGACGACCCGAAGAAGACTGAAGCGGAGCCTGAAGCCAAGTCTGTACCGAATATGTCGTTCATTCTTGAGGCTGCACAAGAGTTACTGATGGAGGTCTGCCGTTGCCCAACACCATCTCGCAAGTGGAGACGAAGGCATGATGGCAGCAGTTTTGGAGATGGTACCGGTCAAAGGCCATCACCAGTGTCATCGTCTGTCTGTGGTGTGAGTGGAGAAGGACAGCTGCAGACTATCCCTATCGGTGGTACAAGAGAGCAGGCACAAAGGCTTCGAGCCCTCCTTGTGGATGTAAGTTGGTATGCTGTTACATTTTTTTTAATATATATTTTTGGGAAATGGTATAATGATATGTTTGCCTTTGGATGACACAGGTGGAGAAGTCATATGGAAAGTACAAGGAGCAGAATACCGCCTTAGCTGCTGCATTCGATGCTGCCACTGGAACAGAAGGTTCAGCTAACATGTACACCAAACCTTCACTGCACGCGATATCTACTGCGTACCGCTCTGCCAAGGATAGTATCGAGGCCAATCTTAGAAGACTGGCAAAATAGACCGATGTCTACATCATGTTTTAACAGCTGGAAATCATGGTTTATAAAGATTTTAGTTCATGGAACTTTACTGGTATGAAGCGTCTTCATTGGCCTGCTACGGTTGTTCCCGTTACTGGATTCCAGTGAGGACTTGTTATTTCCCGAAAGACTTCAGCCTTGGGGTATTTGAAGTAGCAGACCCGTGCTGATCGCCGCCATCAAGTTTCGGATTCCGTGGTTCTTAGGACGGCAAGCCGGTCGTGAAAAAAGTGTTTTTGAGCTTTTCAATCGGCGATCTCCTTATTGTCCACAGGTACCTCCATGGATTAGTATCTGTCTTGGCTCAAATAAAATCTCTCGACTCGCAGGCAAAGGTCTGCAGCCAAAGGAATGCGCTATTCTTCAAGTCAGACATAAAATGCTCGTCATTCCCTGGCGCGGTTGCACACGCGGAGAGACTATCCCTAAACTCCTGTGCTAACGCATGGACGAGTCAAGACTTTGAACTCTAACGTGCTCCCTCAAGATTCAACATTGCCTTGGCCATGGCGTTCGGTGGCAATAAAAATGGTTCTGGGGGTACCACTCGCCTCGACCGGCTTCTCATTCTTCTTGATAGTACGAACGGCATTCTTCAATATTTCCACCCCGATAAGCGCACCGAGTTCACGAAATGTTCCAATTCCGCGTCAGTTACGCCATGTCTCACCATGTCTCTAGCCTGCTTACGTCGCATCACTGTATCCTGCTTATGTCTCATTCCTCCGCTTCACGCCTCCCGTTCCGTGCTCTTTCCCGCCCTTGTTGGTTCTACTCCTCTTCGTTTCGGGCGATAACGCTCAACTGTCCTCACCAGTTCTTCTTTCATATTCCCTGTCGAAACTCTTTTTTCAGCTGGAGAAGCTTCCACGACGCGCGACACTGCCGCGCGTCAAATTGGAGAGTTAGCCAGCCTCCACAGAGCAGATTTGCATCCTCTCATTCGGCGTGTATGGTCCCCAGTCGTCTTCAGATGCCTGTGCTGTTGGTTTCCCTACATTCCTTTCCTATTTGAACCTATGCCAGCTCTATCCGTTTGAGACCCTGCGGCTTGCTCTATCACTTCCACAGTCCACCCTCAAACTTGCTAGTTCTTCCTGTATTCAAGTTTCTTTGCAACCTTAAAACCATCCATCTGTCCTCTCTCCTCAACCCCTCCGTACAGGTGAAGAGGTTGCTGAAGAGCAGCAAGTGGGACACGCGTGTGGCTGCAGCCAAGGCGTTAGGGTACATAGCTCGGAACACTCCACATGCCACAGTGCAGGAACTGCAGATTGCTGCTGCTACTGTATCTGGTGACGATGGAGCAATAGCAGCACGGAATGACACTGCTTCTGCAACCCCTGATGGCGAAAGTGCTGCACCAGCTGCTGCAAAAACTACTGCTGCTGGTGGCGGCTTGCGCTTCAAGGGGTAAGACTTCGTGGTGGAGGGAGTCATAGGTGCTTGATGGCGCAGATTCATGGGCTGCTGACAGTGAACCCTGAATGTTCGAAGTATGTGCTGGTTTCTTATTGTTTTCTTCTATGACGTCTCTCCATGTGTCTCACTGTATGCAGCTTTGACATTGGTCGTGTGTTGGACAATGGAGCACCACTTGTGGCATCAGCTGGCAAGGTAGGGCGTGCTTATGCTGTTATGTGCCCATAATGCATGGAGGTGCGGATTCATGGTTGTATTGTGTAAGTATTGGTGATGCATCGCTGGTGGCGCAGCTTACAGCTTGGCAACCTATACATTTTTCCTCTTTATTTTGTGAGTTGGTTGAAATCAAGCAGCATGGCATACTTTCTCTCTGGTCCATTCCCAACATCTTGCTTCTTCCATGCCGAATCTCTCACGCACAACACACCCAATTCTGCATCATGCCCAATGTTACAACATAGCTAAATCTACATTTTCCCATTTCTATGCCGGCCCAGGAATATGATATTGCAGCAATTGGGCGAGGGGGGAAGGAGGCGATTGCCAAGCAAAAGCAATCCCTACGACGGAGGCTAGGTGAGATAATGGAATGAGGTCATGGTGCAACGCATGCCTTTCTGTGCCACTTTCTGGTTTCTAGCTCCATACGACACACATTGCTACTCCATCTTCCTTCGTCTTTTTCTATCGGTCCTTGTCATTATGCATGCTGAGCTGAGAGTACTGCAGAAATTTAGGAATGAAAATCAACGCTGGATAGGGAGCTATTATTGGGACAAAAACGTTTAGGTGGTGAGGGTGAGGGCAGGCGGTAGGGAGGGGGGGTTCATGGTGACGATGCTGAGCCAGGCTGGCGTCAGGCTGGTCGGCACAGCCAGGGTGTCGAACACAGCTCAGTTTTCTTGATGAGAGAGGAGTCCCAGCTAGTCATTGGGAGCACCCATACGAGGCCTTTCTCTCTTTCTTCCGCACACTTTGTGTTTCACAGGTCTAGACGAGTGTGAGCGATTCATGGATGTAAGCGATATTATCAGAGACGAGGATCTGGAAGCACCGGCGCAAGAAACAGCACCATCAGCAACAGGTTCATCAAACCCTGCTCCAGCAGCTGACAGCAAGCAGAAGCAGAGGCGAGAAGCTACGGCTGGAATAAAGCGTGGAGCGCAGGATCTAATGGCTGAGATGCTGCCAAGTGGCAGTGGTCCGGGAGTTGGTGATAGTAGCTGTGCTGCTGGTAGTGTATCACCCGCTTTGTCGAAGTCCCTCAGTGCGAGGGAGAAAAACATGCTGAAGCGGAAGGCAAAGAGCATGAGCAAGGACGGGGGGAAGAGAGGAGGAGGGGCACATGGTGGGGTGGGGGAGGTGGATGAGGATGAGGATGGAGGGGAAGGGGAGCGGGGAGGCAGGAAAAAGATGCGGACAAAGAGTGTGGTTTCAGATGGGAAGGAGGACAATAAGGTGCGTTCGTTTATTATCTTTTGGTTGTTGCATGCGACCCATGCTTTTCACTTCACCGGGGTGTTTGAGTCGCAGCTGGGGGGGTATGCACAGAATCTGTTGACCATCGGTTTTATTGTCCCTCTTTCAGCCCTTCAAAGTGCCCTCTTTCACTATTAGTTTTACCCCTCCTTTCCACCGCTCCTGCCCGCCACCTGCCCATCAGATCACAATAGAGCAGGTGGCAGCAGAGGGGGATGACTGGGAGGAAGAGGAGGAGGAGGAGGGGGAATGGCCCTTGCAGGCGCTTTGTGAACAACTGCTCACAGACATGTTTCACCCAGGTAATGATTGATGTGTCATTCAGGGTATACATTTGAAGTTCCATTCAGCTAAATGTCACCCTTTCGTTTCAATAGATACTCATGTTCCATCAGCGGTGGGACATGCGGACCTGTTTCTTTGCAGCACGACCTTGTGTTTTTGTCAGAATATTCTTTGGTCTTCCTCTTTGTTTTTTCGTGCAGTGTGGGAGGTACGTCACGGCAGTATTCTTGCCCTCAGGGAGGTTATGTCCGCGCATGGGAACAGTGCTGCAGTCTGCCGCCCAATAGTTCCTTCTAAGTGGGCCAGTGCCAACGGGAAGGAGGAGAGGGAAGATGGGAAGGGGAAGATGGAGCTAGAAGTGGTGAAGGAGGGCGATGATGGCAAGACTGTGCCAGAAAAGAGGGAGCTGGATGTGGCTTTGGTCAAGGCGCCGATGGTGAGGTCGGAAAAGGAGGAAGAAGGGGTTAATGAGGAAATGGAGGGAGTGAATAGTCAGGGTATTGAAAAAGAAGAATGTGGGGAGTTAGGATTGGGGGGCGTGAAGCGGGAAGTAGGACAAGAAGAGTTTTTGAGTAAGCGAATGGTAGCAGTGAAGAGGGAGATTGAGGCGGAGACTTGTCCAAAGACAGAGGTGAAAGAGGAGGCAAAGTGTGAAGAGGACAGTATGAAAACGAGAGCAAAGGAAGAAGTGAAAGTAGAGGATGCGATGGAAGTGATGGAGGGGCGGCTGGAGGGCGTAAAGAGGGAAGCAAAGGCAGAGACAAAGGAAGGGAGTGGAGGCTGGCTAGGCCTCTCCATGGCCTCTGAGACGTCTAAAGGAAAGCTTGCTGCTATTGTTGGGGTGTGTGTGAAGGAGGAGGCAGGAGAAGGGGACAGGAAGGGGGAGGAGGATAACCGAGTTGAACGATCTGGATTTGACTTGAACGAATTGATGGTCTGTAAAGTGGAGGACACTGAAGCGAGTGCAACGAATCAAGAGGGCGTCTCTAACCAAAATTCTGGAGGGAGGGCGCGTATGGGCTTGGACTTACATCTTTCTGATGGCTTGCAATCAGAAGAGATGGGAGAGGGGTCGGTACGAAGTTTGGCGAATGAAGGGAGTATTAAGGGGAGTAAGGTAGAAGCCAACACGGATGGGAGTGAAGAGAAGAGCAAGCATGAGGGATGTGAAAAATCTGTAGGAAAGGGGTTGGACTTGAACATGGAAGTTTTTGAGGAAGCTAGTGAGATGAAACCTGTGGACGAGGGGGAAGTGGCAGAGGAGAAGAAAGGAGAAGAGAAGGAGAGTGCGCTGGTGGTAGCACAACCTGTGGGGCTGGCGGAGAAAGGTGCAATGCCGACAATGGAATCTGCAGGGAAGGCACAGTTAGCTATAGAAGCTGCCAGGAAGGCACAAGCGGATAATGAGCTGTTTTTGGAGGACTGTGCCATTCGGCTGCTGTGCATCTTCGCTTTGGACAGGCGAGTTATTTTAAAGTGCTGTACATATCAAATCTCAACCTTATTCGGTGTATTCTTACCTTCTCTTTTGGATATTATCCCTATACGGGTTGTTGTACTGTTTTCTCCTATTCATCTCCCTTGTCCGTTTTCTCTTAGTAGAGGACTTTGTGCCACATCAGGTGGGGCGACGCCATGGGTGTCTCACGTCACCCCTTTTACCCCGGGTCCCCTCTGTGCCGTTAGGTTGGAAGACTTTGTGTCGGACCAGGTGGTGGCACCGGTGCGGGAGGCGTGTGGACAGGCGCTGGGAGTGGTGCTCAAATACCTGCCCTCCAGGGCTGTTGCACGCACACTTGATGTGCTGCTGCAAATGCAGGTATGCATGGGAGAATGTAGTCCTCCCCACACACAGTATCAACACCATCTCTTTTTCTGATGCTCACAGCATGCCTCTCTCCACTACTGTCTGTTAGACATGCCACCAGGGTGGGATGTTCTGCATAGAGGCATGCCAGGCGTCAATCATCTGAAAGCTAAATGGGGGAGGCCTCACCTTTGTGAGATAATATTACCTTTGCTCCTCATTTAAAATGTCTGAGATGGCCTCATCTACACCTGAATGCTGACTCGCTTGGAGTAGGAGGTCAGCACCGAGTGGCCACCTTCAGTATGTTGCATGGGTGATCCTTCCTGTTCCTCATTCAGGGAACTTACTATGCAGCCGCTCCCATCCCCCATTACAGAACCGATCAGAGTGGGAAGTGCGGCACGGTGCCCTGCTTGGCATCAAGTATCTTATTGCAGTGCGCCAGGAGCTACTGCCCTCCCTGCTGCCCTCGCTCCTCCCCGCCTGCATCCGCGCTCTGCAAGACTCAGACGATGATGTGCGAGCTGTGGCTGCAGAGGCGCTGCTGCCAGCTGCTAAGACCGTGGGGGAGGGCGTGGACGAAAGTGAATTAAGGCAGCTGATGCGACTGCTGTGGGGGATTTTATCCGAACTTGATGACCTCAGCCCGTCCACTAGCAGGTGAGCAAATGGGTTGGCTGAGGCTTCCAGGTTTTCTAAAAGAGGTGAATGAGACCATGTCTGCCCGCTCATTGAGCTTCCGCAACTACTGATGCACTCTTGTGGATGTATGGAATCCATCTACCAGCTTGGGGCCCTCTAGATGTGGAGGCTTTTTGGGTCTATGCATGTTGCTTGCCGTTGTCTGCGAACAGGTTGAGATGCCCACATGCGTGTTCCTTGGTTGTTCTTGTGTCCCTCCGACAGTGTCATGACCCTCCTTGCTGAGCTGCATGCCCTTCCTCGAGTTGCAGCGCTCTGGTCCATCTCTCCACCTGCTGGTGCTTCAGCTGATGCTAAGCCTGCTGCTGCTGTTGCAGCTGCTGCTGGTATGGCTGTTGCTGCTTCTGCTGGTGGTCATGGGAAGCGCGATGAGGAGTTGGGGGAAGATGATGACCTCGACGACGAGGAAGAGGAGGGAAATACAGTTTTAGATGGGAGTCGTCCAAAGCGCAGCAAAGATGTTGCTGCCATCGCTGCTGTCGTTGGTGCTGGAAAGGACTCTTTGCCGCCCTTAGTGGTTCTCGTCCGTCGATTATGGCCGTTGATGCGTCACACCATCTCTGCTGTCCGACTTGCTGCTGTTTCCACTCTCGTGAGTCACCCTGCTTGTCACTCACGCACCACCCTTTCTTAACCTTCCTTAATGCGTTGCTTTCTCGTTTTCCCCTCCTTGCACGTCTGTGTCTTCTCCCCTTCGTCCATTGATATTCCATTCTAACCTTGTATCCCCCTCCTCCCTCCCTCACAATCGAGACAGGAGAGGCTCCTCCAATCGAATGGCACCTCGTCAGCAGATTCCAGCTCAGCATCACCCTGGGTGGCTGACGTGTTCCAGGACGCTCTGGCATGTGTTCTCCGCAATCTAATTCTGGAGACCCACCCCACGGCCCTCGCTGTCTCCCGCCGTGTCTGGCCTCTGCTCTTGCGACAGGTACTGTGTTCTGACAAGTTCCATCTTTTCATTCCTGGGCAGGGTTCCACTTGCCTTGGGCACACCTCGTACTTCACCTCAGATTGTTGCTGCTGACGACTGTTTCTAGCTCATTTTTCACAACAGTCAACTCAGATTACCCATGTCCCCACCACATCGTTCCTCCCATCGCCTGCTTCAGGTAACCCCCTCCAAGGTTGCATCCCTCACCCGGCCCGTCATTCACCACTGGTGCCAGCTCATCGCCACACCACCTGGTAGCTCCCTTAACCCCTCCCTCCTCTTTGCCACATCGGCACTTGCAGTTCAAGGGACAGCGGGCAGAGGCACGGGGGCTGAGGGACGGGGGAGGGGAAGGGGTAGAGGGGGAAGGGGGAAGGGCAAGGGGAAAGAATCAGAAGGTGTAGGAAGCTCTGCCACTACTGGAAGTGCGATGGGGAGCGGTGGTGATGGGGTGGTGGTGGTAGGGGCGGATGGGGAGAGCGCAGCTGTGCGTATGAGAGTGGACACAAGTCAAGCCATGGGGTTGCTTTTGTCCTTCTGGCCTGTTGACCAGCTAGAAGTCGGAGTCGCTCCGTTGATATCCCTTCTGGGGTCCGTGGCTGCCACACAGAAGCAGGTTGGTGCTTTGATCATTGCTGCTTGGTTCAGGGAGCTTGAGAGACGGGAGGTGGGGGAATCAAAGGAGGATAAATCGGACAAGCAGGAAGCATTGCAAAAGCCGAATCAACAGCAGCAGCATTCGTTTGCCCTTGGCTCTCTCCCAGGTCTCTCTTCAGTACGATCATCTCCCCCTGTTGCAAAACTGCTAACCCATGTGATGGCTCTCCTCTCTTCTCCCGATGCTGGCCAAAGCTATGAAGAGCTCTCACGAACCTACAACAAGCTCCGAGCCGAAGCTAGTGCTTTGATCAGCCATGCCAAAGCTGTAGGGTTAGCACCAGACACGATTAGTGCGGCCCTTACACGAGCCGGCTGTTTTGGCTCGGCAGTTGCTCTAGATAGCAGTACAGCAGGAGAAGCGAGAGGAACGGGAGGAACGAAAGGAGCAGTTGTGGAAGGACGAGGAGGGGAGGGGACTCAATTTGACAGACTGAGTCCTGAGGGCGCGTTAGAACTGGCAGGGGCTTTGGCTGGGCTGGCTGGGACAGAGACAGGGGAGGTGGAGAACAGGGATGCACCTGGTGGTGTGGCTGATGCAGTTGGGGGAGGGAGAGGGGAAGGAGTTGGAAGAGGAAAGGGAAGAGGAAGAGGAAGAGGCAGGGGAAGGGGAGGGAGTGAGGGAGGGAGAGGGACTGAGGGGCAACAGGAGCCGCAGCAACAGCAAGGCACGAGCGATTTGATGGAAGGCTGCAGGCGGAGATTGCTGTCTACTGCCACTTACCTTAAAACTGTTCAGGTGTGTTCAATGGCATACGTGCGCCTGCTTGTGCATATGCATGTGCGTCAATGTATTTGGGGGGAGGTGGGATGTCTATTTCGGAGCGGAGTGCAGGCTTTTCTAGGGGTCCTTCTCTACCCTTTTCCACCACCTCTTTGCCTACTCTTTCTCTTGCTCCATCCCAGCTTGCATGCACGCAGTGATGATTGCATTCCGTCACTGATGCCCTTCGCCTCTGCCTCCTCCGCTCTTCCCTGTCCCCGTTTCTCCTCGTCTTTCCTTCCTCAGGCCAACATGCACACATCCGTCACAGCAACAGTGGCGGCAGCAGCAGTGCGAGTTGCCCCAACTTTGCCGGCCAAGCTGAACCCCATCATACAACCACTCATGGCCGCACTCAAGCGAGAAAGGGTGAGTGGTAACTCCAGGTGCCTATGTTGAAATGTAATTCACTCAACTCACAGGTGGCTCTGTGCTCACTTCTCTTCGTCTCGTGCCTAACCCTTTCCCACCCACTCCGCCCTCCCTCCCCTATCAGGAGGAGCTCCTGCAACAGTGTGTAGCGAGCGGCCTCGCAACCGTGATTCTGCGCTCCTTGGACCGCCGCCCCTCCCCCAACGACAGGCTTCTCAAGAATCTATCCACACTCGCCTGCTCCGACCCCTCTCAGTGCCCACCACCCTGTGATGCCAATCGGGAGGCGGATGACCCACTGGATCCCACCCTCGCTATGCCTGCTGCGGCTGGAGTGGGGGGACCAGCTGCAAAAGGAACAGCTGGTGTGACTGTAAAAGGGGACGGGGCAGCAGGGTCGCTGGAAGCCATGATTGGCCGCAGAGGAGCCGAGCTGTCTTTTAGAGCCTTGGCGGACAGCCTTGGCCCAGACCTTTTTACGAAGCTGCCGAAGCTGTGGGGTCTCCTCACTGAGGTGTGGAAGCCTGGAGAGTCAGCGGGAGGTGGTAGCACAGGGGAGTGCGATGAGGGAGAGCTGTTCCAAGCAGATCCACTGGCACTAGTCAACACCTTTCAACTCATCCGGTGCCTAGCGCTTGTCCTCCACACATCCCTGATCCCTCAACTGCTCCTCCTCCTTCCCCCAGTACTCTGTTGCACTCGCCACCCCCATGCTGCTGTCCGATTTGCCTCAGCCCAGTGCCTGTCAGCCCTTGTGTCTCTCCCTTCCGCAGAGCAAACTGTTCTCTCTGCAATTCTCACTCATGTCATTCCCCAGCTCACCAACACACTCTCCGAACCTGCCCGTCGTGGTGCAGCAAGTGTTGTTTCCTCGTTAGTCAACACCCAAGGCGAGATGCTAGCACCATACGCTGCACTCCTAGTCGTCCCCCTCCTAGCTCGGATGTCCGACCCTAGTCCGCAGGTGCGGCAGCTGGTCACACAGAGCTTTGCCAGGCTCGTACCTCTACTGCCGCTTGCTCGAGGGCTGCCTTTACCAGCGTTTTTGGACAAGGAAGGTGCGAGGAAGGCCCGGGAGGATACAAGGTTCCTGGAGCAGCTTCTGGATAACCGCAAGGCGGATGATTACCAGCTACAAGTGAAGCTGTCGGTGACTCTGAGAAGGTGCGTGCAATGTAAAGCTGGACGTATTAATTTTTGAAAACACTGGTCCAGTACAGATGCCTATTCTTCATCAAATGTGTAGAGTTCAACACACGTTCACACCTTCTACTCCTCTCATGCATTCTCCTTTTCGCACCCCCCCCCACACATACACACCTCCCTCTTTGGACCAAGCAGGTACCAGCAGGAGGGTGTCAACTGGTTGGCCTTTCTGCGCCGCTTTCACCTGCATGGGGTGCTCTGCGACGACATGGGACTGGGCAAGACCCTCCAGGCCTCCTCCATGCTCGCCTCAGACACGATCGAGCGCCAAGCTGCTGCCCGTGCAGCTGCTAGTGGGCCGACTTCTGCTGGTGATCGTGCTGCACCTGGTGCTTCTGGATTTGGAATTGCGCCCACGCCTCTCCTCCCGTCTCTCATCGTTTGCCCACCTACACTTGTTGCTCACTGGGTCTATGAGATGGAGAAATACATTCCTCCTGGGATCCTCTTCCCACTGCAGTACGCAGGCAGCGTTGCCGACCGGCAGAGGATGCGGGGGCAGCTGAGAAAGCACAACCTGGTGGTAACGTCGTATGAGGTGTTACGGAGCGACATTGATGAGCTGGCAGCGATCACGTGGCGGTACTGTGTGCTGGACGAGGGGCATCTGATCAAGGGCGCCAAGACGCGGCTGTCGCAGGCGGTGAGGCGGATCAAGGCGGAGCATCGGCTGCTGCTGACGGGCACTCCCATTCAGAACAACGTCCTGGAGCTCTGGGCGCTCTTTGACTTCCTCATGCCAGGCTTCCTAGGGACTGAGAAACAGGTACGCCTGCTTGCCTTGTAGGCAATGGAAAATGATGAAGGTAGCTAAGATTGTGTTACTGCTGAGCTACACAACCGGGCTGATTGGCAATACGACTGTCTTTCACTGTGCTTTTAATCTACCTCTATTTTTTCCCTTTTCCTGTCGCTTTTCCCCGCTCTCCCCATCACACATGCACATCAGTTTCAGGCGCGGTATGGCAAGCCCCTACAGGCCGCACGAGACCCCAAGTGCACTGCCAAGCAGGCAGAGGCAGGCGCTCTGGCCATGGAGGCCCTTCACCGCCAGGTCAGCCCAGCCCTTGCATTTCTTACTCCGGTCTTTATGGGAAAGAAGGGGGTTGGAAGATGGGAAAATCAGGGTATAAATGAGTTGAATGAACATGTGTTGTCATGTGGGTGTAGCCATGGAGGGGTCGTGCTGGACCAGCTACGCTTTTGTTTGCTGATCAATCCAAGTTCCCTCCAACTCTCTGTTCTCTTGCTTCCCCTCTGCCAGGTGATGCCATTCATTCTGCGCCGCACCAAGGAGCAGGTGCTCTCAGACCTGCCGCCCAAAATCATCACCGACCGTTACTGCCAGCTCAGCACGCTCCAGCGACTACTGTACGCTGATTTCTCTAAGTCCCATGCGTCAGAGGAGGTGGTGACAGCAGTAACAGCGGCAGATAGGGGAGCAGATGGAAGCGGCGAGGAGCAAGCTTCAACGCATGTGTTCCAAGCACTGCAGTATCTGAGAAAACTGTGCAGCCATCCGCTACTGGTGTTGGACCCTTCCCATCCCCGCCACGCAGCTGCTCTCGCAGCAGTAGGGGCCACAGGGGCAGCAGAAGCTGGGCAGAAAGGAGGCAGCAGCAGTGGTGCTGGGAGCAGCGGAGGGGAGGGTATTGGCGACGTGCATGACATAGTGCACGCACCCAAGTTGATTGCGTTGAGAGATATTCTGCTGGAGTGTGGAATAGGAGGAGGAGGGGAGGGTAGGGGTGGAGGGGATGTGGGAGGCGAGGCCAGTGAAGGCAATCACCGTGTGCTTGTCTTCGCCCAGCTTAAGGTCATTCCACTCACTCAGGGTTGCTTTTCTGCATCCGTGTATGTTACGACAAAAGTGACCCTTTGAATGTTGAACCTCTACAGGTATTCCCTGTCATCTCAAATTCCCCTCCTGGATGTCTGCTTGCCCCCATCCCCCTTACAGTCATTTCTTGATATTGTGGAGGAGGACCTCTTCAAGAAGCACATGCCTGGGTAAGCGGTGATTGCCCATGGAGGTTGTCAACTGCAAGACCTCTATTTATAAGAACTTTTGTAACACCTTCAAATCTGGCATCTACACATCCCCCCCTATTAGTCCGTCTTCTTTATACCCTCCACATGACTCTGAATTTTACCCCCCTCCCGTTTACCCCCTCCCCCCCCCCTCTAACTTAACGCGGCACTCTTCCCCGCAGTGTGTCCTATCTGCGCATTGACGGCTCGGTGGAGCCGTCGCGTCGTTTTGACATAGTCAAGGCCTTCAACTCAGACCCAACGATTGATGTGCTGCTCCTTACAACCCATGGTATGTGCTGCTCCTTACAACCCATGGTATGTGCTGCTCCTTACAACCCATGGTATGTGCTGCTCCTTACAACCCATGGTATGTGCTGCTCCTTACAACCCATGGTATGTGCTGCTCCTTACAACCCATGGTATGTGCTGCTCCTTACAACCCATGGTATGTGCTGCTTCTCATTTGAGTCAATTCCTGGCCGGTGCTTCTTTTGTCTGTACGTGCAATGTGTGACGCTATAGACTGTGCATGCTAGTGATTTTCGGAAGCAGCAAAGCACGTTCAAGTCCAACAGGGGCGTCAATCTGCTTCCATATCCCTTTCTTGTAGGTCACCTCATAGCAGCACGTGGCTGCTGTGAAAATGTGTCAAATAACAGCATCTGTTACACCTTCATGGAGAACAGCCATGGCTCCCCCCTCTCTCACTCCACATCAAGTGCCATTTTTTCCCCTCTCTTCCCCGTTCTCTCCTCCTATCCCACCATCACCCCCCTGCTTTCGTGTCCTGAACTCTGTTTGTTTGGCTTGTTTCTTCCGGTAACAGTCGGTGGCTTGGGGCTCAACCTAACAGCAGCGGACACTGTGGTGTTCTTGGAGCATGACTGGAACCCCATGCGAGATCTGCAGGTATGTGATGGTAACCGCCTTGCGTGGACAATTGTGATCAGAGGGAGAATTTGGAAATAACTCATCTGAAAACATATCATGGCCTCATCTGTAGGAACCTACAGCAGGCACAGTTGTGCACACACTGTGAGGAACTTATCCCATCGTCTTGGTGCCACGTGCACTCTCAATATGCAAGAACACATGGCCTGCGTTCACATGCTACATTCCTGTAAAGTCAAACCATGGTCATAACACGCCCCCATCTCTCCCTCCTCCCCTTTCTCTGCGCTCTCCCTCTTCTCCCCTCTCTTGCTCCTCTTCCCTCCAGGCCATGGATCGAGCCCATCGCCTGGGGCAGAGGAGGACGGTGAACGTGCACAGAGTGATAATGGCGGGCACGCTGGAGGAGAAGGTGATGGGGCTGCAGCGCTTCAAGCTCTCCATAGCCAATGCGGTGGTCAATGCTGACAACGCCAGCCTCAAATCGATGGACACATCGCAGCTCTTAGACCTCTTCAATGCTGGCCCCCCTGCTGCCAGTGCTGATGCTAAGGTAAGTGGCATTGATAGCACTGGTCCGGTAGGTGTCTTTGTGGTGGTGCATCATGGTCGTTGGGTTGTGCACAGTGAACGGTGTCTGAAAGCCTTTGGCTTGCTGCACAGTGCTGCTCTTTTGCTCTTTACTGATATGTCAAAACAAGCAGTGTGCTGAATATCATGTTCCCACCTTGCCCTTCCTGTGACCGTGTTCTTGGCCCAGCAGAAACCAGCAGACTCATCTTCAGATGCAGCTGTGGCAGCAGCTGGAGGAGGGAAGGGGCTGAAAGCTGTGCTTACAGGCTTGGAAGATCTCTGGGATGAGTCGCAGTACGCAGAGGAGTACAACCTGGATAACTTCCTAAAACGCATATAGGTAGGGCAATCTTTTGACTGTTGAATTTTTCACAATATCGGTAAGTTGAATTTGTGGTAGTAAAGGCAGTAGAATGGTTGTATACCGTGCTAACATTGTGATGCCATCATAAATGGATCCCTGCCTACATGATTTGGAAGGATGGAAATACTGAGTTACTGGTATGTGGAACAACCATCATGCTAGTATGCACGACTTCCAGATTTGTGTGAGTGAAATTCTGTTTACTGTAAGTCAAGGATGTTGAGATATTAAAACAACCTTATTGTTCGCGTGTAGTTTATAATTTGAAATCCTTGTGCTGTTAGTGCAACTTCAGGGTTTCCCGAGCTGTGGAGTGTTTCGTGGCTAACCACCAGCCTACCCTACTGTGTGAAGTGCACCATTCCGCCTCTCCAATCTTTCCCCCAGCCGTTCCTGCAAACTATTGGGGCCTTCCTCCCTGATCCTGTCGCCTTCCCCCCTGCGCTGCACGGCGTGAAAGCCTTCTCCCTGCTCTTTATTCTCCCCTTTCCCTGCTCAGCCTCCTTTTCCCTCCCCCCTTCCGCTTATTCCACACTTAGTCTCGGAGCGCCCTCAGGGCTTACGTCAGCATGAAGACGATCTTAGCGTCCGAGACGATGGACATTCCTAAGGACGTGAAGCTGGAGATTAAGGCGAAGAAGGTCCGCGTGACTGGGCCACGTGGCAAGCTGTTTAGGGACTTCCGTCATCTGAACCTCGATTTCCAAATCATTGAGAACGGGACGAAGCTCAAGGTCGATGCGTGGTTCGGCACGCGCAAGACGATGGCGTCGATTAGAACGGCCATCAGCCACGTGCAGAATCTGATCAAGGGCGTGACGGTGGGCTTTAAGTACAAGATGCGCCTGGTGTACGCTCACTTCCCCATCAACTCGAGCATCAGCGGCTCCGCCGACAGCATCGAGATCCGAAACTTCCTGGGCGAGAAGAAGGTGAGCCGCGGGCGGGTTGTAAGGCGCAGGGAACCGGGAGCCGCAGAGCGCGATGTGCAATTGGTGGGACAAGGGGCTTAAAATAGGAGGCCTTGTTTCATCGGCACGCGTTTTCCCGTGTTTTCCCTTCTCTCACCTTTTCACTCGCATGCCTGTCAAGTTCCTTCCCCAGCGATACCTCTGCTGCGCTATTGCGCACTTACATAAACTCCCGCGTCTTCGCTCACGCAGCGAATTCTCGCGCGCGCTCTCCATCAGCGAAATTTACTCCCTCCCTTGCCCTGCGGAGCCGTTTTTTTGTTCAGCTTGTTTTGGAAAGGCCTAGTTCGATCAGTGCGGGTCAGGGAATGTATGGCGGATTTTGCCGCATTGCTAGCCCAGATTCTTGGCGGAAGGCTTCGCAGTCATCGGTCGTATCGTTTGTAGACCAACCGGGCTATCGATTTCCCGCCAGCTCGCTGAGAGAGATTCTTCAACGCCCGCCCTCGGCTCCTTAGATAGGCACAGCAGTGGCGGGAAGTTTCCGATCGTCGTCTACGGGGTACCGCTCCGTGCAGCTGAGGAACGGACCGATGCATTCTAAGTCGCGCACGTGCACTCCAAGCATCGCCTTTCGACGAACCGGTTTCTCCCTAGATTCTTTATAGGCGGCAGGCAGTTGCGGCCCTCTCTTGGTCGGGCTTCGACTGGCGGTGTGGGCTTCAGGGGCGTCGCGCTGTAGCTAGCTGGAAAGCTCAGGCCTTATGCGTGCTTTCGTAACTGCCGGGCCCCGATGGAAAGTATGAATGCGATCGACGCAGCAGTAGGGCTCGCGGGGCGCATTGCAACGGCGGCCTTCGAAGGAAGTCGTAGCTGTAGCAGACGTAGCTTTACCGGACGGACGTACACTCGATTTTCTGCTCGACGTGCCTCGGGGGCGAATGCGGAGCGGAGTGGCTGTATCGGTGCGACGGTGGGCCTGGGTAAGGCGAGAATTATTAGGCTTGAGAGATTCAGGCTTGGGAGAGGGCAGGCTTGGGAACGCGCAGGCAATCGGGCTGGATTGATGGGCTGGCAGGCGAGGGAACGGCAATGTTCGGAAGAGTAGCAGCAGTTATGGAGTTATCTTAGGCTAGTGCAGTTTGTAGTGACGCGGCTTGTAGCGAGGAGCTTGTAGTACGTTGAAGGCGGAACATTACTTAGCTCCGATCGGCTATGTCGGCAGGCACAGTATAAGCTGGCGATTTAAGACGCGGCTCCATTCTGCGAGGCCGGGCTGGATGAACTCTACGTGCACAGCGGCGAGGCGATGGTGCAGCGGCATGCCTCCGTCCATCCTCACGGGCTCCGCAGGGCCGCTATTCCGTGATTTCCTCATTTCTGTTGATTATCTGTCTCGACCCTGTGCGTTGCCTGGTCTCAGTTGAGGCGCTTTCCGGGAGAAGGTGAAGGCCCCTCCGGGATTTGGTGTCATAAGGGCTCGTTGAAACCCTCTGCCCTCGCCTTCCCCCCCTCCTGTCCGCCTCCTTTTCCCCCTCTACCTCCACCTTTCCCGTCACTCAAGGTGGAAACGATGCGCGCCAGGTGCTCAAGGCGGCGATTCTGTAGGGAGTGATTGTCGCCTGCTGTTGGGTGCGCGCTTGCTCTACGACTCTTATCCCGTCACCCCCCACTTTTACTTATCGGCTCCTCTTTCCGTCGTCCACCCACCGTTCCCCCCCTTACCCCCACTCCTCCCCCGTCCCCCGTCCCCCGTCCCCCCTCCCGCTCCCCCGGGTGCTTGGGGCAGGTGCGCAAGGTGGCGATGCTGGAGGGCGTGACGATAACGCGGTCGGAGAAGGTGAAGGACGAGCTCATCCTCGAGGGCAACGACATCGAGCTCGTCTCCCGCTCCGCCGCGCTCATCAACCAGGTCAGCCCTCCCCGCCTCCCCGCGCGCATCAACCAGGTCAGCCCTCCCCGCCTCCCCGCGCGCATCAACCAGGTCAGCCCTCCCCGCCCACGCGCATCAACCAGGTCAGCCCTCCCCTTCCCGGCGCGCATCAACCAGGTCAGCCCTCCCTTCCCGGCGCGCATCAACCAGGTCAGCCCTCCCCTTCCCCACGCGCATCAACCAGATCAGCCCTCTCCGTCGCTCCCTTCTGTCGCGCGCATCGACTATGCCAGCCCCGCGTTGCCGCATCGCCCCTGGTTAACCTGCACTACCCCTCGTCCCTCCCGCACCATCTCATGAGGCGCGACGACGCAACAAGGAAAGGCGTGCAGAACGCCTCATCTTTCTACAAAATGCGCTCGCAACTCGCTCCTCCTGTCAGTGGTTAGGGTTTCATGCACTGCCATCCACCTCTCACCGCCTCATCCGCCGGGTGTATTGGAGGGTTCCAGATGGCTGATTCGCCACCACCCAGAGCGCACTGTGAGTCGCACCTGGCTGTGAACCATCACCAGTCCCATGTGACAGAAGAACGCCGCTTTTTGATTCCAAATGCGCAAAACCGTCGTGGTTCCATCGCTGTGCCGTTGCTCCCCGTTTTTGAGTTTTGCCATTGGGATCCCCCATGAGTCAGGGCGTGGAAGCAGGGGTCCCTGTCAGCATTCCTGGTTTGGTGAATCTGTACCACTTGATGCCGGCCTTTCTCAGTGGTGCGCACACGAACAACCAAGGGCAGCCGAAAGCTCTTGTAGAAAATTGATTTGCAGATTCACCGACCACTTGCTGCAACTTGCTCTCCTCCCCCCTCAGGTGTGGCATGCGGAAATCAATGGTAGTCGTGAGTCTGAGAAACGAAAGCATTTGAGATGTTTTGTTGTTGCTGCCGTGCTCCTCCCGGGTGCAGGTGTGCCATGTGAAGAAGAAGGACATTCGGAAGTTCCTGGACGGCATCTATGTGAGCGAGAAGGGCAACGTTGTGGAGGAGGCCTGAAGTCACCGCTGCCTCTGAAATGGCTCTGCTGTGCCGCATGGCCAGTGCTCTCCCGCATAGGTGCTTGTTGTGTTTCACCCGATCCCTTGGTGCAATGGAAGCCTTGGTCGCCAATGTTCCAGTGTTCACTGTATGAAAGCCTTTTAAGTATGAAGTGCCAATATACAGGGCGCGGGTTAGTGCATTTATGCCACCTTAATTACCTAGAGAACAGATGCTGACGCTGACACAGATGCAATCATGCACCTGGCTAATGTTCGGCAGTCACATCGGGGGATGGGATGGAGAATGGAAACTCCAGGCCTCCAGGTTCGACCTTGACGAATCTACCAAGAAAAACTCAACACGACTAGCAATTACGGTAGATTTCCCACAGTTGCAGCAATTCAAAAGGCAAAAAAAGTTCCACTTGAATCTAAGGAAGTGATTGACAGCATTGCTATATCAGAAGATGGTTGTCTTTCAGCCGGGGATAGATAAGCTTCTCACGGCCTCTGAAGCTCAGTGGACAGGGTTTCTGTGGCGGGTGACGTGTTATGCTCTTCTGCTGATCACCAGTCGATCGTCCGATCAATCCACGCTGGATTGACCATCGACGAACATTAGCCCATCGAAGTTTGTGCCAGCGGCTGGGGAGTTCTGCGCCTTGTGTAGCTGTTGTGCCATCCCCGCACCAAGTGGATCAGTCGCCTCCTTTCCTCCCTCCCCCCATTTATATCTGCTCTCTTGTCTGTGTCAGACGAAAACACCAACTTTTATTCCTTCAATATTCTCTGTAATTTCAATATTCTCTGTAACTTCAATATCCCTTCTTCCTTCGTTATTCATCAAAGCGACGATCGAGTCAAGCATCGAAAGCATTTTCGTCTAGCCGAGCGCGATGGCGACTGCTCGCATCGCCGTGCTGACGGCGGTTTTTTCGCGGAAGCTGAGCGCGCAGGTGGACAAGGCGGTGCCGTGCGACGCGCGCGACGCGCTGCTCGTCGACGCGCGCGTCCATGAGCACGCAGCGCCGGACGACGCTGCCGCGTGCTCATCGCGAGCGCTGCACGTGAGCTCCAAAGCGGTGGCTCACCCTCGCGTGGTTCTGCCTCGGCCGTCGTCGTCCCTTGTGGCGGTCTGCAAGACGGACCCTCGCGCCATAGTGGCCACTCTTGGAACTCCCGCCGCCGGCGGCATGCGCGAGGCGCACCACGCCTTGCCGGCGAATGGAGCCGCTCACTTACCTCCCCCCAACGGCGTCGCGCCTCTCTCGCACGATTCAAGCGGCGCGTCGAGCCGGTTCGATCAGCGCGCGCGGTGGACGAAGCGGAAGAGCCGGCAGACGCCGCGGCAGGCGGCGTGGACGGCGGAGCAGGTGCGCGAGAGGGAGCGGCGGATCGTGGAGGAGGTGGCGCGCGTGCCGGAGGGGCGGAGCGTGGCGGCCGTGCTGGACGCGTGGGCGGGGCGCACGACGCGCGTGGAGATGTCGAGCGTCGTGAAGGAGCTCGGCGCGCAGCGCAAGGCGCGGCGGTCGCTGGAGGTGTTCGAGTGGATGGACGCGCAGCGCGGGCGGATGCGCCCCAACGGGCACACGTACACGCTCATGCTCGGCATCCTCGGCAGGTACGCCCGCGTCGCACCGCTGCCACGTTACAGATCTGCTCAGTACGCCGCGAGCAACCGTGTGGTCGCGCGAGGAATGCGATGGCGGTGGCGCGGTTGGTGGGCACGGGCCTCCGCGCAGTGGTAGGGCAGCGGTAGACCACGCGGAGCTCTCGCTATCGCCGGTGGTGGAGCTGCGGGCGTGAAACCTCCGCGGGGCACACCGCACACAAGTGAGTTGCGTGGTCTTGCTGAATGCGGGGTTACTGGTTAAAGGCAGACGCGGGCAGCATGACGCACGCGTCTTGTGAAGGAATGAACCGAAGAGCTGAACACGCGTAGATCTCAATGCAAGACTGACGCTGCTGAAAGGCAATCGCAGGGCAGTGAGAGTGTGATGCGAACGTGCTTGAAAAGGACTCTTGACGCGTGTACGCGCATGACGTATCGCCATCACACATCTCCCCACGCCCGCCCATGCACTCCTTCCCTTTCCCCCTCTCCCGCACTCCCCCCCACTCGCTTTCTCCTTGGGCGCGTGCGGGGCGGCAGGGCGGGCATGGTGGAGGAGGCGGAGGAGCTGTTCGCGCGGTTCCGCGCGGCGGCGTTCCGCGACAAGGTGCACGGCTTCAATGCCATGCTGCACGCCTGGCTCTCGCACGGCCACCCGCATCGCGCCTGGGAGCTCTTCCACCTCATGCAGCAACAACAGCAGCAGCAACAGCAGCAACAACAAGAATTGACCGCCAATGGCGGTGCCAGCGCGTCAATCCCCACCGCCGGTCCCCTCGACTCCTCACCCCGCAAGTCCCCCACCCACGTCGCGTCAGATGCGTCCCCCCCTCCCGTCCCTCCCACTTCTCACTCGTCCTCTGCCCCATCCGCCGCCTGCGCCACCCCCGACCACTCGTCGCAGCCGTCGCAAGCGCCTGCTGCGCGCAGCGACGGCCGCGGCGACGGAGACGTCGACGGCGATGGGGCCGGCGCGGCGAGCTGGGGTCCGCCGCCGGCGCCGGACGCGGTGACGTACAACACGATGCTGAGCGCGGGGCTGGCGGGCGCTGGCACGGCGGGCAGGGGGAGGGCCAAGGGGCGGGGGAGAGGCAAAGGCGCGGGCAGCAGGGGGGGAGGGGCGAGCAGCGTCGGAAGGGGCAGCAGCGCAGGTCGGCAGGCTCTGGCGCTGTACGGCGAGATGAAGGCGAGCGGCGTGCGGCCCACGGCGCGCACGTTCAACATCCTCGTGTCGCTGCTCGGCCACCACGGCCTCGTCGCCCAGGTGAGCCTCGTCGCCCAGGTGAGCCTCGTCGCTCAGGTGAGCCTCGTCGCCCAGGTGAGCCTCGTTGCCCAGACGGCCGTCCCTTGCTCGTTTCACTCACTCGCTTCCCTCCCCACGCCCTTGCTCTTCGCACCCCTCTCCCTCCTCCTCACGCCCTTGCGCTCCTGCTGTCTCTTCCTTTCCTGCTCACGCTGTTTTATGTGTGGTGCACTGCGGTGTGGTGTGGTGTGGTATGGGGCAGGCGGAGGGGGTGGTGGCGGAGATGAGGAGGGAGGGGGTGGAGGCGGATGCGCACACAGTGAGCGCGGTGATGACCATGTACACCCGCGCTGACCGCCCTGACGACGCCATCCGGGTATGCAGACGCCATGCCATGCCCACCGCTCACACCGCACCTGCTCTGCTCACTCCCCACGCTGCTCATTCACAACCCACGATGCTCACTCACACCCCCCGCGCCCACACCCCACGTGCCATCCGGGTGCGCCCTTGCATTGTCATGCCTAACGCCCACATCCAACGCACCCACACCCCACGCGCCCACACCCCACGCGCCCAGCCCATGCTCCGCCTCATGCTCGCGGCGCTGCTTGTGCACTGGTGTGCGTGCAGCAGTAGCTTGTGTGGTTGGTGAAGGGAGGGGCCAGTGCTGGCAGGGAGGAAGAGCACGGAACCACTGCTGCTTTACCTGCCACCATGCACCCATACCCGTCGCTCTCGTTCCGCCTTCACCTTGTCCCTCGCTCACTGTCACCTGATCTAACCCCCCTACCCGTGCCCTTCTCCCTCGGCCCCACCACCCCTCCCTGCTGCTTGTGTGGGGCAGACGTACGAGAGGGCGGTGGCAGCGGGGGTGCGCCCCTCACGGGCCATGTTCACGGCGCTCATGGCGGCGCTCACAGCCGCCGGCCGCCCTGCAGACGCTGCCGCCGCCTTTGACGCCATGCTGCAGGCGGGCCTCACTGCTGACGTGGCGGCGTGCGGGGCGCTGCTGAGGGCGCTGGCAGAGGCGGGGGAGGCGGAGCGGGCGGAGGCGGAGCTGCAGGCCATGCCGGCGCGGCACGGCGTGCAGCCCAACGCCATCGCGTACTCCGCTGTCGTCATGGCCTATGGCAGGTGTGTCGTCATGGCCTGCGGCAGGTTCGTGCCGTGCCTCACCCATGAGTGGCCTCTCTATGGCACCTCCGTATCCCCCCCCTTTGCCTACGCTTTAGCAGCCATATCACCCTATCCCAGGTGCTGCCATCGCGCCTCCACTGCCTTGTTCTGCTTCACGCCTTTCCGCCTGTGGCTGAAAGCGCCTCACATGGTAGCCTCACAGGTTAGAGGGGTTGTGTTCAGCAGGTACGGCTGCAGGCTCAAGGCACGGCACTCAGCCACAGGGCACCTGGCAGCTGCCAGTGCACTGATGGGCCTCACTTAACGCTGTTCTATCTGGCGTGTGTGTGGCTGGCGTGCTTGCAGGCAGGGCATGTGGGAGGAGGCAGCACGGGTGTTTGAGGGGATGCTGAGCGCAGGGTGTGAGGCGGACCTGCAGGCGTTCAACATCCTCATGGCCGCCTACGGGCTGCAGGGCCTCTCCCTGCCCGCCGCGCAGCTCTTCCGCCGCCTGCAGGCGCACGGGCTGCGCCCCGACGCCGTCACATACAACACGCTCATCCACGCGCTCTCCAAGGCCGGCCTGCCCGGCGCAGCCCTGCGCGCACTGGAGCACATGCGGCAGGGCGGGTGCGAGCCCGACCACGTGACGCGCTGCCTGGTGGCGCGCATCCTGCACGAGGCCGGCCGCCATACCGATGCCGAACACATGCTGCGCCCGCCCCCCCCACCCCTTGCGGTGCCCTCGCAGCGGTAGCTCTGCATGCACACTCAAACGTGTCCTGGCCAATGGCAGTTGTGCCAATGAATGACATGGCGGGCGGAGTAGCACTTGGTTGATTTGAGTGGCACTTACAGTACCTAGCTTACCGGGCTGACAACCATACAGGTACATGTCATTCAACAAGGTTGCAACCGTTGCACCCATACAACAAGCCCTTACATGTCCTAGCTGGCAGAACTGGTTTGGTGCCAAACATTCCCCATCAGTGTGATATGATTTTGACAGTGTAGTAGAAACCCTCAAGTTCAAACTCTCATAAAATGCACCCTCCCACGCTCTTGCAAGCATGGTAATACTGGTAGGTACCGTAATACCCCGGAGCGGATAACAGACCCCTCCTCCTCCCCTCTCCCCCCCACTCCCCCAAAGTTGTAGACCCTGGGTCTATAATATGGAGGGGGTACGCTGTATAGGGCGTTAGTGATTGTACCCCCCCCAAATGGTAGCTAACATTATAGCCCCCTACCCCGTAGAGACCTTGTCTTTTAATATTCAAGCAATGAAATATTTTTAGGTTTTCTACCGCTTACCACAACAAAGTCCATACCATAACAAGTTCGTCAAGGAGGGCTAACAACCAATCACAAAAGCACAAGCACATAATGTGAAAACTACCGTATGAGGCAAGAATGATGGGATTGAAAGAAGCAAGGGTACAAATAGGAAACCCTAGTTGGGGTTGTACCCCATATTGGCTACCCCACTACATCATACAAACATATACTGGTAGCACAGCTATACTTTGACACACCCCCATAGGCAAAGTGGGGGAGAGCAAGGGGTCACAAGACCAGACAATCCAAGCAAAGAACAAGCTCAGGGTGGATCACAACGTCACCACACTCCGAGCACAAGCAAAGGCCACAATGACAAAATGAAGAATGGATGGTGCATTGATGTTGGTTGGGGTACATATAGCTAACCCTAAGTTTTGTACCCCCTAAGACAAACCTCACTATAGGCTACAACATTTGACACACCCCCATAGCCTAAGTGAGGGGTGTCTAGCAGAACCAAACGAGTACGGTCACAAGACCAGTCCAAGAAACAAGGCTCAGGGTGGATCACAACGTCACCACACAGTCTGAGCACAAACAACAGTGGCCACAAGGCCAGTCCAAGAAGTAACAGAGGTATATAGAAAGCAAAGTAAACAGTACACTCAAGTCTAAGCAACACGAGAACCAGTGTCAACAAGGCCTAACTGCACACAGCACCTCTGGTGGTCACAAGGCGGAAGCGCCTTGGTGAAGATGTCTGCAGTGTTGGCCTCGGACTCCACAAACTCAAAGCGAGCCTGTCCACGCCTCTGCAACTCTCGCAGAAGAAAGTACCTGACGTGAATGTGCTTCACTCTGCTCTCCAGTCGTGGCTCTCGACAAAGGAGAATAGACGCCTTGTTGTCAGTGAACAAGGTCGGTGCAGAGCTCGGCCGCTCACCAAGGTCGGTGAGCAAGAAGGTCAACCAACGCAGCTCCTGTGCCGCCATGGCACCAGCGTAGATCTCAGCCTCAGCTGTAGAGGTCGAGACCGAAGAGGAGCGCGTGGACCGCCAGGAAACAGCTCCAGAACCCAGGCTGAAACAGTACCCCTGAGTAGACCTGTGAGTCTCAGCGTCGTCAGCGTAAGAGGAGTCACAGTGACCAGTAAGTACGATAGACTGCTGCCCTCCAAGAACTAGCCCCACGCCTGACGTCGTCGCTAGGTACTTCGCCACCCTCACAGCTGCTGTCCAGTGAACAGGACGGTGTCTCCCTGGCGCAACAAAGCGCGCAAGAACGCTGAGAGGGAAGGCGAGGTCCGGGCGAGTACAAGTCATCAGGTACATGAGGCAACCCACAAGCTCTGCGTAGGGACCACTAGGCTCGAACGGCTCGTCAGGAAAGGGTCCAGTGAGTCTGTGGTCAACAGCAAGAGGTGTGCGCTGTACTGTGGAGTGCTGAAGCCCGAACCGCTGAAGGACCTGCTGCACCATGTGCGACTGTGAAAGTGTAATGGTGCGAGCAGCTCTGTCCCTGGTGATCTGCAGGCCAAGGTAGTGGCGCAGCTCACCAAGATCAGTGCAGGTGTGTCTCTTCTGCAGTTCGGACTTCACGTGTGCCAAAGCAACCCTGTCAGGGGTGGCGAAAACAAGGTCGTCAACGTAGACCAGAACAAAGAAAGGTGTGGTGCCACGACGAACGAACAGCGACGGGTCAGCAGAAGACGGCTGGAACCCAAGGTCAGACAGGGTAGAACGCAGGGTGTCGTGCCACTCACGAGGAGCCTGACGAAGACCGTAAACCGGTCGCCTCAGCCTCCACTGGGTCCCAGGAGGGAAAGAGCCAGTGAAGGCAGAGGGACGACGCAACCAGACCTCCTCGTGAAGACTGCCCTGAAGGAAAGCAGTAGAGAAGTCGAGAGAGTGTAACTCGTAGTCTCTCTGTGCTGCTATGTGCAGTAACACCCGAAGAGTGGTCATCTTCGGGGTGGGCGCGAAGGTCTGAAAGAAGTCAACTCCCTCGCGCTGACTGAAACCTCTAGCCACGTAGCGCGCCTTGAAGACCGGAGGAGATCCCGGTGGCCGCTTCACCCTGTAGATCCACATGCCGTCGACTACGTTCGCCCCCGGAGGGGGAACCTCATCGACGTAGGTGCCTGTGGATCTGTAGGAGGCCATCTCTGCGTCCATGGCAGCTCTCCACTGAGAGGCCCAAGGCCCTGACACTGCCTCAGCGTAAGTGCGAGGAGTCGGAATGTCAAGGGCGTCGGGGTCACCCTCAGGGGCGAGGAGCATGGCACAGAGATGAGGGGAAGCGGCCGCCAGGAACTCTAGCTCAAACTGCCTGTCCTCTAGGGCGTCACAGCCAAGGGCAGACACACCCCCGACGGCCAGAGGACTGGAAGGAGGAGCAGCCACAAGAGCGGTGGCGAAGTCAAGGCGGCGGGTAGAGGCAAACTCAGTGACTGCGGCAGTAAGAGCGGACACAGAGGACACAGAGGCACGAGGGTGAGTAACAAGTGAGGCGAGAACACGAGAGAGAAGAGGACGGTACGTGCGGTAGTAGTCAGTGACAGGAGTAGGGAGCGACGCAGTGAGAGCCGACTCAGGAGGAGACGGAAGCACAGACGGAGACGGACGAGGTGGACTAGAACGAAGTAAGGCAGTACGAAGGTCAGTGAAGGGAACAGGAGACGAGGGACGAGCACGAGGGGAGCGACGAGAGGCCCAAGTCTGAGAAGGAGGAGGGGACAACGAAGACTGAGAACGAGGGAAAACAGCGGGAGAGGGGTCAGGAGGAGGAAGCGGAGGACCAGAGACGGGAGGAGAGGGGGAGGAGGAAGGAGAGGGAGAGGGGAGACCAAGGGTCCGAAGACCCGAGACAGGAGGAGGAGACGGCAGCTGCTGCTGCTGCGGCTGCTGCGGCTGCTGCGGCTGCTGCTGCTCCAGCGGCTGCTGCCCCTGCTGCTGCTCCTGCTGCTGCTCCTGCTGCTGTCGCTCCTGCTCCTCGAGCCGCTGCAACTCTCTCTCCTCTCTCTCCAACTCCAGCTGCTCCTCACGAGCACGACGAACACGAGCCTGGAACCTGGTCGGGTAGGGGTGGGGGGAAGGAGTAGTGTCCGGGGCAGCGGCAGCCCCAGAGTCGACCTCCGAAGCACCAAGCACACCACCCCCAGAGGCAGCACCAACACCAGCTCCAGACCCAGGCTCTCCAGAAACCGAAGGAACACCCTCACCCCCAGACGCAGCACCAGCACCCCCAGACTCCGCACGACCAGTACCAGCCCCCGGAGGAGAAGAGTCCTCTGCAACCCGCGGCTCAGCTCCAACTCCAGCACCCCCAGAACCAGAGACCTGTACAGGGACAGTCGTAGGACCAACCTCCCGAGAGGGAGCACCTACAGGAGGCGGTGAGGAAGACTGTGGGGAGGGAGGCTGTACAGGGGGGGCTACCGAAGGGGGAGGGCTAGCCTGAGACACACCAGACGGGGCTGGACCAGGGGGGGGAGGCTGTACCGGGGGAGCAGGCGGGGGAGCGGCTGTCAGGAAGAGGGGGGGAGGAGGAACCGGGAGACCTCGACTGGGGTACCTGACGTAGTACGGGGTGGACTCCTCGAAACGGACGTCACGGGAGTCAAAGAACCGGTGAGAGGGAGGGTGGTAAAAGGTGAAGTCAGAGGAGTCCTCAGGGAAACCAAGGAAGACACAAGGAACGGCGCGAGGCGAGAGCTTGTCCGCGGAGGTGTCGCGGACAAGAGCCAAGCACCCCCAGACACGAAACCTCGACGCGACACCAGGGGACCCTGTCCAAAGACTGGTCGGTGAAGCCTCCGGCCGAGAGACGCGTGGCCAGAGGTTCAGCTGGTGCGCGGCGTACCTGACTGCGTATGGCCACAGGAAATGGGGGGCACGGGCGTGAGTCAAGGAGGTGCGGGCAATCTCCATGACCAGGCCTATGCGACGCTCAGCAACCCCATTCTGCTGTGGGGACTCCGGAAGCGTCCAGGACTGACGAATGCCCTGTTCGCGACAGAATCCAGCGAGAATGCCGGAGCGAAACTCGCCCCCGCGGTCGGAGTGGAGACAGCTGACACGACGACCACGAGTGTCCTGGGTGGTAAGCAACCACCTGATCAGCGTAGAAGTCACCTCAGACTTCCTCGCCAGGGGGAACACTGTGGTGTAGCGGGAGTAGTCGTCAACGACCACCAAAAAGAAACGCTCACGCTCAGGGCCAGGGCGAGGAGAGGGGCCCCAGACGTCCAAGTGCAGCGTCTCAAAAGGCTCGGTGGCCGGACGAAGGGAGGAGGAGTGAGGGGTGGCACGCAGCCTACCCTCGACGCAAGGACCGCACGGTGGTGCAAGAGACGGCGGCAGCGACGGCAAGACACGCGGGAGACCTAAGACCAGACGCTGACTAGACATAGCACGCAGACGTGGAAGAGAAGGGTGTCCCATCCGGTGGTGCCACAGAACGGTGGGGTGGGCAAGCGACCGACAGGAGCAAGACGCAGCGACTGGACTGGACGCGACAACCTGAGGGGACGGAACCACCTGGTGAGACGCAGGGAGGAGACTAGGGGGAGGGACAGGAACTGGGAGGAGTGGCCGCTGCGACGGCGGCCGCTGTGGCTGCGGCTGCGGCTGCTGCCGCTGCTGCTGCTGCGGCTGCTGCTGCTGCTGCTGCTGCTGCTGCTGCTGCTGCTGCAGTCGCTGCTGAGCGCGCGGGCCAGTGTGAAGAGTGTAGAGACCGGAGCCCGGCTCAGCAGCAAAAGTGGCGAGGGGCTGGTAAGAGTCCCCGTCAACACACACCGCAGTCTCTCCAGAAGGCTCAAACCACACACCCACGTGCTGACTCACGAGGGGTCGCACGCCCACCAAGTTCCGGGAGAACGAGGGGACGTGAAACCCAGTGAGAGACCCAGAAGGAGCAGCCGGACACGGCAAGGTGGTAGTGTGACGCGCAGTGACTGGTCCCGAAGTGGGATCAGCCAGCGCCACAGAAACAGGCGCAGGAAGAGGCGTAAGTGTCGTGCTGTCACGAAAGAAGCAGTGAGAGGCTCCAGAGTCCAGCGTGAACGACAGCGAACCGTCCTCTGAGGTAGCCGCTGGACTAGAGTCTACACAAGAACCTACACTAGCAACAGGCAACTGAGCAAGGCTAGCACCTAAGCTAACAACACCAGAGTAAGCAGAGTCAGAAACACTAGAGTCAACAACAGCATACATAGCATGGGGAGTACCAATCAGATCAACTAACTGCTCAGCAGACATGCCCCACAGAGCGGAGCCGTAGCGCTGAACAAGAGGCAGCCAGTCAGGGGCAGGAGCACCAACCCCGTAGACCAAACGAACCGTGTCAGTGAGCTGAGCAAAGCACTGACCAGGGGGGTGAAACCGGCCACAAGGGTGGCCACGACGAGTGCCTGTCAGAACCTGGTAGGTGCAGGGAGTGTAAGCAGCACCGCGCTGGGTCTGACGCAGCCCCGACCCTGGAGCCAGCTGCTGCCGCTGCTGCTGCTGAGGCTGCTGGGAGGAGAGGGGCTGCTGGTGCTGCAGAAGCTGCTGCTGACGCTGAGCCTGGTACCACGCCGCTGCTCCACCAACCGGGGCAGGAAGTACAGGAGGCGACTGACGAACTCGGGCGTCGCCACCACTAGCAGGCGCAGTGGAGTCACCAGTCACTGCACGAGGCGCCTCTCCAGGCCCTGAACCTCCACCGCCGCCAGGCGCAACGCCACCTCCACTACCTCCGCCTCCACCTCCACTACCACCACCAGAACCGCCTTTCTTGCCACTCCTACCGCGGGACCGCGACGCAGTCGTAACAGCAGCTGCAGTCGCGTCAGTAGCGGCAGTGGCAAGTGAGGCAGTAAAGGTGGGTAACTGCGGGACTGTGCACCCGTGGAAGAGTGGGGGGGGCACAGCACCAGAGGCAGCGGCTACCGAGCGAAGGTTGCTCTCGACGTCCTTGAGTGCAGACTCAAGGACATCGACGGTGAGCTCACTAGGGTGCTTCAGCAGAAGCGCGTCGCGAACGGAGGCAAGGCGGTCAGGGAGGCTAGTGGCGATGAAATAGATAGTAATCGCCATAGGGGGAGGAAGCAGTGCAAGCTGTGCCTCAGTGCAAGCAGCGCGGTAACTAGCGTCGAGCGAGCGGAGGTGAGCGATCAAGTCAGCAGAGCGCTCAAACGAGGCGAGATCAGGAAACAGGAACGGGAGGAAAAGACGGCCAAGAGAGACAGTAGCGGGAGTAGAGTAGCGGGCCTTAATCGCAGTGAGGTACGCAGCAGCGGTGCGAACCTGAGTGAAGTGGACCTCCTCTGACTCAGGGAGGAGGCTGCTGAGTGCGATGCAGGCCGCAGCGTCACGCGACGTCCAAGCCGTCCTGTCAGCGCGCTGACGGGCAAAGCGAGCCGTAGCAGCATCGTCAGGGGCAGGACCTAAAGCGGCAGGCTCGGGGGGCTCGGGGAGGTCACCAGTAGCGTGCGACCAGAGGGTCTCGCCCCCCTGGACTTGACTCTCTAACAGACGGCGAGCGCGAAGAAGCCAGACGGAAAAGTCAAGAGGTCTACCGTCAGCGTCGAAACGAAGAACTCGCGGAGTCGCCATAGCGAGAACGAACGCGAACGAGCAGGCGAGTAACAGCAGGAGGTAAGAGGCAAATTAGGGTTCAGGTGGGGGGACTTAGTCGCAGCGGAAGAACGGGCTAGGGCGTAGGGTCGACAGGACGGGGGAAAGGGCGGGCGCGATGCGACGGGGCAGGGCGACGCGACGGGGCAGGGCGACGCGACGGAGCAGAGGCGACGGGACGGGGAAGGGCGACGCGACGGGGCAGGGCGACGCGACGGGGCAGGGCGACGGGACGGGGAAGGGCGACGCGACGGGGCAGGGCGACGGGACGGGGCAGGGCGACGCGACGGGGCAGGGCGACGGGACGGGGAAGGGCGACGGGACGGGGCAGGGCGACGGGACGGGGCAGGGCGACGCGACGGGGCAGGGCGACGGGACGGGGAAGGGCGACGGGACGGGGCAGGGCGACGGGACGGGGGAGGGCGACGGGACGGGGCAGGGCGACGGGACGGGGCAGGGCGACGGGACGGGGGGAAAGGGCGCGACGCGACGGGGGGAAAGGGCGCGACGCGACGGGGGGAAAGAGCGCGACGCGACGGGGGGAAAAGGGCGCGACTCGACTGGGGGGAAAGGGCGCGACGCGACGGGGGGAAAGGGACGCGACGAGGGGGAAAGGGCGGGCAGGACGCGACGCTAGGAGTGGCGCTAGGCGCGGCACTACGCGCGGTAACAACGGAACCGGAACGAATGAGAGCTAGGATCAGGCTCGGGAGGCTCGAACGGAGAACGGAGGAACGGGATCCCACAGGATCCTAACCTAACTGATACTATGACAAAATGAAGAATGGATGGTGCATTGATGTTGGTTGGGGTACATATAGCTAACCCTAAGTTTTGTACCCCCTAAGACAAACCTCACTATAGGCTACAACATTTGACACACCCCTAAGGCCAGTTCACATGCAGTGCTAGATATAGTACAAGACAAGCAACACAGTGATCAAAACCTAGCAAGCAAGCAAAAAGATATATATAAAGTACAGTACAAAGAAAGTCAAGCAGTAAGCAAATGAGGGAATGTGGACACAAGGCCTAAAGAAGTACAGTGCCGCTGATGATCACTAGGCGGGAGCGCCTTGGTGAAGATATCAGCAGTGTTGGCCTTCGAGTCCACGTACACAAGCCGAAGCTGACCTCGCTGCTGCAGCTCTCGAGCAAGAAAGTAGCGAAGAGCAATGTGCTTCGTCCTGTGCTCCAGTCTGTGCTCCTGACACAAGGCAAGGGCCGCCTTGTTGTCGCCGTACAGAACTGGAGGAGAACTAGGCCGCTCTCCCAAGTCAGTCAGCAGGTAGGTGAGCCAGCGTAACTCCTGTGCAGCCATGGCCGTGGCGTAGATCTCAGCCTCACAACTAGAGCCGAGAACAGAAGAAGAGCGGGTGGACCGCCACGAGACAGAACCAGAGCCAAGGCTGAAGGTGTAACCCTGCGACGACCGCTGCGTAGCCAAGTCGTCCACCCAAGAAGCGTCCGAGTGACCAGTGAGAACAACTCTGTCGCGTCCTCCAAGCACCAGCCCCATGCCTGATGCACTCATGCCCTCATGCCCTCATGCACTCATGCCCTCATGCCCTCATGCCCTCACGCCCTCATGCCCTCATGCCCTCATGCCCTCATGCCCTCATGCCCTTATGCCCTCATGCCCTCATGCCCTCACGCCCTCATGCCCTCATGCCCTCATGCCCTCACGCCCTCATGCCCTCATGCCCTCACGCCCTCATGCCCTCATGCCCTCATGCCCTCATGCCCTCATGCCCTCATGCCCTCACGCCCTCATGCCCTCATGCCCTCATGCCCTCACACCCTCATGCCCTCATGCCCTCATGCCCTCATGCCCTCATGCCCTCACGCCCTCATGCCCTCATGCCCTCATGCCCTCATGCCCTCATGCCCTCATGCCCTCATGCCCTCATGCCCTCATGCCCTCATGCCCTCACGCCCTCATGCCCTCATGCCCTCATGCCCTCATGCCCTCACGCCCTCACGCCCTCATGCCCTCACGCCCTCATGCCCTCATGCCCTCACGCCCTCATACCCTGACGCCCTCATGCCTTCATCCCCTCATGCCCTCACGCACTCATGCCCTCATGCCCTCATGCCCTCATGCCCTCATGCCCTCATGCCCTCATGCCCTCATGCACTCATGCCCTCACGCCATCATGCCCTCATGCCCTCATGCAATCACGCCATCATGCCCTCATACCCTCATGCCCTCATGCCCTCACACCCTCATGCCCTCATGCTCTCACGCCCTCATGCCCTCATGCCCTCATGCCCTCATGCCCTCATGCCCTCATGCCCTCATGAGCTCATAACCTCATGCACTCATGCCCTCACGCCATCATGCCCTCATGCCCTCATGCACTCATGCCCTCATGCCCTCACGCCCTCATGCCCTCATGCCCTCATGCCCTCATGCCCTCATGCCCTCATGCCCTCATGCCCTCACGCCCTCATGCCCTCATGCCCTCATGCCCTCATGCCCTCATGCCCTCATGCCCTCATGCCCTCATGCCCTCACGCCCTCATCCCCTTATGCCCTGATGCCCTCACGCCCTCATAACCTCACGCCCTCATGCCCTCATGCCCTCATCCTTTCATGCCCTCATGCCCTCATGCCCTCATGCCCTCATGCCCTCATGCCCTCACGCCCTCATGCCCTCATGCCCTCATGCCCTCATCCCCTCATGCCCTCATGCCCTCATGCCTTCATGCCCTCATGCCCTCACGCCCTCACGCCCTCATGCCCTCATGCCCTCATGCCCTCATGCCCTCACGCCCTCATGCCCTCATGCCCTCATGCCCTCACGCCCTCATGCCCTCACGCCCTCATACCCTGACGCCCTCATGCCCTCATCCCCTCATGCCCTCATGCACTCATGCCCTCATGCCCTCATGCCCTCATGCCCTCATGCCCTCATGCACTCATGCCCTCACGCCATCATGCCCTCATGCCCTCATGCAATCACGCCATCATGCCCTCATGCCCTCATGCCCTCATGCCCTCACGCCCTCATGCCCTCATGCCCTCACGCCCTCATGCCGTCAAGTTCACAAAGTAGTTCCACACAGGAACATTAGAGTAGCACTAAACCAGGTAGGAGGGAAGAGGAGGACGAGAGGGAAGGTCCCAAGGGAGTCCCCAACCAAAGAAACCCCATGCCACACAATTTCCCTCTCAATAGGCAACCCAACTTTTAATCTTGTCATTTTCCCAACCTCCCAAATCCACCTCACTCCCACTTGGCCACACTTGCCAACCTGGTTTGGCTTCACCCAACCACATGGCAGCATCTACAGTAATGGGTTCGAATTTACCAACCCCAAAAGGTCTGTACCCCATATAGATTGAACCCCACAACTTCCCATAGTTGCCACAACCAAAGTATAGAAAGCATACGAACTCCAATGTTCGCAACTTTCTTGATATAGCTCCGATCGCGACGATTCTTGGCTCGTCGAAAAGCTCTCGAGTAGATGAGTCACTTCAGGTATCTGCTCAGGCCAAATAACATTCGCACGCACTCAAGAAATCCAAACCACGCAAAACACAAATTCTTGCACACGCTCACACAACGCATGCAACGCACAAACACATGATGGGAGGCAGACAGACGTGAATGCATATGATTGCATCACACAACACTCATGCCCTCATGCCCTCCTGCCCTCATGTACTTATGCAATCATGCACTCATGCCCTCATGCCCTCATGCCTTCATGCCCTCATGCCCTCATGCTCTCATGCCCTCACGCCATCATGCCCTCATGCCCTCATGCACTCATGCCCTCATGCCCTCATGCCCTCATGCCCTCATGCCCTCATGCCCTCACGCCCTCATGCCCTCATGCCCTCACGCCCTCATGCCCTCATGCCCTCATGCCCTCATGCATCACGCCCTCATGCCCTCATGCCCTCACGCCCTCATGCCCTCATGCCCTCATGCCCTCACGCCGCATGCCCTCATGCCCTCATGCCGTCATCCCCTCATGCCCTCATGCCCTCATGCCCTCATGCCGTCATGCCCTCACGCCCTCATGCCCTCATGCCCTCACGCCCTTATGCCCTCATGCCCTCACGCCCTCATGCCCTCATGCCCTCATGCCCTCATGCCCTCACGCCCTCATGCCCTCATGCCCTCACGCCCTCATGCCCTCATGCCCTCATGCCCTCATGCCCTCATGCCCTCATCCCCTCATGCCCTCATGCCCTCATGCCTTCATGCCCTCACGCCCTCATGCCCTCATGCCCTCATGCCCTCATGTACTCACGCCCTCATGCCCTCATGCCCTCATGCCCTCACGCCCTCATGCCCTCACGCCCTCATGCCCTCACGCCCTCATGCCCTCATGCCCTCACGCCCTCATGCCCTCATGCCCTCATGCCCTCATGCCCTCATGCCCTCACGCCCTCATGCCCTCATGCCCTCATGCCCTCATGCCCTCACGTACTCATGCCCTCATGCCCTCATGCCCTCATCCCCTCATGCCCTCATGCCCTCATGCCCTCACGCCCTCATGCCCTCACGCCCTCATGCCCTCACGCCCTCATACCCTCATGCCCTCATGCCCTCACGCCCTCATGCCCTCATCCCCTCATGCCCTCATGCCCTCATGCCCTCACGCCCTCATGCCCTCATGCCCTCATGTCCTCACGCCCTCATGCCCTCATGCCCTCATCCCCTCATGCTTTCATGCCATCATGCCCTCATGCCCTCATGCCCTCACGCCCTCATGCCCTCATGCCCTCATGCCCTCACGCCCTCATGCCCTCATGCCCTCATGCCCTCACGCCCTCATGCCCTCATGCCCTCATCCCCTCATGCCCTCATGCCCTCATGCCCTCATGCCCTCACGCCCTCATGCACTGATGCCCTCATGCCCTCATGCCCTCACGCCCTCACGCCCTCATGCCCTCACGCCCTCATGCCCTCATGCCCTCATGCCCTCATGCCCTCCTGCCCTCATGTACGTATTCACTCATGCAGTCATGCCCCATACACTCATGCCCTCATGCCCTCATGCCTTCATGCCCTCATGCCCTCATGCACTCATGCCCTCACGCCCTCACGCCATCATGCCCTCATGCCCTCATGCACTCATGCCCTCATGCCCTCACGCCCTCATGCCCTCATGCCCTCATGCCCTCACACCCTCATGCCCTCATGCCCTCATGCCCTCATGCCCTCATGCCCTCATGCCCTCACACCCTCATGCCCTCATGCCCTCATGCCCTCACGCCCTCATGCCCTCATGCCCTCATGCCCTCATCCCCTCATGCCCTCATGCCCTCATGCCTTCATGCCCTCATGCCCTCATGCCCTCATGTCCTCATGCACTCATGCCCTCACGCCATCATAACCTCATGCCCTCATGCACTCATGCCCTCATGCCCTCATGCCCTCATGCCCTCATGCCCTCATGCCCTCACGCCCTCATGCCCTCATGCCCTCATGCCCTCATCCCCTCATGCCCTCATGCCCTCATGCCCTCATGCCCTCACGCCCTCATGCCCTCATGCCCTCACGCCCTCACGCCCTCATGCCCTCATGCCCTCATGCCCTCATGCCCTCACGCCCTCATGCCCTCATGCCCTCATGCCCTCATGCCCTCACGCCCTCATGCCCTCATGCCCTCATC